GGTCGCGTGCGGTCCGTATGCGGTTCCTATTTCAACCGCGCGCGAACGCTGAGCGTCCGTAACGGATTCGTTCGCATTTTACCAGTATACTGGTGGATGGAATGCTGAGAAATCAAAAGTTAAAGTTATTTCAGAGTCAAAACTCAATTCAACGATTCCAGTTTTAGAATACACTGTCGAAAGTTAAAAGCCTACCGGAAGCTATTAAAACATCCTCTCTATTATCTATTCATAAACTAATTTCAACACGGCAAACAATCGTAATGAACTAGTATAAATAAGTGAACAGGAGCGGGATATGACCCGGAACCCCTCCCACTCTTCTACTTCACACATTGTCACGCCAATTTGCTGATGCCTCGGAAACTGACTCATTTCAATCGGAAGTAGTTCATTGCCCAGAATTTGACCTAGCCTGATCGATGGAACATCTGTTGCGTCATTCACGGTCAGATTTTTTGCAGCTGGAGATTGTATGAACACTTTGAAGTTAGAGATAGGATCTGAAGATGTAGCAGCTGTTCAAAATTCCTAAAAGTTCTAATACAGAGTTTCAAGTACTATCTTTATGTTTGCAGTCAGAAGTGGATGGAGCGTCACCAGAACCCACTGGCTACCGAAAAGTTCAGTTTCCAAATCTTTCTGGAGCAAATTTTCTGAAAATCTGAAACTTCCTTTCCCTACCATCTAAGTAGGATCGAGTCATTTCCCGCTTATGCTCACCCCAAAAACCGGCCCTTATCCACTAAGCCAACTGCCTAGTGTAGCAATAAACATAGCTTGTCTCCTCTCTCACTCGGATGGTTGCTCAATGCGATGGAAAAGAGCTTTCTTTTGCTCCCACCACCGAGAAGCACACATTCTTCCCCGGGAGCAGAGGGAGAGGGTGGGCGGATTTGTGAAGGGAAGGATATGATGGGGAAGATGAAGAAGAAGAAGCTTCCCGGGAGGATCTTTAGAGGGGAGCAGAGACAGAGTGTGTAAAGTTGAATGGTAGCGGAAAAGAGAGAAAGCGGGAGGCAATGGAAACGATCGAAGTTGTTGGCAGTTTTACACTTTTCTGAAGATGAGTTTGTGTCTGGCACCGTGCCAAGTAACCAATGGCATCTCAGAAAGTATGGACTCAAAATAAAGAAAATTAGATATTCAGAAAGCAGAAAAATCAGCGAAGAAAGTTATCAAGGGTTACTGCAGTTTTGCAAAACCTCATAATAGGATTGATAGTAAAGTGTAGCCTCCTAGTTTGAGCTCAATGATCTCGATTCCTATGCAAGGTATCAAAAATGTGTCAAGTGATAAAATGTTTGTGATGTTATGATGAAAAATTTATCAGTTTATAGAGTTTTCATATCTTTCACAGGGACCGAGATTAATTGACTCAAACTTGAAAGTTAGGGGTTCCTTCTATTACAGGTTTTACGGTGTCTCAAATTGCAAAAAAAGGAATATTACACAATCTAAACAGGTAAAAGGAATCGTCATAATTGGTCAGCTACGCAAAAAACAACGAATCCTGGGAAAGAAAGTGGAAATAGGACGATATTCATGAAAACATAATAGAAAGTGATAAAATGATTGGGTACAGTCTTCACGAGAGAGCATATAATTCAAAGAGACGCAAAGAAGAGAGACGAGCGACAAAGAGAAAACGCGGGATGAATAGTTCGGATGCTTCATCTTCTGCTGCTGCCGGCTTCCTCCTCTCTCAAATCGTCCCGATCATTAGGAGATTTAGACAGACGGATCCAGAGAGAGCCCGGATCAAAAGGACGCAGACTGTGAAACAGTGTGTGTAATGCACTTGGAGAGAAAATGGAGCAGAAGAAGAAGAAGAGAAGGAGCACACAGTTTATTGTTTGAAAGAAGAAGAAGGGGGAACAAATGACACTTTATTGTAAGGAAACTCGTTTGAAACACATAATACACGCCTGTTCATTTTTCAACTGATGGTCATCAGATCTCTTTTTCTTTGATAAATAGATGGGAAGGTAAACAAAAAGTGAATAACTCGAAATTTAGAGGATGAGATTAGATACTTGTATGTCCGTGGAGAGTACGGAAAGAACTTAAGAATAAGGAATCGTCTTCAAGAATCCATAAAATCAGAAATAACGGAAAGCGCGCTCTTCCTAGCATTATAATATACCGACACCTATATGTTCCCTCTTTGACCTTCATTACCGTAAACACTCTAATAGGATGACCCTCTAACTTTCAACTTGGAGCCAATTTATCACGGTTCTGGCAAAAAATATGAAAAAGTCGTCAACTGATAACTTGGTACTGATAATGTGCTGAACGTTTTGTCAGTTGACCACTTCCTGATATTTGTTACACGAACCGAGATAAATTAACTTAAAGTACAAGAATATGTTGTAATGCATTGCGGCCTTCTATTAGAGTGATTACGGTATCTACGTTGCTTTAGGCGATATGAATAAATTGTACATAAACAAAAGGTTATCAACATTACCACCCTGATCTTCTTATCAATATCAATTTCAGAAAATAGAATAAATAAAGTCAAAAAGAAGATTATTGAAAATGTGTTTAAAGGGTTACGGTATTTACTGTAATACCTCAGAGACAAAACTCTATAGCTTCGTTCAGAACGGAAAGAATTATTTCTTTTCTTGAATAGAATAGGTGTGTCTTAATCTGAATCCGGTCTTCACATTATGGAAATGTTCACATGACCGTAACGAAATGATGATGATGAACAAGGATTTCGGAGGCATTGAAGCATTCGAATTGAGATGGATAAACGAATCAATCTGATGAAGATTATCTTTTCGCAATATCTCATACTTTTTAAAGGAGAGTTATTAAAAGAGAACTGGCGTGCCTTTGGCGCGATTCCTGTTAAACCCTTTTGTCTGATTCGTGCGTTTTCAGTCAACTTTTTCACCTTTTATCACAATAGTTCATTTTCCGACTTTTTTGGGGAAAATAACAGAAAAATCGGCGACGATCAGTGGAAAACGAGAAGATAAATCCGGAAAACACAAATATTTTTAGGTTACTGTAGTTGTCGTTGTGGGACCTTAGGCCACTGCCACCGCGTTTCTTTTCCGCAGTTACGATTTTTTGAAAGCAGAATAATAATTTTTATTCAAACTTTAAGATTCATGCACTGAAAATCAGAGAAAGTGTCATATTGAACGATGGAGGTTAACTGGAGGAAGCGACTGGGGGCGTTTTTATCGGCCATATGCTTTTTGGCCTTTTTTCTATTTCTTTTTTTTTGTTTTTGAGCATGCCGCAATACACCCACACCCCAATAATTTTTCAATGGGAAAGTTGGCAAAAAAGAAAAGAGATTGAAAACTTCCAGAAAATTTTAAGCAGGGGTTGGTTGAAAAAAGGAATGTAATCGATCTGCACAACATCAAGTGTCCACTTCTAGAGTATCCGATTACTTCGTAAACAAGTTCTCCTGGTTTTTCTTTGATTTGCTGTTGCAACTGGGAGAATTTCAGACAACACGTTTATTTTTCAAAATTTGGATATGTACAATTCAACATATGGTAGAGAAATTAAACCTAGAAGGTTCAGCTGTAGGAATTCACCAATCACCATCATCATTATTATTTTGATACTCGAGAGCGTCTATGTATACTTCTTGATCATCGAAAGGTCTACAAACAATTTCAGCAGGCTCAACGTTGATTGATTTATTAGATACTCTAGGCTTATGTCTGAAATACAATATCTAGTTTAGAAAACTGGAGATGTTAAGCTTACACATCTGTTTCTAATATCCCACGAACGTTTTCTGGAATTTCACTCACTCCCTGGGTGATAAGTTTGTTCAGCAGGGCTACGGTCTGAAAATTAACAATTGAATGTATAATATGTTCTGTTCCTTACTCTTCTTTTATAATCTGTTGGTTTATGGATCAGATATCGCTCGTTCGAAATCATATACTGAAGTTGGTCTGGCACAACATGGAGACGTTGAATAACATCGTTTTGACACATTTCTGCTCCATCATCATGTCGAAATGAAAATCTTTTCGATGCTTGGTAGTCCATTTCGGGATTCTTCAATCTCATGTTTCTGGATTCATCATTGATAATTTCCCATCCTATGTTTAATCGGTGTTTTTCCACAACCCGACGTGATCGATTATTCATATTTGAGTGATCTCGATATAAATCGGAAGTGAGAACAACTCCGTTCAATTGAGCGGCGAATTCCAATGCAACCGTATCATCAAGATATGAAGATGGAATCACGATGCATAAATTGTTTTCAACCAACTCGTCGATGGCTCGTTTGAAAGTTGTTGCTCCTGGTTTTGCATATTTTCGAGATATCACTGTGAGCACATCGAAATCTCGAACAACGAAGTAGCGAATCAGCGAGAAAAGAGCAGCAACATCCGGGATATTCTCTGAATAGCGATAGTTTTTTACTTTTCAAAGCTCTATTGACTCACGTTGGATAGCTCCTTTTCTGTGATCTGTGTGGGGAGAACCGCAATGCATCACATTAGCTCCGTCAATGACGATGGTACGACGAACAGAGCCATGCCGTGAGTCAAGCTGGAAATCGGTACTGATTAAAGACACGAAAAAATCCTTTTTGTACTGACTAATGATAGAACATTATTGATACATTTCTTCGGTGATTGTTTTACTACTCTTTTGTAATTGGCTTCGTGCATAGCGTCTTCGATGGCTGCCTCAGTTCGTTGCCTGAATCTGGCGATCACTTAAACCAAAACATCCTGTCACTCACCGGACGAAGTCTTCTAACGTTATGTTTTTACATTCGAGAGCATCATATTCGTTTTTATCGGATTCTGTTATCATGGCTTTCTGGAAAAATTAGTGTATTTGCCAAGAAAGTGACTCATCTTTTCATTAACTTTTCAAAAAAAAGGCTGAAAACAAATTTCAATTTCAAAAAAGTGCATTTCAATTGTATTTTCAATGAATTTTTGAAAGAAGCTCCAATTTTTTCAATTTTGAGAAAAATATGAGAGAGAAGAGACTTAGAGCTTGCTCTTTTCTCGTGCCTTAGCGCTTTCTTCGATTTGGTTGGCGTTCAACGAGACGAGGAGTACGTCCGTCTGATGTAAACACAAAAACAACTGTAAATATGCTTGCACGTCGACTTACGTCTAATCTTCGCCATCTGAAACATCTGAAGTACAGCACGAATGCCCAAGAGCCTGGAAAAGTCAGGTATTCATTGTTAAGCAAGAATTGAAATTAAAAAATACTATTTTCAGAGCGAAAATTGACCAGTATGTAGACGTTTATGAAGAATTTATTGGTGTAAAAACAGTAAGACAAGCTCAAGAAGAAGTAATGAAATGGGAGCGGAAGTTGAGTGAAGCACAGTTGATCCGACGCGAGAAACAAGCAGAAATCAACAATATTCAATCTCGGTTAAAAGAAATACATTTCGATTTGGATAGAACAAGTCGAGGAGAAGACAAATATCTGCAATTGCTCACAGAAGAACACCAAATTATCAAAAAAGAAAGGGAGCTTTTGAGTTCATTTGAAGGTCTGGAAACAGCTGAACGAGAAGCGTTTCACCAACTTTCGATGAGGTAGTTTTCATAACTTTGTCAAATGAATACAGCATGTTCCAGAGTTCGATCGAGTCATGAAAGGGAGCGAGAGCGATCAGAGAAGACAAAATGGTGGGGAGTATCAGCATCTCTACTAGGAGCATTGCTTGGAATCGCCGGAACTTCAATTGGAAATGAATTGAGAATGAGAAAAATAAAGGAGATGCTGCCAATAGGAAGTGCTCAGATGAGCGAAATGGCAAAAGCTATCGGAGATCAAAATGAGAAGGTGGCTGTATTCCTGACCGATATGAGGAAAGCTTTGCAATTAGAAGGGTCAAAGTCCCCAGAGGAATTGCAACAGTCTGATGTGAAGAAGGTCAGTGATCTTGATAAGGTACGTAAAAACAGAATTCCTGGAAAATATCATTTTCATTCTTTTTTTACAGCTACTGACAGCGATTCGTGAGGAGAACGCCCGTCTATCCCAAGAAATGCGAGAACTCTCTCGACTAGCAAAGTTAGAAGCAGCTCTAGATGCTGATCCCACAGCTGTCGTGAGTCGTTTCTCCATTTTCTAAAATCAAAAGAATTTTCAGGTTTACGTTGGCAGCGATATGGAACGTCTTCTGGAGCAGACCGAAAAGAATATTGAATCGAAAATGAAGTTGAGGACACTCCTCACCGTCGTCGTCATCTACACCGCCGTCGCTGTTACTGCACCTTGGCTCTACGCTCTTTTCCGAGGAGATTAATTTCCCGAGATTGCCCTTCTAATTATTTTTAGTTTCTTGTTTATAGCTCTTTAATTTTGAACCCCGGTAATTTAATCAACAGTGCTGCCAAAATCACAACTTTCCGTTGTAACTAGATTAAGTTTTCCCATGACGGGTCTTTCTAGTATCCAAGTATCACTTTTGTCTAACCCTTTCTCGAAATTCTGATAAAATTCGATCGATTCTTCTATTTCCTACGTGAGCTTGTTGACTGCTGATTCTTTTTGTGATGAGTGGAAAGCCTAGAAAATAGTTGAGCCACATGAAGGGTATGCAGCAAGCAGAAGTTATTTCGAATGGCTCTGCGTGCAATTATGAAAGAAGTATCTGCCAAAAAGTTGTCTGTTAAAAAAAGAAAGTTAAAAAATGTAGGTGAAAGAAACACTTCAAAATTCTGATATACAATAAACTACCAAGAGCGCTGAAAAGGAGGTGAAAGATGAGAATCACTATGAACTCGCTGATTTTGTGGTGAGACACTTCAGAATTCCCAATTGGAGAGAATACAATGGAGTGAGTGACAATATAATCATTGTCAGTGTTTTTTTTCTCTCTCTCCAGATCAAATACTATCCAAAAGAACTTGTCGCTTTTCTTACCGATGTAATCGAAGTTTTTCGAGCTGAAAAAACACTTTGTCACATTTCACCGCCCGTCACAATCGTTGGTGATCTCAATGGACACTTACAGGATTTAGTCCGCATTTTCAATATCAAAAACGAAAAGGCCCTAAAAGAAGAGGATGGAAAACAGGTGTTCGCCACTGAGAAGTTTGTGTTTCTTGGGGATTTGACTGGTGAAAACCAAAAGTACAACCTGGAAACTGTGTGCCTTTTGTTCGGCTTGAAAGTACAGTAATCCCATTTAGTTTACGAATAAAACGACACAATTTCAGATGCTCTATTGTAATCGATACATTCTTCTTCGTGGATATGAGGAGACTAGATCAAACACAGAATTTCGAGTACATAGTTGACCAGATTCAGAAAAAAAAGCTAAAATTTCATTTTTTAGAACCAGATAATGAGCAAGTTTCCCGGAGCAGCCGGCGAAGACATTTGGTCAAAGTTCAAGACAGCTTTTAGTTTATTGCCAGCTGCAGCAATTGTTGGAGAAAAGATTCTGTGTGTTCACAGTGGAATCTCTCCATTAGTCAAGCGATCCATTGGTGAATTGAAAGAGGTTTACTCTGCTTCAAAAGCAGAAAAACATAGTTCATTGATTCAGATTCCGAAAAGGGATACATTTGAAAATCTCGCTCCAATAGTCCGTGATGTGATATTCGCACGTCCATGTGAACCGGAGGAAGATGGAGCGGATTCAGAGTAATACTTTCGAACTATTGAAAAATGAGAACACACATTTTCAGAGACCCACTTTACATCTTCCACGAGCCAACCAACACAAGAAAGTTTAATGATGCGGCTATCAAACATTTCTGTGAAAAAGAGAAGATTGATTTGGTTGTCAGAAGTCATGCAGTTTTGAGCAATGGGTTCCGATTCTCCGCTGACAAAAAACTCATCACAATTTTCTCTTCGCCATCTTATAAAGACATGCCAGTGAGAATCAAATTGCAATGAAATATTTTTAAAAAGTAATTCCAGAATAAGGGCGCATTTCTGAGAGTTTCCCAAGAAGGAGTGGTATCGATTATTCAGTTGAGACCAACTGACAAAAATGAAAATCCGGAAGATAAGAAGAAGAAGAAGAAAAAGTCGGGAGAAACTGGAAAAACGGAAAGTGCTGAAAAGGAGAAGAGAAGTAAAGAGAAGCCCAAGAAGGGAAGTAGAAGTACGGTATCGGAGAGCAGAGAAAAAGGAAGTAAGGAAAAGACGGAGGAAGGCGACAAAAAGAAGAAAAAGGCTACTTCGAAGCCGAAATCTAGAGAGATAGAGTTTGTTTAGAAAACTATATATTAAAATTATATGATACGACATTTCAGATCTCTATACGACAATTTGTCCGAAAAGTGATTTAACTCTCTTTTTTTTCGTATTATAAAATGTTTCCTACCTTCTTTTTTCTTTCAAAAAATCATTCGAAGTCAGAAGTTGGGAGGGGTCCGGCTTTCGAACGGACCCCTCGTCAGGTTCTGGTCGGAACTTGCCCAGAAACGGCTGTATTGACCATGGTCAGATTTTGGTCGGAAGTTGAAAGTTGAAATACTACTAGTTCGGAATCTTGTCATAAGTTTGTCGGAGTTTGATCCGCTGAATGAGCGTCCTTATCCGGAATCTCACCGACCTCCAGAAGATGCCAGCGACGCCTGAGATGGCCACATGCTCTGTTTACGTGTCAGTTCAATCCAATTTTCAGTTCTTTTCAAATACAGCTAAGTAACAACATATTCATTCAAAATGCAGTATTCCGAAGGCAATGTGGATGAAATCCCATCAGAAACCGTCGAACAACAGCTACTCCGTGAAGAAGTGGAGAAAACGTTGAAGCTTCCAGCACTCCCATAATCAGAGAAAAAAGAGCCGGGGCTAGCTGAAACGATTCCTGATAATTTTGTAATTCAATTCTGTAGTTTTTAAAAAATATTATTTCAATCTCACAGGCGTTTGGACCACATAGTTTTCTCAAAAAGATGTTGCATCCAGAAAGACTGAATGATGATCAAAAAGTGGTGAATTGTGCTAGTCTTATCGAGAACCATTTTCAGAAAGATATTGCATGGTATGAAGTCGACCAATTGTGTAATGAAGTCATCGTGAATCTTATGAATGAACAGAATCTGGTTAGTGTCAGTGTTCCGGTTACAATCGTTGGTGATATCCATGGAAACTTCCATGATTTGTATCGTGCTCTGTTGGCAAGAACCAATCCGGATATGATTGAAGAGAGAACTTCTGTTAAAGTTAGACCGTTTGCAAGGGATAGGTGAGCTAAAATTGAAAAGGAATATTCGAATTTGAACTTGTGTTAAGATTCATATTTCTGGGAGACTATATCAATGTTGGCAAACGATCAATTGAATGTCTTTGCCTTCTTTTTGCCCTGAAGGTTGTTTTTCTGAATTAGGTATTTTAACATCAAGACTTGTAGGCAACATCTCCCCACAGGTTTACATTTCTACGCGGATCTCAAGAAGGTCCAATTGGGAAACATTTTTTGGTTGGTTTTTATTATGCCGGAGACAATAAATTCCTAATTATCACAGACATCACTGGAAGAACTCACACCTTTTTATGCGAATAAATTACAAAAAAAGTTTGAAGAAGTGTTTTCTTGGATGCCACTGGCTGCCGTGGTTGGAGAAAAGATATTCTGTGTTCATGGAGGAATATCTCCACATCTCGATTCTTTAAAAGATATTGATAAGGTTCATAAATTTCCGAACAAAAATATACAGCTTTTCTTAATCAGATACCAAGACCGCTACTAGATGTAAAAGAAAACATCCTTGCCACTGATCTCATTTATTCGGATCCTTTGGATTACGAATTTTTGCATGTGCCGAAAATGTTAGAGCTTTTTAGATGCCCATTTGATACAGGTTTAATTTATAGAGAACCGATATTTGAAGCCAACTATTTGCGTCATGCTGGTGTTTTGTTCAATGAAGCCACTGTGGAAGAATTCTGTGAGAGAACTGGGATGAAGCTGATTGTCAGAAGTCATACGGTGAGCATCATCTTCTTCAATCTGTTCTAAAATTTCCGCCTTTTCAGATGATTCCATTTGGATATCGGTTATTTGCAAATAGAAAGATGATTACAATATTTACTTCAACTGGATACAAGAAAGAAAGAAATCATGGATCTGTGATGAAAGTGGATAAGGATGGAAAGATAAAAATGATTAATTTTCTTCCGGCTCCGTTGAAGAAAAAGAAAAAGAAGGATGAAAAGGATCAAGAGAATGATGATACAAATACAAAGAACGACTCTACAGGGTGGCCGATAAGTATAGGACGCTCGCTTTCAGCGTTCCCTGGCACGGTGCCAAGGGATATTTTCGAAAAATTTCGAAACTTTTCGAAAGTCCAGAGACTAAATAAGTAAGCTTCTCAGTCATTGTTCTCACTTCTCCATATCGCCGAGCTATGAAAAGTTCTCCTCATCGTCCTTCCATTGAACTCTTGTTCAAGAGAGGCCTCGGAAGTGCTGAGATCGCTCGACGCCTTCAAATTTCGTCTTCGACGGTTCGAAACGTTGTCGCTGCTATCAAAAAGCGAGGAGATGCTTCTGAAGTAAAAAAAAGCGGACGTCCACGTTCTGTCAACACCCGGAATACTCGTGCAATCATCAAGAAACGGATCATTCGAAATGATGGATTGAGTCTCAATAGGATGGCGTCACAGCTTGGAATTGCCCGATCCACTGTCCAATCGATTGTCAAGAACGACTTGAAGCTCAAAAGTTACAAACTACGTCGTGGACAGTACCTCTCGGACAAATCGAAAGCGATGCGACTCGAAAAATGCCGAAAATTACTCCAGCACTTTCAAGTGCGCCGCGTCTCTGACGTTATCTGGACAGACGAGAAGATCTTCACTATTGAACCTCTTCCCAACCGTCAAAACCAGAGACAGTTATTGTCAAAGGATGACAGCATGTCTCCGAAACGTCGTCTTGCCCATAACCGCCTTTTCCCGAAAAGTGTCATGGTTTGGGCCGGTATCACGGCAACCGGTAAAACTCCGTTGGTTTTCATTGAAAGAAATGTGAAAATCAACTCGGAGGTGTACCAAAAGATTGTGTTGATGGATAATTTGTTACCCTGGGTCACTCAGCACTTTGCTGGTGGTCCATTTATCCTTCAACAAGACTGGGCACCGTCCCATGGCTCGAGATCGACATTGGCCGTCTTGGAGGCGCATTTCCCTGGATTCCTGGACAAGAACTTGTGGCCTGCTTCCAGCCCGGATCTCAATCCGATGGATTTCAGCGTTTGGGGCATGTTGGAAGGGAAGATCGCGGGAAAAGTTTTTGCTACTGTCGATGACTTGAAGGCCGCTCTCGAGGTAGCATGGGCTTCGATCGACGACGGATACCTGCGGCGCACTGTCAATTCGGTGAAGAAACGTTTGAGAGCCTGTGTCAAAGCTCGTGGATCCAACTTCGAATTTCTCTTGTAAAATCAAATTTTCTGCTTATTTTTTGTTGTTTAATAAAGGTTGTTCTCGAAAAATCCTCAAATTGAAAAAATGGGAGCACTTTCAAAACGTCCTATACTTATCGGCCACCCTGTAGATACTCAAACTGTTCGAACCGATGCAACTACCATGATATCTGAGAGAGCAATGTGATCTGGTTTTTAAATGAATTTTTTCAATTCTTTATTTCCACAAAAAAAACAATATTCTGTGTTGTGCTTGATGATCCTTATTTGAAAAAGTAGAACGACACCCATTCCGGTCCAAAATATTCCACATTCTCGCCTTCCTTCTAAGTCCTTCCTCAAAGTCTATTGTCAAACAATAACCGTTCGTTTTTCACTCTCTTTGGCAGTCCAACTTCCGCTCGTTTAGTGGTTCTCTGGTGTTGAGAAAACAGTGTGTAGGATGACAGAGAGTCCTGTGATTCAAAGAAAAACAAATATAAAAAACAACAACTAGAATATGATTTTTTGGACGCAAAATCGGAGGAGAAGAAGAAGTATGTGTGGGAGAGTATTGTGCAAAGAAAATGAGCACGTGTAAATAGAATGGTGCAAAACACGATCAGTCACCACACACTGTCAAGAGGGTGTTTTCTTGAAGAGTGGATCTACGGGAAGAAAAGTGATAAGAGAGTGTAGTGATTGGGCTATGACAATAAGCTGAGCTAAAATCAGATGGGACCAATACCTGATTTTCTGAACTATTAGAAAGATCCCAGAAGGGTCAGATGCAAGTCTTTTTTACCTTTGATCCAGATTGAAGTGTCTTCGAGGGATAAAAAAGTGAGCAAACAAACGGAACATAGATATTCCTGGTGATAACAAACATCCTTTTCAATAGGTTTGCAAACATAACACAGAAACAAAAACTTTTAAAAGATGGGTGATTGCCGCTTTTCAACTTGTTCATAGATTTAGAGTTACAGTAACCCAAACTCTCAGTTCTACGAAACCCTCTAATAGAACGCCACCAATAACGTCCACCTTTGAGCTTATTTATCTCTGTTCCTGTGAATGATATAAAAATAATGATGGACTGACAAAATATGTTTGATATTATGATAAAAATTTTACCAGTTGACACATTTTTGCTATCTCGCATAGAAATCGAGATAATTGACCTCAAACTTGATAGTGTGGGGGCCCTTCTATTACAGGTTTTTGCGGTAATTAATCTTTAGAGAAGGCAACTTTAGTTTTAAAAATGAAGAATGTAATGTTTGAAAAAAAACAGTATGATGACATCAATGCATTGCTGACTAATGACTTGTTTACATGTTCTCAACTCCCCACAGCATGTGGAAATACAGTAATCCTACATGCCCATAGAAAAGCGAAAGCCAAGATATTACGAATCTTTGATCTGTTCCAGGAATTTGGAACATCCAATATCAAACTAGAGTAGCCTTTTCTATAGCCATCACCCTCTTGATTTTTCCATCGTTTCTGATCTCTCCACCTTGATTTTTTTAAATCGAGACATAATCTAATCTGCTCGTCGGACACACGTCACCACGTAAGTACGTGTTTCTTCTTCTTCTTCTTTTGCCTTCATCAGACCGGTCCGTCTGTCTTATACTCTTCTCTCTCTCTCGCGCCATCTACCTCGAAAAAAACCGTGTGCAAAGTCTCCGTTGCCGCCGCGCTGTCCCCCCTTCTCTTCGACGGGCGGCACCTAAACTCCGCCTCTCTGAACCGGAAAGTTCGTACTGATAGAATATGGAAATATTAGAGAATCGAGGGACACAGAAAGGTATCTGTGTGCCATTCTCTGTTTTTTGCGAGTCGTTTCTGCGTGAGTCAGATACATCTCGACCTAGGATTGAGAAGAGGAATAGGGGAACACTGTGTTTTGTCTTCCGTCCGACTTATCTACTCATTTTGACACATCTTAGCATATACTGTAGCTAGAGTGGCACCCGTTTTTAGAAGTCCCCTTTTCCTTTGAAGGTACGTCTTATGATTAGTTGTGCTTCTGAAAATCTTAAACAAATCTTTGGCGCCAGTGTACCGAGTACTGTTACCGTAAACACTAATACAATGCCTCCAAGCCGTCAACTTTCAGCTCATATCGCTCGTTTTCTGTAAAAGATATAAAAAAGAGGTAAACTGGCAAAATGTTGGTGATATTATGGTAAATAATTCATCAGTTAACCAAATTTTGATATCTTTCACAGGAACCGAGATGTATGAGCACCAAGACGAAAGTTAAGATGGACCCTCTATTAAAGTGTTTACGGTAACTTTTTCTCACTATGAGAGATTATGATGAAAAACAACAAATGTGGAAAATTTCACCCACAAACCAAGTTTAAAGCTAAATATTACATATTTTTCAGACCATAACAATCGGAATGCAAAAAGTAGCGCCAGTGAAAACGAGAGATGCGCAGAAATGAACTGCTGAACTACTACTTATCAAGTTTTCTAATATTATCACTATCATATGCTTCTATCCATGCCGAAAGTATGTTTTCAACAAAACCCAACTTCTTCAAACAACATAAAAATACAAAAATGCAGCTCGGTTTTAGTTTTGCATTCTTGAAAATTTTCAGATTTGGAAAATCATAAAACCAGTAATAGAAGTACCTTCTAAGTTTCAATTTTTCTCGGTTTCTGTAAGAAATAGAAACAAGTTATCAACTGGTAAATTGTTTATCATAATATCAGAAACATTTTGCCAGTTGACCACTTTTTGATATCTTACATTAGAATTGAGATAATTGTGCTTAAACTTGACAGTGCGGAGACCCTTATATTACAGGTTTTACGGTATAGAACACATTCCAAATTTAGGTACTTTTTGTTTATGATAATTTTTGCCGTATACGAACCGCACGCGACCCGTTTTCAGAAAACCACAGTACATTATTTCGTACTTCTCCGTATTCTATCAGTTTGCGAACTCCGTATCCGATCCAATTGCGAATGATAAACAAACGGATCCGTTCGCGAACTTAAACTGTTGTTTGATTCGCGAACGGATCCGTTTGTCCATCATTCGCAAGCGGATCGGATACGGAGTTCGCGAACGGACAGAATACGGAGGAATACGGAATAATGTGCTGTGGTTTTCTGAAAATGGGTCGCGTGCGGTCCGTATGCGGTTCCTATTGCAACCGCGCGCGAGCGCTGAGCGTTCGTAACGGATCCGTTCGCATTTTACCTGTGACTTCGATTTCGGGTCCAATTTGGCTATTACTTCATTTCCTGAACTTTTTATCTACAGTCTGACAATTTCAGAAGATCTCTTGCCTCAATCCACTTCCAGTGAAACATTCCTAACAGATGAAGACTTTTTGAGGCCACTGTATGGTAAGTTTTTTTACAAACTAAAAGGCTTTTTCCCTAGATCTCAACTTTCTGATTTTTGTAAAAAATCCCGGAAACTTCCGCTTCCGTGAAGTTATGAGTATCATCATCGCTACCTGGTGTATCAAATTGCCGGATGGCATTAACTGCTTTTTGATCTCATTTTGTTCTCCCCTTTTCCTCGTTTTTTCTGCCGACTGAGAACCCCAATTAACACTTGTTTTGTTTGTGTTGTGCCAAGAACAACAAGCGATAGAAGTCCTCTTTTATTTGCTCATTTACGGGATGTTTGTCTCTCTTTTTTCCCACTTCTTTCCAGACTATATTGGGTTTCAAATTGTTCTTGGATGCTTGACAGACTGTAGAAAAAAAGAATAAGGAAAATAGATGTCTGGTGTGCTGGATTGAGAGGGGAAATTGCACTTTTAGGGAAGGCGGTACACGGATCTAACTGCTGTGGTATGCGGTTGTGCTCTAATGAGGAAGGGTGTGTTAGCTGGAAATTTGCGATAATTCAACATTGTTCGCTGTGTCTCTCGCTGTCGTGCACTGATATTGTATTCGCTCGCTACCAATTACAGTTTTTTCGTATTATCTAAAACTTTGGCACGCCCCTTCACATGGAAGCGCGATAGCATACCACAGCAGTTCTAACCCTGTGAAACGGAAGCTTTTGATTTTGAATACGAGTCGGTCTCTGAATAAACACACTTTTTTCAGATGACGAAACATTTTTAACGGAAAAAGACTTCAAAAACGGAGAAAAACTAGGTGAAGACCACGTGGCGGCTGGCTCAATTCTTTGGAAACAAGTCTACAAAAAAGGAGACATTCGTGGAAAAGCAGCTTGGAAATTGGTATGATATGTGATTCATCCCCAAATGATCATCAGGTCAAATCCCTATAATCCACTCCCGATAAAAAAAAATATCGAGACTTTCACTATTTTGACTGACATGAAAAATTTGAATTTTATGAAGAGAGAAAAAGAGAAAAAGGGCATGAATACGTTATTCAAAAAGGGAGAAAAAATTGTTGATGACATTGTAATAACCAGACGAAACTGCCCCGTTTAAACCGATGAATCTCGGGAAAACCGGTAAAATGGCGGACGTTTTTTTGTCAAAAAGGATTGGGGTGAATATGCGATTTTGTTGAATGTTCGAAGTTTGGATTTTGAAATAAAAATCATAAGTTTAGGATTCAAAAAACAGTGAGAGTTTGCGAAGGAACGGTGTGATAACTGGAACAAGAAAATGGCCGAACGGCAGGATTCCATACGTGATATCGAATCAGTATAATGATAGAGAAAGAGCAGTTTTGGCAAGAAGTTTTCAGGTGAGACAAACTTTAACCTGGAATAACTGAAACTAAAAATGTTTCTACATTTTCACAGGCATATCACGACAAGACCTGTGTGAGATTTGTTCCACGAACAGCTGTAGATAATGACTATTTGTATATTGGAAAGATTGATGGGTTAGTTTAGAAGTTATAATTGCACTGTAAGTTCATTTATCCCAATTTCTATACGATGAATCAAAAATTTGTCAACTGATAAAATTTTGGTGCTATTATGACAAATATCATATCAGTTGACTCATTTTTGATCTCTTTGATAGAAATGGAGATACTTGAGCTCAAAGTGCAAGTATAAAGTGGTCTTCTACTGAGTGTTTACGGAAGTCACTTTTTGGGGAAACTTTCAACATTTTTCAGTTGCTATTCGGACGTTGGAAGAGCTGGTGGACGACAAGAACTATCATTAGACAATGGTTGTTTGCAGGTTCTTTTTCCTCGATTTCTAGAGCATTGATCTTATTAATTCCAGTATGACACTGCAATTCACGAGCTGATGCATTCAGTTGGTTTCTATCACGAACACGAACGGTGGGATAGAGATGAGCATATCACGATTCTATGGCATAATATTGATCGCGGTAAGACCTTGTAGTCCATAGTTTCTTCTAAAAATCATTCCTTCAGAGGCGTACGACCAATTTGGAAAAGTAGATCTAGCCGAGAGCTCCTATTATGGACAATTATACGACTATTATTCTATCAGTGAGTTTTTCGATCAAATTGAAAACCAATTTTATCGGGTTTAGTGCACTACGACTCACTTGCTTTCTCCAAGAACGGATTCGAAACAATGGTTGCAAAAGCTCCAGAGATGACAGCAGTCATCGGTGCTGCAATTGATTTTAGTCCGGTATGAAATCACATTTTGATTTAAAAAAATCTAGGACCTACCAATTCAGATCGACATTCTGAAAATGAACTTGATGTATCAATGTAGCGATGTTAAACTTCCAGCAACTATTGTTGCAAGTACGGTACCACCGGCCGTAGTTCCAGCACCAGCTCCTGGGATTACGGTAGTAGAGGATGGTAAGTTTTTTTCGGCTAACTTTTCGTCGTGTGTGTTCGGATGGACCCTGAAGTTTTCAGATTGCCGAGATAGAACAAATTTGTGTTGGCGGTGGATCGATCGTTGCAAATCATTCTTCTTCGAACAAATCATGAAAGAATTTTGTGCCCTCTCCTGTGGCTACTGTACTCCAAAAACACTCCAAACTGCAAAAGCATCACCTCCAAACTACAGTAATACGATGCTCACTAAATCGAGCACTTCGTATCTGCAACACGGATAGTCGCAATTGAACTTGATTAGAAAAACCATTATGAATTCCCCTCCGTCTTTCTGTGCATTCTTCATCCCAAAAATTCCAGTTTTGCCATAATTTAATGTCATTATGTGATCTAATTATTTAAAATAAACATGTATTTATCATCAACTTCAAACTTCTACAAAATCCTTTCAGGTAAGTATAATATTTTCAAATTTCTTAATGTTGAACAATGATCAACTTTTGTCAAATTACATATTTCGTCTCTACCTCGAAGGGAGCTAACAATTCCGAGACAACAAATAATTCTCATTCTGCTTCCAACCTCATTGGCAAATGGCTCGTTTCTTTGAGATCTCTGATACTTTTACCAAGTTTGGTCTTGCTACCGTATTCATAACCAATTCGATTCTAATCTATCTAACTCTGTTCCACATAAAACGAATTATCGGAGTCTATAAGAAGATGATAATTGTTGTTGCTATGATGGGAATAACCTTCTCGTCCACTGAATTAATCGCAAGACCATTTGTCCATAGTTTCAACAAAGGATGGATCTTCTTCAGTTTGAATTCGTGGCTCGAAACATCGCAATCAGTTCTTCAGATAGCTTTGGCAGTCTATGCGAGTATGTATCTTCTGATGATGTCATTTATTGCAGTTCAATTTTTATTCCGATATTTTACATTAACAAGTCCAAGAACTGCTAAACGATTTGAAGGAAAAGGTATGATTGTTTGGTTAACTTATCCGGTGATCATTGGATTTTTATACGGTGGTCCTTTATTCCTTTTTGGTCTCCCTGATGATTATGGCGATGAATATTTCAGGTAGGTTTTTTATTTTATTTTTCAAACTAGCCAAGTAGCAAACGACCTTTTTTTCAGACAGGAAATTCTAAATGCATATGGATTAGCAATCAAGGATGTGGCTCGTTTTCCGATTATAGCTTATGTAAGTTGATTGAAAAATATAATCAACGGGTGTCTGAAGTCTGTCTGAAGTATAAAGGACAGGAAACCAGTTTGATATTGATACATCAAGGAATTGGATGTTAGGAAAAAAGTTTTTGCCTCTCTTGTTGTAATTTTCTACCGGGTGACATCAACTGCAATACAAACTAGAAACTACATATGTTAGACATGTCTGATTATGAAAAACCATGATTTTGTGTCTTGGTATTTCCTAGCCTTCATCTGTGTTTTCTTAAATTTGTTTACACATAATAACAACCAACAACTACAGTAATTCATCACATCAGTTGTAATTGCAGGGCCCAGATGGATCTTTGAGACCTGGCGTCTTTTTTATACTATCTGGAGCCGCTGTTATGATACTACAGTACGCTATCATCATATACTGTGGTGTCCGAATGCATTTAATGATGTCCAGAGAATTCAAAAACCTATCTGTACCCAATAAGAAACTTCAAAAACAATTTTTCCGAGCCCTCGTCACACAGACTATTGCTCCGACAGTTCTATTCGTTTTTCCTGCCGCTTATGTTCTTATGAGTCCTTTGCTGGATATCGAAATGAATTTTCAAACTGGATGGATCTATGCAGCTCTCAGTTTGTTTCCACCAATTGATAGTATTGCTTTGATGTGTTTGGTATCAGAATATCGGAATGTTATCAAACGTATGATTAAATTTCAGAACTTGAAATAGAAAATTGTTGATTTCAGATCTATTTCGAGAACTCTGTTGCATATCTCCTAAAGTTCCAGATATTGAACTGCGCAGTTCCACATGATATAAGAAGTAGTGATTTTCAAAATTTTTAATTCTGAAAGGAATAATCAAAGAATGTCAAAATTTCCGTAAAAATTTTCAAAAATTCGTCAAAGAAAGTGTGTGGGACTCCATGGTGATTTTTTTCAAAAAAGTTTTTTTTTTGAAATTATTCGAAAATCATTGCAGATCATAGAAATGTTCAAAAAAGTGTTTCCCATCTGCCAAACCCCTCGAAAACGACTTTTTAAGTTTGAAAAAATAAGAAAAATCAAAAGCTTCGATTTCTGTGAAAGACGTGAATATGCCAAACTCACAAAAATCGAAAGCATCGATTTCTGTCACCACTGAATTGAACGTATTTTCTGTAAATTTGAACATATTTCGGCTCAGCAGATAAAATGTAAAATTTGTGAAACTTCAGAGAAATTTTGGAAATCGAACTGCTTTTGGATGAAAATTAGAAATTTTGAAAATCGATACTTGTTATATGGAAACAATTTCATAGAAAATTGAACGTTCGACAACATGTGATATGAATCTACTTTTATTTTTCTATATTCTACTTATTTTAGAGCTGAAATCCCCCGGAAACTGTGTGGAGTTGTTGATAATATCAACTAGACAGTTTAACAGAAAACTCGGTAGAGATACCCAGAATCGCATCTGTACTCGTGCGCTGAAATATAATGAGAACCGTGTGGAGCTGTTGATAATATCAACTATATATATATATGGTTTACCAGAATGCTCTGAAGAGATACCTAGAATCGCGGGCTCTTTCCGGTAAGAACGGTCCCAAAACGGGACCGCCGGTCCCATCATTGGACCACCGGTCCCAAGAATTGCGACAACGGTCCCATTGTTTCGACAACGGTCCCAATGTACCGAGAACGGTCCTAACGTTTCGACAACGGTCCCAATGGTACGACAACGGTCCCAAGGGCACGACAACGGTCCCAACCATGCATAATCTGGAAACCCTTTTCCCGGAATACAGAACACAGAATGGACTTTTAAAAATCCAGTGGAAAGGTTAACATTTTACTTATACTTGGGAATTTCAGTACTTTTTGACAGGAATTTTTCACAAAATATTACGTTTTTTGTATTTTAGGCTTAGGACAAAACGCCTTTTTCCGGCACTGATGTGAACAAGTCGTTTCAGCCTAAGCCTATAATTGTAAACCGAATATACTCTGAAAAAAATTCGAGTAAAAAAGTGTTGGAATTCTCAATTATCGGCAAAATTTTCGTTTTTGTTGCTGAAATATGTTTCTTTGTTGAAACGAAAATTACAATTTCCGATGTTTCCAATAGGGTTTCCAGATAAAGCTTGGTTGGGACCGTTGTCGTGCCCTTGGGACCGCTATCGTACCCTTGGTTCCGTTGTCGGAACGTTGGGACCGTTCTCGGGACATTGGGACCGTTCTTCCCGGAAAGAGCCGAATCGAGTATGTATTTGTTTTCACAATTACAATAAAGTTTTAATATTCTTTAACTTTTTGAAATACAGAAGTAATGTATTGAACTTTATTTAATTATTTATTTATTTATTGATTACGACCTTCCGTCGTGGAAAAAGAGAAAAAAGAGAAAAGGAATACAATACAATCACACAAAACACATTTCAGATTAAAAAGGGAAAAAAACAGAATGAAAAAATCGGTGATAAAAATGACAAAGATTCAACAAATAACTCTACAAATCAGCTGTTTTTTGATTAACTGGCCAACTAAAGACTAATCCATCATTATCAAAAACTCTTCCTCTGTTTTGTCCCACACTCCAATGCGGAAAGTCTTCTCTTCAATCATAACAGATGCCACATGATTATCTGATTCTCTAACGACGTATGAGTGGCTGACGATTGGATAGGTGTTTGACAGTTAGGGAGAAATATCGAATCTGAAAAATGATTACTTAAATCAGTTCTATGAATCCCAAGAAGAGAAAATGTTTTGGGAGAAAAAATATTGAAAAATAACTTACACTTTGGGCAAAGTATGTCTTGGTGGTTTTTTTGTTGCATCAATTGGTTTTGCTGCGATTGCATTTAAAAATTCGTTCTGATTGGGAAGAAAAGCGCTAGAAAGTTTTTTAAATTCCAGATGTTCCAACTTTTGAAATGCTTCTCCTGATTTCCATCTATTCACAAACTCAATCAAATCAAAAAGTTCGCCTTTTTCGCATGTTAAAGTTGCCTGTCTTCCTTGAAAATGACGTAAGATATCAGGAAAAGATGGTCCTTCTTGCTTTATTACAATCGATTCGGCCTGATAGAATTTGGATTCCTAGTTGAATGGTTCGTTTGTTGTCGTCACCTTAATATCAATATATTTTAAAACAGGATTTGATGCGAAAAAATTTTCAAGCTTCTTCATGTCCGCAAAGTCCTTGTCGAGAGTCAGAATGTTACGTTCTGGAGTGAATATATTCGATAACAGCTTCTATATCACAATGGTGAAAAAATGCTACAGGGAGTTTGTTTTCGTCCATTCTGTAATAATGATACTTGTATGATTCATTGCTCATCTTTACTTACCGAAAATCAATTGTCTTTCCAGATAAGTTCAATTGAAAATATCCATATTCAGTATCCTCGCTCTCGAAAGGTTTCATTCGTAAGACGTTGTTACGTTTGTAGTTAGCACAAATCCACGATTGATCAAGTAGAAATATATAAGATAATTTCATGTGGTAGAGAATTTCCTTTTGGACCACAGACGGATATTTGGATAAAATCATTTTCATTTGTTCTGAAATTGTTAGATTGTAGAAAAACAAGAATGTTGGTCAGAAAAATGATTGAGATGTAAGAAGAATGAGAAAAGAAGGAACATCTTATGACGTGGCAGATGACCCAAAAGATACAGAAGAGAGTGCATTAATGACCTTGACTGGTTACATCCTACCTTTTTCCCAGAAGGACATCCCCCATTTAAAAAGGAAAAAAAAAACCAGATCGTTGCTTATTTATTCATTCACAATGACAATCAACGATTCGTATTCTTCACTTGTTAAAATACGAACAGTATTGTAAAGTTTATCACAGATTAAAAAAAAGAAAAAATAGAATGAAAAATAAGTGATAAAAATGACAAGGACTCAATAAATTACAAATCAGGCGATGTTTCGAAATACAGTTAATTAAAGACTAATCCATCATTCTCAAAAACTATTCCTCTGTTTTGTCCCACACTCCAAAACGGAGAGTCTCCTGCTCAATCAGAACAGATGCCACGCGATTATCTGATTCTCTAACGACATTGTGTGGCTGACGATTGAATATGTTTTTGATGAAATGAGAGAACAATACCGATCGTATCTGAAAAGTGATTACTTGATTCAGAGGTATTTTTGCCAAGTATTTAGATAAAATATTTTTGAAAAATACTGAAAAATAACTTACACTTTGGGCAAAGTGTGTGATGGGGGTTTTTTGGTTGCATCAATATATTGTGCTGCGATTGCATTCAGAAATTGGTTCTGACTTGGAAGAAAAGCGTTAGAAAGTTTTTTAAATTCCAGATGTTCCAACTTTTGAAATGCTTCTCCTGATTTCCATCTATTCACAAACTCAATCAAATCAAAAAGTTCGCCTTTTTCGCATGTTAAAGTTGCCTGTCTTCCTTGAAAATGACGTAAGATATCAGGAAAAGATGGTCCTTCTTGCCCGGTTTGAATAGATTCGGCCTGATAGAATTTGGATTCCGGGTTGAATGGTTCAGTTGTTGTCATCACCGTAATGTCAATATATTTGAAAACAGGATTTGATGCAAAAAAAAACTTTCAAGGTGTTTCATGCCCGCAAGTCCATCTCCAAGAAACAAATTGATACTGAATGATACGTTTTTGAGTTTTGGAATATAAGGAATAGAAATCTCTTCGGATTCTTTCTCTGTGTCTTCTGCTTTCCAATTATACTTGACAGATTTCCCAAAGATGTCAAGAAGATAGCTATGAGTAGATTGGATTACAGCTTCTATATCACACAGGTCAAAAACTGCTGCAGGGAGTATGTATTCTCTATCGGATATTCTGGAATAATGATACTTTTATGACATATTTCTAGTTTTGCCTCACCGAAAATCAATTGCCTTTCCAGATACGTTCAACTGAAAATAATCGTATTTAGCATCTTCGCTCTCGAAAGTATTCATTCTTAAGAAACTTCGATGTTTGTAGAGAGCATGAATCCATGGTTGCTCAATTCCATCACTAATCCATCAGTCTCCGGAATCCATCAGTCTGAATCTGCCCATTTGAGACGATTTGATCAACTTCTTCATGTTTTTTGAGGCAAAGGAAAGTAGAAATACATTGGATAATTCCATGTCGTAGAGTATCTCCTTTTGGACACAAACGGATATTTGGATGAAATCATTTTTAGTCGCTCTGAAATTATGGAAGAGATTGTAGAACAGCAATAATGTTGGTCAGAAAAAATGATTGAGATTGAAGAAGAAAGAGAAAAGAAGGGACATCATACGACGTGGCAGATGACCTAAAAGATACAGAAAAGGGCCTTGACTGGTTACATCCTACGTTTTTCCCAGAGTGACACCCCTCAATTAAAAGTGGATTAGTTGGAAATGTCTTCTTAGCACCTCAAATAGAGAGATGATCAGGTTGATCTTGGCCAATCAAGACAATGTCACAGACACCATAAAACCAGTAATATAATTTTCCCACACTGTCAATTTAAGCTCAATTACCGTAAAACTTGTATTAGAAGGGCCCCTTTAATAGAGGTGGATTAGTTGGAAATGTCTTCTTAGCTCCTCAAATAGAGTGATGTGTCAGGTTGATCTTCGCAAATCACTACAACATTTCATATTGGGGTTTTCAAAACCTAAACTATTTCTCTTTCTCCAACAGTCCTATTTGTTTTTCCTGTCATAATATCGGGAAGTTATTGAACGTATAACTAAACTTCAAAACTTGAAATTTGAATTTCTAAATTCAAAATTTTCGAATTTCCTAAGTCACAAAGGTTTCACAGGTTTACTGAAGTGTCTAGTCTCCGAAAATTCCGAATTTTGAACAGTCGGTTCGTGCCCCTCCGGGCTGAACCTCATGACTCCCTCCCACGGTACATGTCTCATAGACAGGTTTTGTCTTGCAAAGTATTATCTTCACAAAGTATTATCTATAAAAATTATCTTCGCAAAGTATTATCTATAAAATTATCTTCACAAAGTATTATCTATAAAAAACATAATTTTTATGTGTTGCCGCAGAAAATTTTCACAATATTTACAGCCAGTTTGGCTGAAATGTGCAATTCTGCGCTAACTCCTCACAAGATTTCACTTTAACTTTCCATTAGAGAATGTCTTCAGTTACTCGAAACAGCAGAAACGGAAAGTGATAAAAACTCCGATTTCTTTTACCATTCATTTTTCTGCCGCCCACTTCGGTTTTTCGCTTTTTTCTTTTCTCTTGTAGATTTTTCAGTGAAAAAATTACATTTTCGAAAGTAAAAAACAATTACATTTTCGAAATCTACGTACTCGATTACATAAGGAGACAAATTTTCATATTGAAATATCTCTTCTAGCCATAGTTACAGCCAATCAAACAGCCGAAACAACCCTGGGGGGAAAAATAATTAGGCTCTGTAAACGATATCAAAAAGGAGTCAACTGTAAAAATACCTTTGACATTATAAAAAGTTTTTTGTTAGTTGTTCGTTTTCCGATATCTTTTACAGGAAGCGAGATAATTGAGCTCAAAGTTAACGGTTTGGGTGGGCTTCTATTACGGTACTTTTCAGTTCAAGTCTTTGTCTAGATCATGTGCTGAGATCTCCTGGGGCCTGTGTTAAGTTGTTGATAGTATCAGCTGCGTAGACTGTTTACCAGAAATTCAATACTCCGAGGAGATACAGAGAATCGCGTGTGTATTCAATGTTACTTCGTTATCGTCAGCTATAATGCGGTTTTACGAAGTTATGGATACATTCACAAAATGTGGATTTACAAGTGTCACTATTGTAAACTCATATCTCATTTTTCTAACAGTTTTCCATATCAAAAGAGTCACTGGAACATACAAGGCAATGGTTCTTATATTTTCAACGATTGGAATTATGTTTTCTTCTTGGGAACTTATAGCTCGTCCATTTGTTCACAATTACAATAAAGGTTTCATATTCTTCAGCCTGAATACATGGCTAGAAGTTCCTCAAAAATTTCTTCAAGTGGCACTTGTCATCTACGCCAGCTTCTACCTTTGGATGGTTTCTCTAATTGCTGTTCAGTTTTTATTCCGTTACTATACACTTGTTAATCCTAAAATTGCGAAAAAATTCAGTGGGAAAGGAGTAGGCGTTTGGTTACTGTACTCACTCTTCTGCGGTTTAGTTTATGGTTCGCTTGTATTTTACTTCGGACAACCTGATGAATATTCAGATGAGTACATGAAGTAAGTAAACTCTCCTATTCTTAGAATACTAATATTTTCCAGAGAAGAGATGATACAAACATATGGTTTAGTGGTGGATGAGTTGCCACGTATTCTTATGATCCCATATGTGAGTCATTGTCAAATACTTAGGCCAACCTTAGAATCGTGTTTTTAGGATTCCGATGGATCAGTAAGAATAAATGTTTTGTTTCTGATATTGGGCGGGTTTAATGTGGCTGTCCAGTATATTATCATCATTTACTGCGGTCTTCGTATGCACATATTCATGACACGGGAATTCGCGAGATGTTCGATTCCCAACAAGAAACTACAAAAACAATTCTTTCGAGCATTGATCGTCCAAACTGTAGTTCCAACTATTCTTTTTGTTTTTCCAGCTTTCTTCGTTCTATTTTGTCCTCTTTTAGATATGGAAATGCATTTTCAAACTGGTTGGATTTATGCTGCTTTGAGTTTATATCCACCCATTGACAGTCTAGCCTTTATGCTCCTTATCTCAGAATATCGAAGGGTTACAAAAGGTTTGATTATCTCAGAAGCTTTCCAATAAGGATGTTTTGCTTTTCAGAACTTTTCAAACTCATTTTCCCGGATAAACCTCGACAAGTGGCAAACGGATCAGCAACCCTTGCTAAAACCGGATAATTATTTATATTTCATTGCATTTTTTTCGCTAAACTTGTAATAAATCTTCTGAGCTTGATCTCTCTAATTTTTAGGTGTTGTCGAATTTCAAAAAAACTGGCACCTGACAATTTCGCGGGCGGCGTTCATGTCGATTTACGAGGCCCGCCCCCAAATCTGATACTGTATTACTTAAACGAAATTAATTTCTGTAAATTTACAGTGATTTTCCGCACAAAATTGAGATTTCTTGATAAGTATATGATCTCTGTCAGTTCTAGAATCTTCATCGGACAACGTTAGCTAATAAAATTGCGGAAATGGCCGAACGAGGCGAACGTTTGAAATTTTATGGCTTGCAAATTCTCAGGTGCCAGTTTCTTTGAATTCGATAATATGCTCCGAGACGGAATTCGAAGCTGAAGCTCTTGAACTTCCAGCGATATCTTCTTGAAATATGCATTTGATTTTTTGATTTTCGTTTATTTAAAAAATGACAAACATAACAAACAGTTCAACAATGTAAAACAACGGTAACAGAAAAAGCAACAGGACAAACGGATAAATGGCATTTGAATTGGCTAATAGTGATCCATTTGGTTCTTCGGAACGATATAAGCTCTACGATGGTCAATGCTGATTGGAATGATTTTTCTGAACATGTAGAGCTTCTGAAAAAAAAGAGTATGTAAGATTTGGCGAATGAAAATTTTTACAAACCTGAATGTTCGAGTTTCTGAAATACATCTTCAGATCATCATCGCTTTCGTATGGGTATCTGTAGATAGTTCTGAAATCGAGATCTTCAAGAAAGTCCCAGTCGGATAGTTTCATTTTCTTGGAGTGCTGAAAAGAATGGCATTGTAATTATGTTTTAATGAATAGTGTCATACCGAGAGATCGAGATGAAAACGCTGCAGAAATTCTTCGTGTCTGATGAGAAGAGGATTGAATAAGTCGATGTTCCAGGAGCTATCCTGAGTGACTGATCTCTGTGAATGACCAACTCTCGAAACTTCCGGGCGAATCATCATCAAGTTGTGTGAACGCTTCATAAAGGAACGAGAGAACATCCAGCCTGTGAAAATTAAATGGGATTTATTGCAATTTTACTTTTCATACCGTTGTTCCAGCAGGGTGAATCAGTAAGCCAAAGAACGTCTCCTAGATTTCTGTCCTGCCAAACGTCGTTGCCATGTCCACAAACACCATGAATGATTGAATCGATTTCCATCGCACGCTTCCCGGTGAAAAAGAAGTCAGTGAAATCGTCTCCAATGTGTTGATAATCTTCAAAGACATACTAATTGAATACTAAAACATTATGGTGTTGTTCATGACATAAAAAAATGTGATAATAGATTCAAAAACCACGTTTTCAATGTCTCAAATAACCCCATTAGTCTTCTCTTACCAATGAGAGTGATGATATAATTCTTGCGGTGAATTCCGAAAATTCGGGAAGCTGCAGAGCGCCTATCGGTATCCTGAAACCATCTTATGAATATTTTCAGTTTTCCAAGCATTTGTGACGTACATTTAAAGCTACTGCTTTTGAAGTTTTGTTGACCCAAGATTTCAGGAGTTTGTAACTAACTCCGGAAATGTTTGTTGGAGTGAAAAGGAATATTTGAAGATCTTCTGGCATTCTTTGAGACATCAGGGAAGTGATCAGTCTTTGCGTGTCGTTTTTATTGGTGCTTTCGATAAGGACTGCCACCTGAAAAAGTTATCATTTATTCAATGAAGACAATAGAGAGCGCACATCTTTCATATCTCCATTCTTGCGCCCTTCGGTCACAAAATGTTCGAATTTGATATTGTGCATTGGAAAAACTCCAGCTTTCGACATTCTCGGGAATTGATTCGGGGTATCGAAAAAGTGAGGAGATTCATGACCGATTTTTGGCTGTATAGCAATGCTTTCAGCGATGACGTCGGTTATTTTCTCCAGATATTCGATTTTTCTCGCAAGAGCTTTCTGAAAGTCAGGTTATGAATCAAGTATTTAACTGATATGTCTCACTTCTCTGCGGCCAATCGCGTCCAACCGAAACCCGTAAGCAATTAATGTTACAACAACAACAGCCAGAACACAGAAGATTATTAGGTTTTTTAGCTTTATAGAATTTTCCGACATTCTTCAGAAAATGACGGTTTCGTTGGATGAACGGAAAAATGTTGACAGCCGTGTGAAGAAAATAATTTAAAGGCTCAACACTATGTTAACACTGCCGACTGCCGCAACGAATACAGTAACCGCAGAAGGAAAATAAAAAAACGGAAGCAGTGTCAACATTTCAAAGCTTCATGGGGTTATTCATGTAGCGAAAATATGTATTGAAATGCATTTCCGCGCCCTCGAAACTCAATGCATGAGCGTCGCGAAATGTATTTCAAAGCATTTCGCGACATAACTGTAAAAGCATTTCAATACATCGCGTGGCGAGATATTTTTTCTGGACAAAGAGATGCGCCTTTAAACTTTGTGCAGTATGGGGAAAATCTTTAAAGGCGCATACCTTTTTCCAGAAAAAATATCTCGCCACGCGATGTATTGAAATGCATTTACAGTTATGTCGCGAAATGCTTTGAAATACATTTCGCGACGCTCATGCATTGAGTTTCGAGGGCGCGGAAATGCATTTCAATACATATTTTCGCTACATGAATAACCCCATCAGATTTGCTTCAAATTCAACGAATTCAGTGAATTCTGTACAGAATTGCGAAAACGAAAAAAGTAAATTTTTATTGAGACATCGTAAACAGTAGAATACACCGCGATCTGTTTTTCAGGTGATTCAAAGTAGAAAATTAATTTTTTCTTGATTTACAGAATAACAAAGAAAAGATAATGTTTTCATAGTTTTTGTTCTTTTCTGCTACTTTGTAAAATATGCGGAGAATTCATTTTTCTACCTTGCATCACCATATAATGGGGAACGGAGCTCTATTAAAGTTTTTATCGTAATTAATGTAATAAGTCGAAACCCGAAATGTGTGATTATCCTTTTCCACGACCTCCTCCACGGCCACCGCCACCTCTGCCGCCACCTAGAAAACGATCTATCAGTGAAAAAGTATAGCTGGAAATTCAGACCTCTTCCTCCTCCACCTCCACCACGACCGCCACCGCCTCCTCCGCGGCCACCACCACCGCCTGTAAAAATATTTATAGTCTCATGATTTTGTTTTGTAGAATCTTACCTCCACGACCTCCACCGCCGCCTCCTCCGTTGTTGCCACCCCATCCACCATTATTACCTCCACCGCCCCAGTTTCCTCCGCCACGACCTCCTAAATAATTCGAACTATCGAAAAATTCGAGAATGATCAAAAACTAACCCCATCCTCCTCCTCCGCCTCTACCCCATCCTGGTCCGCCGCCTCCGCCCCATCCGGGTCTTCCTCCCCAGAATGGCGATGGTCTGAATCCCCAAGGCGGTGGTGGTCCCCAGCCCCCTGAAATTCAAAATATCATACAATTTCCCTTCTAAAAAAGTAGGACTTACATTGTGCACAGGACTCGAAAACGGTCAGAAATAGAACGAATAATGCCAATTTGTGCATTTCAATCTAGAAAAACTGATGAAATCAGGAAGTCGTCTGCTAGAATCGGTTTATTTATACGTCCATTTGATGACCTTGGTAGTAGAAGTAGGCTGTAGAGTGATAATAATCAAAGAAGAGAAGAAGACACAAATCAGATCGTTTACTTTCTCTCTCGTCTTCTGATCTTCTCGTGACAGTTTGTCGAACTGACCGCTTCTTCTTTAGTTGAAAAGGATGGTTCTGGTTCCCTATTGGATCAATTCGAAGAATATGTGTGTCATACATCTTCAAAAGAATCAAAAATATTTATCATTTCAAACCAAATGGTGATTCAAATTGAGAACAAATAAGAAAAGTAATGAAAATGATATTTAACAGGACAAATAAATGAGCGAAGAAAATTATAGCTACTACGAGAGGGTTGATGTATCTGATGGGTAGGCTTTGATGATTCGAATTTCGGTCTTCGGACGGTCGTGGTTGTCAGTATCCACTCTTCCTATATTCGCGATCACTTTCATTCCAGCTGCCACTCTTCCGAAAATTGTGTGCTTTCCATCAAGATGTTGAGTGGGAGCCAGGGTGACGAAGAACTGAGATCCGTTCGTGTTCGGTCCTGCGTTGGCCATTGACAGGATCCCAGCACCTGTGTGCTTCAGGCGCTCGTCGATCTCATCAGCAAACTTGTCTCCGTAGATAGATGCTCCACCACGTCCTAAAATTTCATGCTACAATATGTCAAAGCACAAAAAATGTTTACCAGTTCCGGACGGATCCCCTCCCTGGATCATGAAGTCGGCGATGATACGATGAAAGATGGTTCCATTATAATAATTCCTCTTTGCCAGCTGCGAAAAGTTCTGACAAGTGCGCGGGGCATGATTCCAATACAATTCGAGCGCCACTTTGCCCATAGTGGTTTCGAGGATGACGAACGGGGACTGGTCGCTGATCGGAGCAGGCATTTTCTGAAAATGGCTGACAGAAAAAAAGGAAACTGACGAAAGTTACGAAAAAAGAAAGTTGAGATCAAACAAGTAACAAGATAGAAGTTTTGAGAATTAGCAGAGATTGTAATGCCGCGTTCAAAGTTGATTTCCAGGAGTAACTTCCTGGAAAAACGCTGTCCACAGCTGCGATTGCATACTTGTAAAATTCCGGGCCGGCTCGCCAAAGCCCGGGCCGGGCCTGAGGAAAATTTCAAGGCCCGGGTCCGACCCGGAAGGCCCGGTAGCAAAAATTAATTTTGTTATTTTGAGCCGAATTTTGAGCTCTCAATACAATTTTCTATATTTTTTGTGCTTTTTGGATTGTTTGTCTGTTTGATAAAAAATATCAAAAAAAAATTTCTTGATCGGAAAAATCACATAAGGGTCCCCCCTTATGTGTTTTTTGAAATTTTCAAAACTTGTGGAATGACAGGCCCGCCGGGCCTTCGAAATTAGGGAAAAAGCCCGACCCGGCCCGTTACAAGTATGTGCGATTGTTTTCCAGATTTGCAGCAACAGTAAACTACTGTATCGCTCGTTTCGACTGTGTTCTTCCTGTTGATTCATGTCGATTTACGGCGGGTCTCGAAGCGGAGGCCTCTGGAAAACAATGGCAGCTTTGGACAGCGTTTTTCCAGGAAATTACTCCTGGAAATCAACTTTGAATGCGCCATAATAGGCGTTAAGCACTTTCTTTGCTAGAGAAAGACTATGATTTTACAAGAACTTGTTCTAATCATCTGACTACAACGAATAGCGTATGAGGGACAAACGAGGATAAAAGAGCGAGCTAAAGAGCTAACAAGGGAACCATGTTTAGCCTTCATCTCAGAATTTTTTCTAAATTTGCTCATTTATAGTTTCAAATACGGGCTTTCTCGTGGTGTATTCGGTTTTCTGCACAAATTTCTAGAAGCCGAGAAAAGTCCATATGAAAATATGCTGTTTTTTTGGTCTCCTCCTTCCCTTCCACTTTTCCCGTTCATTTTCTTTTTTCTTTTTTTTCTTTGATGTTGGAGGAATGCTTTGAACTTTTCAAAAATCAAAACTATGTTTGCTCTATTATTTCAGTAGGAAAAAAGCTCGAAAAAGATAATTTCTGAAAAATTCTTGAAGCACTGCTGAAAAGCCTTATCTACTCAAAATGTCAGTCGAAATCCCCCTATTTGATCATATTGGTTGCTGAACTGTTATAAATCTGTCAAGAAGTATGTAAATCTATATTTTCACAATATTTGAGTGCTATTGGGTGATTTTCGAAGGACTACGTGATTTTCGAAGGATTCATTGGAGTTTTGGAAGAAATCACTTATTTCGGATTTCAAAACGGATATAGGCTACAGAATCTTGTGAAAAGACTCATTTTATCATTTTTATGCGTTTAGAATCCATTTTAACACATTTAAAAATTTTTCGAAAAATTGAAAATTTTGCAAAGGGGGCATAAATTTTTATGGCAAAAAATTTTTCAACATTTTTTTTTTGAAAAATGAGGAAACTTTGCCAGATTGTAGAGAAACCTTTAAAATTGCAATTGACACTCAAACAATGCCAAAAAACTCCCATTAACCCTTTCAAAAACTCACTCCAAAAGTGAGAAATTAGTACTGAAATCACTTAAACAGCCCATAACTCGACTTCTAGAAATTTGTGCAGAAAACCAAATACATCAAAAGAAAGCCCGTATTTGAAACTATAAATGAACAAATTTAGAAGAAATTCTGAGATGAAGGCTAAACATGGTTCCCTTGTAAAGAGCGAGCTATAAAGACATGCGCTCTTACGAGGGGTAAACGGTAAAACTGGCATCGGAACAAGAATGAACAGGAACGGTGATAGATAGAGAGAATTAGAGATAAAAAACAAAATTACTCGCGGTATGCGCGGTAGAACAAGATCGAAAATAACGAACAAAAGCTGAAATAAATTTCCTTCTTCGAATTTCCCTGGGTCCGCAACTAGGCGTGACGGTGTCTACACATTGTGTACCTTAAATTACGTCATTTTTTCGGCACTTTTGGAGGTAACTCAAAAAAGATTATTTTGAGTGATCACTCGAGTGACATAACTTTTCTTTCAATTAAGTGCATCGATAAAAAAAACAAAATTCAAAAAGCTTAAAAGAAATTGATTTATTCGTGAACCGAAAAGTTTGGCTTTTTAGATTCTGGGCATCACTTTCTTCCCCAATTCTTTCCTTTATCGGTCATCATATTTACATCTATAATATGCTGAACCATAAGTACAGCTTGAAAAATGGTTTTGTTTCTGTAAACACGCTAACAATTTTTGAACGAAAATTAAATTTTTAGTCAAATCTACAGTAATCTGATTGCTTCAAATTCTATCAGGGGTCTCAATTCTGATTTTTATGAATTGATTTTGGTATCAAAAAATCTGTCGTAAAATTCTGCACATTTTCTACCAGTTTTCATCATGATTGAATCAGCAGATTTCTTGGAAATCCCCGAAAACCTTCAAAAATGACGAATTCAGTTGATTTTTTAGAAAATCTATCAGGGCTTCTATTTTTGGGTTAAAATAGACGTTTTTTAGTTCAATTTGCCTGTTTTTTAATTCTCTACAATCTCTACCTATTTTGAAAAAAAAAATGTCGACCCAGAATTGTTAAATGCCTAAAAAGCTAATTTTCCACTGTATCGAGAAACGCGCCAACAAAAAAAAAATCAGAAAAACTCGTTTTATAAAATTATTCGCCGTGCGTTGGACTGTTCATAATTCCTCATGATCACTTGAAAAAATGGCCCTTATTGCAACTATTTTATAAGGTGTTATAAAATTTGAAATTGAAAGACCTAACTTTTTTTGCTGAAATCGAATAAACATTTAAAGCGATGAATAAAAAGCGAAAAAATGGTTCGATGACTAGATGTGGGTTAATGAAAGCTCTGGAAAAATACAAATAAATGCAACCGAGACCGGAAGTCAATAATATTAACGATTAGCAGCCATGGATCTCATTTTGTTCATTGCTTGCTCTCGACATGCATCCACGTACTTCTTCTGTTCCTCTCTTACTTTCTCCAGATACTCTTCATGTTCCTGAAATATTCAAATTTCAAAATTGAGAGAAAAAAACTGAATTTGTTACACCCACTTTCTGGTGTTTTGGCTCAACGAGGGCTTGAATCTTCTTGGTAATTTCATCCACACTCTCCGTCATCGTTTGCATTTTTCCCATATAGAAAAGTCCTTCGACTGGAGTTTCCGACGATTCAACGAGTGCATGACTGGCACGAAGGATTCCATCAAACTCTCGATGACGTTCGTTCCGTTCGAAACGGTCCACGAATCGGTCGATTTCAGCGCGAACCTTTAAATTTTAGTTAGAATAATTTGAATTCTCAAAGGACTTACCACTTGAGCGTGATCGAAAATGTGCTCACCGACCAGTGTGATATCACGAACAACTGTGGAAATAGAGGCCATCGTCGGGGTTTTTGAGAATCAATTTAGAAAAGAAACGAGGACTCTTTGTTTGTTTTTGCGATTGTACGAAAAACAATTCGGTCGGAGTAGTGCCCGTTGTGATCGGATGAAACCGTTGAATATGCGTCACGATGTGTTTTGATGACGTCAATTCAAATTAGATTCTTTTTTACATATTTTGAAGTGCACTATTTCAATATTAAAATAGAGAAGATCAACTCTCTTTCACCTGGAATTCAAAAAAAAAATTAAATAGATTTTTCAGTTTTATTTGTCAGTTAACACAACTGATGAGGATTTCATAGGGGAAAATAATAGAAAGAGAAGAAAAGTTTCCCGGTCGGGAACTAAAGTGTAATAGGGGGATGGGGAACAAATAAAACAAAGTTGCGAGAGGAACAACTTCTATTAGAGGGGGTGCAACACGTTTTAAGGGGGGAGGGGGTCCTTTTCACAGATGTGTGAAAATGCTTAACCATATGAATTGAGGTTACTGTAGAGGATTAAAAAACGAAACTCTTCAGTAGGAAACTACCGATACTTGAGGAGATTGAAATATTTCAGATGAGAAAACCCAGAAATTGAAAAGAAAAAGGATTGAAGTTTGAAATAAGAAACACAACTCAATAATCGACGGGAAAAGAAATGTTGGGGCTGAGATGAAGAACAGGAGAGAGAATAGGAAAAGAACAGAGATTGAATCAGAAGTGCTAATACCATTATTTGTACAAAAAAGAAATGAGAACATGGAGAAACGGAGGAGGAGAACGAGATATTAATTGAGATGGAATCCTTTTTCGTTGATTGCAGTCAGAAGACGTTCCCGAAGAATTTCAGCAGACGAATACTCCGGAAGCTTCAGATAGTGCACACAAGTGTTCACCGAAGGATAACTTCCATCTCCACTTTCAACTTTTCTCACAATTGTTAATCTTGGATGAAGATTAGCGAGACCTCCTGAAATTTAGTTTTTTTTTCGGGAAAATCAACTACAAGTAGACATACCTGGTGGCAGACTGGAGCATCCGGTAGCGAATTGCAAGAAGTTCTTTCTCTCTTGAGCTGTGAGCGATTCCATCACATCGACGAATCTCAAAAATCCAGGGGATTCTCGTGTGTATCCAAGCTTCGGTTCGGTGTAGTTCAGAATATCGTCCCGTGACCACTCTGGACACTGTTCACCAGACAGGAGACGTTGGAGTTCTTCTGGAGAGTAACCTCGGAGACTGCTCAGTGGGAAGACGCGGTCGAAGCCCTCACGGAATGCGCGCATCTGAAAATGAGAATAGAATTCAGCAGTATCAAACTTTTGACGAAACCTGCTGAGCAATTCCAGAGTTCAGATAGAATTCTTCGCATCTTTCCACATACTGCTCCACGTTGTCTACGGTGACATCAATGTCTCCTCCTCCGTCGACGAGCTCCATTTCAGTGTATTGGAACACTTTCGATGGTGGGTTGACACTGAAAATTAACACCTTACTCACTATAAGATTTGTAGCATAACATACGTGAAGTTGAGAGCAAGATCTTCCATTTTACAGGAGGATCCCTTGATATGTAACTTGATTTCAGCGATTTTTCGTCGTTTCATAGTCTGATCCATTACTTCTTTTTCGATCATCTTCTTGCGGTTAGAAACAGCAATCAACTCTTTCAAGAAACTTCCTTTCACTGGATTAACTTCTTCGAAATCGTCGAGAGTGAGAACGTTGTGCAAGTTCGGTCCATGTGGTTGTTCTCCGACTTGTGGACTGACAAGCAACTTGAGGAAAGGTCGAGATAGTGGCAAATCAACAAGACGACCATCAAGCAGTACTTTCGCAAGGAACACTCCCAATACACGGAACATATCTGATGCTTTCTTCGTTTCTTCCGTTCCTGGAGGTAAAGGTGCTGGGAAGAGTCCTCCCATACGACGAACGTAGAAACTGAATAAATTTAATTTACTAGAAGAAGCTCGAAATTTAACACATACCCTGCCGGTTTCTTTCCTTCACCAAGATCGATTTCTCTCTCTTCTGCATTTTTCGAAGCATGGGTATCATCATCATCACACACCCATAACGCCAAAGACTTTCTTTGCAACTCTGCTGCAACGAGAGCGTAGAACTCGAGTGTAGGTCCGAGACCAGTTCCTTCTTCATTTGTATATTCAATCTCGAGAACAGCTTTACGATCTGCGTGGAACTTCATCAGTCGAATAGCTTGGTCGAGGAGAGTCTCTTCGGCTCTGGCCACTTTCACTCGTTCATGACGGAGACGTCCAACACGGTATTCATGATAACGATCATGTTGCCGGGCAGCAGCATTACCTCCTTGAGCACTTCCTCGAGCACGTTCAACAGCTGCATCGCGGCGTTGTTGAAGCCAAACGATAGTACGCGAGACACCGAAAGCTGTTGCCTGAAAAATTTCCGTTGAGAAATCAACTTTACTTTTGCAGAATACTCTAGACTCAGAGCGAGATTTTGAAAAAAAAAACTTACTTGCATGTACATATTTCTTGTTTCCACTGTGAACAGGCAGGGATATTTGTAGATCAGTCGAGAGCACCACTCTGGAAGTGCTCTTGCGGCGACAACTAGCGCGTCGGAAAGAACTTGCGTTATTTTCAAAGTCAATTTATCACTGATGAAAACGTTCGGCGATATTTCAGCTTCAGGAATACTTTCTTGGAGTCGCGCAAGGAGTCGAATTGTCTCAAGACACTGGTTCACTTGAACTGGGGTGGAACTTTCTTCGCTCGGAATTTTGGTGACCTCGACTTTTTGGTTATCGGAGGAACAGTAGCAAATTGAATATGTTGGTTCCCAAATTCGTCGACCGCGATCACTCTTCGTGGCCCAGTTAGCATTGTTATTGATCTTTTGCATGTAACTGAACACTGACGAACAATCATCATCCATTTCGAGCGTGATATTGTCCACACCAGACATGTTTGGACCACGAATGAAGAATCTAACACTGTCTTTTGTTCTTTTTGCAGACGTTTTTGATGGTCCAAAATCGTTAACAACAGCTGGTAACTCAACTTCCAAAGTTTGGTTCACATTCGAACGGCCAGGGCGTGGATCGAAAGCTGGAATCAGAGCTTCGAATGAGCACTTGACAACTGTTTCATCGTCCCAAGGATTTCCTCTGCTGGAAGCGACCGCTCTAGCCATTGCAGCACGTTCTCGATTCGAGCCACTCATGAGCTCCGAGAACTGACGCCATGTGATAGGAGTACGAGCGGCAACCATGGTAGCGAAGGAGTCCACAGGCATTCCAAGATGAGCAGCAACTTCATCTTCGACTGAATCACCATCGTCTGGTCCATCTTCGGAGAAATCGTAATAATCGTCTTCGTCCATCATTTCATCCATTTCCATGCCAGCTGCAGAGGGATCTAGAAGCGTAACTGGATATCGGCTTTGCATTAAACCTGAAAATCAAAAATAAACAAGAAACATTATATCTAAATCTCACCTTTGAGCACATCGGTGTAACTTGACATCTTCTTGAACCATTTCTTCGGTTTCTTCGATCCACCCTTCTTTTGAGCTTCATTCGTATTGGCATCCTTAGCAGAAGATGAAGCATCAGACAAAGATTCTCCAGTTATGACTTCTTTCAATTTGTCGAACAAACCACGCTCATTTGCCAATAGCTCTACAAGCTTCTCTTGATTCTCATTAGAACTTTCATCGTCATCGTCGTCATCGTCATCATTGTCTTCCTCATCCTCCACGGTTTCTTCTTCTTCGTCGTCTTCTTCCATAGCATCATCTCCTCCGACAGTTTTATCCTCTGAGTTTGATTCATCCATATTACTGTCTCCTTCTGCTTCGGCTGAAGCTTGACGCTGGCGAGCCGCAGCAAGATCTGGAGCCGAAACTGACAGAGTCTGGTTCTTGTCATCGCGTGGTGTTGATGGAGTGCCAGCAGCGTCTCTTGGAGTCATATCCGAATCTTGCTGTTGCTGTTGTTGCTGTTGAGCAGAATCCATCGAGATCTGTGAGTTCGAAGAAGCTGCAGATCTCATGCTAGCTGCTGAATCGCTTTCTTCTCCACCCATTGGCTCTTCTTCTTGCTCTTGGTTTTCAGCAATTCTTCCGAATGCGTGAGGGATGGCTCGTGCAAGAAGATTTTCCAAAGAAGGAGTCTGATGTTGAAGAGATTCGGCTGAAGCAGCTTGTCCAGTAGAAGCGACCGACGGTCCCGCTGATGCTTGACGATCATCAACGAGATTTGTCGTAGACATCGACTTCTTTCCAATCGCTACTCCGGACGAGCTTCCAGATGCTGCAACTCCGGCGGGCGCGGGGTTTTTGACAGAAGCAAATCGAGAAAGAGTTGATGCACCTGGAAAATCATTGATAAAGAAAAGAAAATTATGACCCAGAGAAAAATGAAACAGAATAGTGGGAGATTGCTAATATTTATGTCTACTGGTGTGAAAAGGGATGTAATAGCACAGGCTAAGCTATAAGAACATAAAAACACAACATCGAACCAACAATAATTAAACCAATCAGCGTATGCAAAAACATATGCGATGTACCTGGCTTGTTATGTTGTTTGTGTCTATTCAAGCCAAACCCTAGACCAGACGCAAGCGATGATAACGTGGATGAAGTAGATGAGGGAGGAGGAGTGGGAGATGCTCCCGATGAGGTAACAGTACTTATCAATCTCGAAGCAATTGCAGGAGATGTAGACGATTTGGATGTTCGCCATGGGGGAATGGGGAGATTGGGGAAAGGAGAGGACGAAGATGAAGAAGAATTCTCACCTCCACGAGAAGAACCAGAAGGTACTCCAAAAAGTGCTGATGGTGGTCCAGATCCCTTCGCTGTGTAGAAAGCACGATTTCTTCTGACGGCGTCCATTACCTAATAGTTTGACAATTATTTTTCTACTGATTATTTTGCTACTTACCGAGCTCGGTATTCCCGAAGGCATCGATGGTGACGAATAACGATGACCAGAACTGGAAACTCGCTCAATATCGAAATTTCCGTTGGCTCCATATCGATAAGAGTTGGAATAACCGTTTTCCCAGGCAACATCTACCCATCCACTTTCTGGTGGACTAATGATACGTCCCTGAATGATATCATGGTTTCGCGAATTTTCCGATTTTTAACTTACCATTTTTCCTTCACCACCATCTTGATCTTCCCATCTCCAGTCTTTTCCACGAACCACCTTCGCCTTGCTATCGCTCAGTTTGTACGAATCACGAACTCTATGACGAGATCTTTGCATCATTGCAGTGACTGTCTCAATTGTGAGTCCCGACTTAAGTCGATTGTTGTTCTCATGAGCAGGCAGCATGTCTAAGACTTGTTCCTTCGTAAGCGGTGGCAATGAAGATGACGAGGACGGCCCAGATGAGGATGGACCCGCGATCGATTCTTTTTTTGGTGCATCTTCAAATATTTTCTCGGTGACAGCATCAACGATATCTCCATAAATTTCGAAACCAGAGCAACTCAGATAGTGGGTTTGACCAGACGAATTCTTGCCGTTCTGCGCAATACGATAATACCTGTAGGCGACGGTTCCTTTTTCGGGGACATGCCAAGTAGCAGTTGATCCCGGCTCTCCAAGACTCTTGTCGTCGACATGGTTGATAATGTCGTCCCACTTTTTCGAGTCGATCGATCCTTGAAGGGTCCAGTTTCGAAGAGCCGATCTTCCATATCCTCGAGAATGACGCATTGTGTAGGATGTTGGAATGAGGAAAACTCCAAGATCAAAAGTAAAATGGGAATTTTTGTCATCCGACGAATGACAGTTGATTGGGTTTGAATCGCGAGAAAGTAGGTCTTCAGGTTTACCGAATGGTTGACGAGGATCGGAGCAAGTGACTTTCACAGCTTTCACCGTTGCCGGATTGGTCCAGGTTGGGACAGTCTTTCCATTGGTTCCAATCCAATAAATTACTCCATTCTCATCGAAATCACTCGTATGTTTCAACACAACTGATTTTCCCTTCTCTTTCAACTCTTTGATTTCTTTCACATATTTATACTGTGATCTTTCGCGATCATGCCATTGTCGTGCTACCAGCTTCATCAAGTATGTTTTGATTGCTCCAACCGATGCTAATGGTTCGCATTTGATGACTTTTCCAGTTTTGTTAACAATGTTCTCATCGATATTCTCTTTTCCCTCTTCACTTGGAATCATCTCCAGTTTTGAACGAACACGACGAGAAAGAAGTTGAAGACCAAAAGATGAGCCTCCAGGAGAATCATAGAGATACTGTGGGAACTTTTCGCTGGCTTCGAGTACAGCAACGATCTTCAGAGAAAGTTGAGATAGTGATTCACCAACGCGAAAACTCTCCATGAAAATTCTTCTCATGTAGAAATCTGTTGGTGATTTTTCGATGGCCGATAAAAGTGCAAAAAGTGCAGGAACGATTCCCGAGACTGAGAACTCAAATGTTGACAAACGACGATCATCTACCACAGAATCGTACAGAATCTTGATAGCTGCTGTGTACTCCTGAATTCGTTCGATTCTCGCATGTTTTGCACTACGATGTTTGTAATTGCTGGCAGTTTTGACTGAGTGCAAGCAACTCTGAAAAAAAAGGAATACAGAAAACAAACTTCGAATATACACTCACTTCGATCAATCGAGCAGCTTCCTCAAGGCGTACCAACGCTTCTCTTGGCTTCGCATGTGCCTCCTTCAGATGATCATTCCAAAGTTTCCATGCCAATTCTTGCACTTTTCGTTTTTGAATGTCTTGTCGGAACTTCATTTTTCTTGTCGTCACTCCATGCGAACTCCATCCAGTATGGAAGGGAGGAGGAAGTGCATGTTCTGGCATCACGTTGGTCTTGCGTCCTGTTCCCGATTCGAAGAGGAATCCACCAGCATCATCCTGAATCTACATAGTCCATAACTTGATAAAACAATCTATAATAGAAAATGATGAACTCACTTTGATCGTAGTCACCATTGTGTTGGCTTGTCCAGATGGGGCGGAAGAAGAAACTGACTTAATTTGAAGCTCAGATGATTTAGAAGACCAGAGTTCCCAAGCAGGAACTTCGAGCTGGAAAGAAAAGAGGTTTTTTCTTGTAAAGTACAAAAAATTCCATACTTCATTCAAAAGGAAAACAAGAAGCTAGAAAATATCCGTTCACGAATATGATCAAACAAACAAACAAAAAACAAAAAAGCACCACACACCTTCTGACTGACCTTCTTGGCACTGCTTGGAACACCGAGAACAGAGACAGGGACAGTAGACCAATCATCGTCAAAGACGCCTTTTACTGCATTCCAACGAGACACCATTTCATGGCGTTCGGTTTTCTTGAAGTTTTCCTGCAACACATGAATGTAGGTAGAATTGTTTCGTACCACAGTTTACCTTCTCTTCATCACTCATTTGCTGGTCAACATTAGCTGTTCCTGTGACGAACTGAACATGTGAATCATTGTCGGCTAGGTAACGGAACCATCCATTTGATTGGAACGGCAATTCAATCAACAAAACGTCGCTCCAAATGAATAGAGATGTCGGTCCACGAACGATACGCCATTCCTTCCAACGATATGGAGATCCTTGATTGAGTACAATTTTGGTCGGCTTTTTGTCAGCTGCTGATGATTTGTCCAGATTCGCAACACCGCTTAATTTAGAAACGACTTGAAGAATAGCTGAAGATGCAGAAGAACCAGTAGTACTACGTGGTTTAGGAGCTGCTATTTGAGAAGAAGTTGAAGGAGTTGAAGGTTCGGGTTCTGCCATCTGGAAAAAACGTATGAAGATATTCCTAAATTAGAAATCAAAACCTCAATTGACGGCTGAGCTGGTTCCTCTCCTGCAATATCTGCAGATGGCGGAGCAGCGTCCATAATATCATTTGACGAAGAAGATGGTTGATTCTGGAAGTCAATTTCCATAGGAACAACTCGGGATCGTCCTTCCAAGTTTATAGCAGCCAAGACTTCCTCTAATCCCTTTGGTGGTTCCTTTGCCATAGCTTCGACACGTTCAAACACACCAAGACGAATGAGCTCTGTGACCCAAAGTTCCGAGTCTTTTTCAAGAAGGGATTGTAGAATCAGAAGAACTTGTTCATGACCCTCATAATCATCCTCTTGGTCCAAAACGGACACGACAACAGCTACTAAAGATTCAGCTCCAGCGGTCACATCAGCTGACATTTTTCTGGCTGATCGAGTCACTGCAGCGTTATCTTCTCCTGCACTTTGACGAAGATCTCCAATGTTTTCAACTATTTTTCTCATGAGTGACAGCGATGTTCGTCGAACAGTCCTATTCAGTGATCGTTGGAAGATATCGCAGAAAATTGGGAGCAACTGGTGGAGAACTTTTCGAACTAGCTGTGGATTAGGTAGCTCTTGTTTTGTTGACGTTCCTGGCTGTTGTGATGCGGAAGCTTTCGTTTTCTGCTCTTCTTCTGAAATTTCAGGGTGAAAAAGAGAAATTATGTGACGGATAACGTACTGTTTCTCATGAATGTGCTTGGTGACTCCAGAATATTCGCAACCTGATTGTGATCATCATCAGATCTTTCCCGTGCTTTGTCCAATGCAGTCTTTCCGTCTTCGTCTCGTAGATCGGGATTGGCGCCACGCTGAAGCAGCAATTTCACAACCTGAGATAATAAAAGCTCACTCGCGAATACAAGTCACAAAACCGGATGTCTGGTACGCGATAGTTTCTCAGTTCAAGTATAACTATGTCTTTTGATAACATTCAAAATTTACTCGAACTGAAGCAACGCTTACGGACACCAGCATCGTAACTCACGTCCGGTCGTCCGAAACAGGCTGCATAATGCAATGAACTGCTTTTGTGCCCTTTATTGACATCAGCCCCTTTATCACACAAGTACTGTACCATTTCGATGGAGCCAAACGCAGAAGCCCAATTTGTCAGTGATTGTCCAACATCATCAGCGAAATTTACGTCAACCTGAATAGAAAAGTACGCATTATTGCTACAAACGGTTCTTTACCTGTCCGGATTCAATTGCGTCGACTAAAGCTGTTAGGTCTTTCTGTCTGATGGCGTCAATCAACTGTCTGTGAACACGTTCTGCTCCACTTCCTGCTGCATAATCACCCGATACAACTGATGTGAGTGGCAGAGCACTACGTCCTTCACAAAGAAGAACCAGTAACAGATCGCACAATCGGAGACCGTCAGTAACAACTCGTTCTTCTTTGTTGGTCAATGTTGCTTTGAGTCCCTTTATCATATTTGGTGATGTGAGAACTTTTTCTGTTATAAGACTTGAGCCGCGACATAGGTTGCCGATCAGGGAAAGTACAATTGAGAGAATGTTGGCGGACGCGGCTACTGGAGAACTTTCGTCGTTTGAAGACACCATTATGGAAATCAAGTGTTCAACAAGGTTGCTGTGCATTGCAAGTTCAGCCGGATCCATCATTTTTCGAACGAAGCGGTCTGTGAGAGCAGCAAAGCAACGGAGGGCACTTTCTGAGACCTGCAAATAATTTAAAGATTAAAGAAAGTAAGTAAAAAAGATCATAAACCTTTGGATCATCATGCTCTAAAAGTGCTCCAAGGCTTTCTGCACATTTTGCTAGTTCGAGATCGGTGGGTTCCATTTTCCCACACAACCTTGTCACAACTGACATTGCTGAATGCATTGTGTCTTTGTGAACTTGGGCTCCGTGGACTCTGACTAAGTTGAGCATTGCATTGATACCGCCTGCATCGTAGACAGCCATGGTTTCTCGTTGACATACATGTTCCAGAAGTTTGACACATTGTTCCGCTACAAAATTATATATGCTTAAAAATGAATAGAATAAATCATTCTACCCAAATCTTTGCTGGATCTGTCTGACATTTCTGCGGCCGCGAGACGAGCACAAATGGCTTTAACGGCTCCGTCGACTTGTGTAATACGACGAGTGCACTCATTAGATACATCGAGGTAATATGTGATTGCGCGTGCAGTCACTTCCAGCACATTATCCGGCGCTGTTTCGTCTATGAATATTTTACAAAGTGCTGGAATAAATGTGCGCGGTGGACATGACTCAAAACAGCGATCGATATTGTCAGCCATCAGAAGAAGCATGCATAACTGTTCCAATGCCATCAACTGCAGATCCCGTTCATCTCCTATACCCGTTTGAAGCCACTCCAAGAGTGTCTCTGGATCTATTCCATCCATTTTTTGATCTGAAATTCTTTTTTGAAAAGTTGGAAAATCAAAGAAAAATATACCTTTTCCTCTCTCAAAAGCGAAGTGAATACGGAAGAACCAACTTTAAACAATTATTTATGAAGGTAGATTATATGTATGGTAGTACCCAATTTCCTGTAAAAAGGTATCAATAAGGTTTGGTTCTGTAGACGGAGAACAATAGGAAAATCATTGAGAAAATCAAAGGATGTATTTTTATTGATTTGAGGAAAGATGCGCAAGGTATTTCTACTTGGGTTTGGTTTGAAATATGTTTTCTTAGTTCGTTGTGCAAGTATCATCTAGAAAATATCCCGAACTTTGTTCGTTTTGAAGTATCAAGGTCCGCGATGGATGAGAGAAGAAATCACATAAAATCTGTGGAGGGACGAAACGAAGAGAGGTGTGGCAGCAGGCGAATGCGGCGCGAACGTCACTATACACATTTTCGGTGGAGCGTACTTGCACAATAATACGAGAGACGAAAGGAAGTTTGGCCAAGTTTTGAACAGGATATTGTAGTCATAGAACTACTTTAAACACAAACTAACATCTCTATTGATTTTAATTTAATTTTTAAATCTCACTTATTATTGATGACTGGTTCTTACAATTAGATTACGGTAGTTTTGAGACATTTTCAGAATATACAAACCGGGGGTTTGCAGGTATCATTGTGAAGTCTTTGAAAATCAAAAAAAAACACTATAACAAGAATGACATTGCTCAGTTTGTAACTATCTTCTGAGTGTAAAAAATTGGTACAAAATCGTACAGTTTGAAAATGAGACTCGATGTTTACTCTTCAAAGTTGCCATCACACACACACACACACTCAATTTTTTTTTCAAAAATCTAAAAATATTAACATCTATGAAGTGTCGTCCACGAAGTTTTTTCTTCCACAGCAGCCAAGATGGATGTGAACAAAGACAAATAACCCTATTTTTCTCTGGACCTCTCCAATCTTTTGCTGAAACTTTGTTCAACGACTATTTCAAGACTACAAAAAAGAGAATGGAAAACCAAGAGAGTGAGCGAGAGAATCAGCTGATTCTGCGTGCCCCTTTTTAGTCTTGGGAAGCGAGGAACAGAGAAGCAGAGGATATGAAAGAAAACGAATAACGAAAAGAGGCAAAAGCAGGAATTACGGAGAAAGGGGGTGAAAAGAATAGAATCCAAGCAGGCACAACAATTATTTCAAATATGAATTTATGTGTTTAGAACAGAATTGAACTTTGTTGTGAAATTGTTTTAGCGAAAACAAGAAACCAACATTTGGAAATGTTATTTGAAGTATGAAAAGAAGACAACGCACTTTTTCTCTAACAGCTCAATAGAAAACTTGTTATTGATTTCCTATTGTTATTGTGCTCATATGAGAACTCGGACAGGAGAGAAAAATCTAGCAAACCAAGAGTAAATGGGCTACCAGTGAAGTGGATTTGAGAGTAAACGGGAATTTGTCATATAGAAAAACAAGGAGAAGCGTCTATTTCAGTGAAGCATTTCGAGCATTTAGCCGAGCCAAATCGGCAACACCTACGCATTTGAATGAAACGGGTTGGCTGTAATTTTCTCTCCGGGTCTAAAGCAATACATTTTGAAGAAAATTTCGAAATTCATCTCTCATTGAATATTGAAGACAATGCAGGCTACATTATGCAGCGAATTTTGAAGCATGAGACGTTTCGAAAAGAATTTTTCGCACACTAATTCCTTTAAATCAAATGAATCAGCCATCGCCCTTCTGTCGCGTTCTCATTCGGCCATATGGCCTCTAGGACAAAGCTAATAGGAATAAAACGAAACTAGTTTGCTTCAATTCAAAAGGGAACATAAAACATTATCAACTCAGTTTTCGAAATTTCCAGAACTTTCTACCGAACAACTTCTGTATACAAAAAATTTGAAAAAGCAAAGAAAGGGTCGAGCGAGTTCGTGTTTATGAATATTTTATTGAAAATTTCCAAAACATGGAAGGCAGAGAGAGGTACAAAGAGAAGCTGTTCACATCTCTCGAATTTACGAAAATATTTCTGAAGAGTAAGGGTTTCGAAATTTTAGTGAAAAGTTAAGACCATACACCGAGATGACATATACTTCTACTTTTCAGTTAGCGTGAAAAACTGCGCGTGAACGGAAACACGAAAACAGCAACGTAGAAAAAGATGTCAACTGGGAAAATGATGACGACTGAACAGCGACTAATTTTCTCAGATTACCACCTGTCAGCTTTAATCTCATACCGAAATGCGGACTGGAAATACAACAGAGCGAGAGGCGCCATGGAAATTGGAACTTAGATTCGACAGACTGAAACCGCCAAAGTGGAAGTGAGTGAAGATACGTTTCGAGACTGAATGCAATTCTTGTGTTTAGGAGACCATATTTGGTTTGGCTTCACTTGTTTCTCAAGATTGTTCCACTGCTCTTATTGCATTTCGGTACACCTGGTTATCGGTATATAGAGGGAGGCAAAGGATATTTAATTGATAACATTCATGTTGAATTCAATGCAGTTATTTTTGTAAATGAATATCGGGAAAATATTCATGTTGAGAAAATATTTTTCAGACCATCATGGTCCTAATTGACTTCTTTGTCACAAAAGATATCCTCGGGCCAAAACTGACTGGCCTACATCACGGATTCAAGATGAACGGAGAAAACAAGATCACCTATCATTTCTATGCTGAGAAGGTTGGTTGTAATAACTGCTCCTCATTAGTGAAAAAATTTAGGACTTTCTCACTCGGTATCCTGCCATTGATCGTGACAGTTTCTTCACCTTCCTGGTGATTTTCTCCGCTATTTGGATCATGCCAACTATCTCAGCAATAATAATATTATCGGTAAGCAAGCGAACTATATATTGGTAGAGACCTAGTTTTTCAGAAATTCTGGCTTCCATTCAACATTCTCGGATGGGGAAGTGTTTATCTGAACCTTTACTTGTTCGTCCAGACTAGATATTACCAGCAATGGACAATGCCTAAATTTTTTGCCGCATGGCTCCATAATTTCTTCATGAGAATCGAGTATGCGGAAGACGATTCGGGAAGTAGCTTCGGAAACGCCTATCGGGCAAGATATTAGTGTTCTTCTGTTCAAATTAATTATTGTATTTCGTTGGATCAATAGAATAAAAAAGTTAAAATTTACTCATTCCGTACTACATTTCAATCCAATGAATACTCGGAATTTTCGAGAAAAAAGAAACTATTTGCTAATCGCTATGAATTCGTTGCGAAATTTCGACATAACTATTCTTGAAACAAAAATCAATTGAACAAATGCGCTATTGTTTGAGTTTCTATAGAAAACAGAAAGACAGAAAAGGGAAGACTGGGAAAATGAAAAAAAAAAGCGAACAAACGAAACATTTCTCTGGAGTGTTCTGAAAGGAAACAAACAGAAAGATACTGTAGATGGTCCGCAATTATTGTCTTGTGTGCAAACACCATCCAATACGCGCAAACGCTTTCTACATTTCCCACGTCATTCAACACACTAGAATTCAGTGAATTTTGGGTGGAAACTCGACAAAATGTCAGGATTCGAAAATGATATCTCAATCGGAGCTGCAATGACACAAAATCAGTCATCACAAGGAGGAGGATTCAGCCTTCAGATGTTCGGGTTAGTTTTAATAACTGTTTTATTCAAAGCTTTGTGGAGAATGGTCAGATTTTCCCATGATACTGATTGTGAGATGAAACGTTAGTTTATTGAACAGAAGATTTATGCAGTTCTAGAACAGGCCGAAAATCCTGCTAAAATAGGAAGTTTGAACCTAGGATTCAAAATTTTGGTAATTCCTAGTTAGTTTCAGCTCCCCCTCTTTATAGAAGATTTATCCAACATTTTTGAAGAAGGCCCAGCTTGATTTATTTCAGAAAACCAACAATCGTGCTTGCTCATCTTTCATTCAAAGCGGCGTCGTTGTTCTTCTACTTCTTTGCAAACTTCTTCACTGATTCTTTTATCATCCAGTTCTTAGTTATTGTGAGTTTTAGAAAATTGAAGCACAACAAATGTGGTCATTTTTGTACGATAAGTTTTCCATTTCCTCTAAAAAATGTTACCAAAATAGATTAAACAATCAGTATTTCAGCTTTCACTTCTTTCAATGGATTTTTGGACTGTGAAAAACATCACCGGACGTCTTCTGGTTGGTCTCCGATGGTGGAATTTTGTTGATGCCGACGGAAACAATCACTGGAAGTTCGAGAGTGCGAAAGACATGACTCGTTTTCCAGCCATTGACCGACGAGTTTTCTGGCTAGGATTGGTTGTAGGACCAGCTGCATGGACCTTTTTTGTCGTCACTGCGTTTTTGACACTCAAGGTTTGAATTTCTAAACTTTCCGAACTGACATATATTTTAAATTTCAGTTCGAATGGATGATTGTAGCTCTTCTTGGAGCTCTTATGAATCTAGCCAACCTTTGGGGATATTTGCGTTGTCGCTGGAACGACACTGAGCAAATGACTAGTTATTTCCAAAAGTGGGCATTCCTCAATGTAAGTTTTCGTATGCTTTTCACTATAAAACTGTTATTTGACAGGTTCTCCGTCGTGCCCAGCAACCACCACAACAGTACCAAAATCCTGTGTTCAGTGCATAATTCTACTGCTCCTACGAAGAATCCATAATACTAATGTATTTTCCTCACTAACGCTCCCCATTCGTTTCATCTGTATTTATACCATACTTGGTGTTGTGTGCAATCTCCTTTCTTTCATTCACTCTTCCCTATTGACTGTGATCAATTCCCCGTTGTGTATCAAACAGAATGACAAGAGAAGCCATAAAATGGATATTTTTATTGTATAAAAAAGTTCTACTGCAACCACTTCCATTTGCGGTATGGTGAACGAGGAGCCTCCACTGCCGCGTCTGGTCCTGGTGTAGCTGGAGCGTAGGTGGCCGGCTGAGAAGTTGACTGAATTAGAACAAAAGGTTGGATTAGAACAGAAGGATGTTATCGAACTCAGCTTTAACCTAAAAACTGAATGACATAACTCACTGGTTGTGGCTCATATCCTGGTTGCTCTGCTGGGGGTGGTTCGAATTTATTGACTCCTGCGTTTCTCTCTGGACATTTACAATAGCTGGCGTCTTGCCCTGGTGCTCCTGGAGCTCCAACCATTCCAATTTGTCCTGGCTCTCCTGGCATTCCCAATTGTCCAGCAGGTCCAACTGGACCACTTTCTCCATCATTTCCTCGTTGTCCATCTCTTCCCGGGTATCCAGATGGTCCTTTTTGACCTGGTGGTCCAGCATCTCCTTTTGGTCCAATCGGTCCCTTTTGTCCACGAACTCCATCACGTCCATTTGGTCCGACTTCTCCAAGTTTTCCTGGTTTTCCTGGTTCTCCTGGAATTCCTTGTTGTCCTGGATATCCTTCACGACCATGCTCTCCGATTCTTCCTGGATTTCCTGGTGGTCCTTCTGGTCCAGATGGTCCAGCGTCTCCTGGTGGTCCAGTTGGACCACGTGGTCCATTCGGGCACACTCTACATCCTTTTGTGGGGTCAATGGTTACCGGTGGAGCGATTCCAGCTAGTCCAGGTGCTCCGGGCTCTCCAGACTTTCCTGGTTCTCCATCAAGACCCTGAAAACATAGGAAGTACTTATAACAATAGGTAGCGCCGTGAGTAGTTTTGTCCTTGGCGAGACTAAGAAACCGGCCTATTCCTTTCGGAACAACTTTTCAAGGATAGAAGCTTTTCTTTGTTCCACTACTTTGTCCACTACAGTAATCCAATTAAAATGTATATACCGTAAACACTCTAATAGAACACCTCTCAAAACCGTAAACTTTAAGCCCATTGATCTCGCTTCATGTAAAAGATATCAAAAAGTGGTCAACTGATAAAATGTTTATCATAATATCAGAAGTGTTTTTTCAATTTATTACTTTTTGATATCTTTCACATTAACCTAGATAAATTGGCTCAAAGTTAAAAGTTAGAGATGGCTTTCTTGTCATGTCTTTAGGTTACTGTATTCACTATAAGAAGAATTCAAAAAATTTCTCACCGGTTTTCCTGGAGTTCCAGCTGATCCTGCTGGGCATCCATTATTTTGATTACAACTACAAGTGCTTGATCCCTCAACAAAAGCGTCTTCCTTTACATAGGCGGTATGAAGTGGATATTGTTTTTTTGGAGAATCACCGTAAGCCTGACGTTTTCCTCTTCTCATTGTTACCAACTCTTTCCAAGTGTAATCAGCCATTGCTCTGAACTCTTCACTATCCACTTTCAATTGGTCATTGATACTTTGAATCTTCGTGACCAGAGATGGCACATAAATGAGGCATACAAGAATTGCACCGCCCGAGAATACACAAGCTGTGAAGCCAGCTCGCTGCGTTGACAGCGATTTCATATCTGGAAAATAATAGTTTCTATAGAGATTATTCGGTAATGAAGTCAAAAAATATGAAAAGCAGAAGTTTATTCAGACAAAGTTTTTATATGGAACTGTAGCGCGAGAGAAATGGCAACACAACTGAAATAGGAATCGAATGAAGCATGCATCTTCATTCATTTTATACGTTCTTCACCACCACAGTTCTACTTCAAAACGGACAGAGTGGCGGATCCGAATGTCTGCGTGTCTTGTCTATTCCATACTCTCTAGCAGCTTTTACGGCAGAATAGACCGTAAGAAAACGCATTTGGAGAGGCAATTATTCGGATTCGGCGACGATGGCTTCTGCCACCAAACATTCTGAAGTTGCATTACGTAAATGAGATAGTATGGGAATCTAGGGTTTCAGAGAAAATAGGAAGGCTTTTTCATAGGTAAAAAATCTGTCAATCAACCAAGGTGAATCATAAATCAAAGTGGTTTATGAGGTGGTTCGGAGAGGAAGTGTTTGATGATTTACACTTGACATGAGGAATTAATATTTTGGGTGAAAAAAAATAGGAATCAGAAGGTCTACAGGCAGGGGAAACTAATTTACCGTATGCACTCTAGTAGAACGCCACTCAAAACTGTTATCTTGGAGCCAGTATATCTCATTTTCTGTGAAAGATATCAAAAAGTAGTCAACTAACAAAATGTTTTTGATGTTATAATAAACATTTTGCCAGTTGACCTCTTTTTTACGTCTCGCGCAGGAAATGAGATATATGAGCTCAAAGTGCAAGTACAGTATGACCATCTTTCAGAGTGTTTACGGTATGTCGGTTAGAAAGTCATGAATTTTCTGCTGCAGATGGATTTCCACAAAATGTCTTCAACGAAAAAAAAGAATTTCCACTTTTGTTTATGAATTTTTTTTTCAAACAAGCAGGCGCCATAAATTTTGAAGACACTTGAACCATATTAAATTGAAATTAAGAGGCACTTTTTGGCCGTTACTGTGATTGCTTAAGATGCTGACGATCGAGCGTAAAGCTCCTTTTTTGAAGTTGACTGTAGATGCAGAAAAGGTCTAGAGCTCAATTATCTCAATTTCTATGAGAGCTATCAAAACTGTTTTGATTGATAAAATGTTGCTGATATTATGATAAACATTTTATCAGTTGACAACTTTTTATTATCTCTAACAGGAACCGAGATAGATGAACATAAAGATAAAAGCTAGGCTCCTAATTTCACAGTATTTCTCCCGCATCTATCTGAAAATTTCCACCCCTGAGCTCTTTTTTTGACAATACTTCAACTCTGTACCTGAAAACGGCATAGCTTTTTTTATACAACCGCCTGCCTTCATTACACTTCACCTGTTTTACTCTACGAATCCTCATTTCCCCCTTTCCTCAGATTCATGTCCTCTCCAATTCGGAGAGACCCAATTAGAACATGCGAAATACATCATGATTGGAAGAGGACGCAGACTAGTATCCATGGCAACAGAATGCTCCTTCGGAGTGCGAAATGTCTCTTTAAGAAAGGAAAAGAGCATGGAGAAAAAGGAGAGGGAAAAGAAAGGAGGAGGAATGTGAAAGTAGTCGAAGAAGGTCTTCTTGTTTAGTCTTCGAGCGACTAATTCCTTCAGCAAGATTTTTAGAGAATATCAACAACAGGAGCGCGAACAAGATCAGGAAGTCCGGTGGGTTTTTTCATCACATCGTCTCCTTCTCCTTCTTTTCTCTTTCATAATCATCATCCCCAACTTCTATGATACCCCAATATTTAGCACTTCTACTTTTTCTGCTAACTCTTTTGAATTATTAATTATTCTTCTTTCAACATTTCAGCAGTCAGATGGGCGACTATCAGCTCCATCAATCCCGAAATCTAAGTGTCACTCAGACTCTTGATGAAATTCTGGGGATCAGTTTGAGAACTGAGCAATCAACTGCGTCGTCGTCAAGTAACTCAAATGAGAAGAATGCATTGAACTCTCCATGCCGTCCACCAACAAGACATGGCAGAGAATCATCTGGAAGTAATGAGGAGAACAAGGTTTGTGAAATTAGGTCGAATAAATAAATACCGTAAAACCTGTAATAGGAGGGTCTCCAGACTGTCATTCTTGAGCTTAATTATCTTAATTCCTATACAAGATATCATCAATGTGTCAAGTAACAAAACATTTTTGATATTATGATGAACAATTTTCCAGTTGATAACGTTTTGTGATCTTTGACAGAAACCGATAAAAACTGTCTCAAAATTAAAAGTTTGACACAGTACTGACAAAAAAAAAACAAATGATCATTTTTCGATAGAAATGGCCAAGTTGGGACATAACTTGAGTTATTATTTTTTGTATTTTTGATTTCTGAAATTTTCAGACAACACACTTATTCAGACACCCAAAGTTAATAACTCTTTATTTAAATAGTGATTTGAGATTGTTGTTTCGGACATTACCATCCATTTAAACCAAAAATCCATTTGCAGTCCTCTGATTCTGTAAAAAAAAACCATCGGCTCTGTTCACTGCTAAATAATACTCCTAGCGACTATTCTCATAAGACTCATTTCATGTTACAGGATCCAGTATATCCAGAAAATGGAGGAAACCACCCAACGTTGCCGACATTCCCAGGACCCACATCTTCCTCAACCAGGAGACGTTCTGAAGATGATTTCTTCAAGAAACTGTAATTTTTAAACCAATAATTTTAATATATTCTTAAAATGTGTTTTAGGAACCAATTCAGAAAAGGTTCTCTTGTTTCTACAATGGACGATTCTTCAACACCGTCAACTACAGTAAACGCAATTTCGATTCATCCAGATTCTCCAAACCGGTAGGTACCATATTCAATTCTTGTTTATAATCAAAATTCAAAATTTCAGGGAGTCTCGACCACGCCTTGAAATCCACGTGGAAGAATCGATTGAAGACGTTCCACAGTCGGCGTCGAATCAACAGAAGACATTCCTCTCTGAAAACTCTCGGAGTACAAGTACAGAGCAAGAAGATCCCAGTTTGACATTTAGAGTGGACATTGATGAAGACAAAGAAGAACCAAAGAAAAAACCGGAGAGTAAATTGAAAAATATACTGAAGAAGCCACCGAAAGATGCTCCGAAACCTAAACCGAGGTCGAAGACTCCAGTAGTGGAGAAGGAGAAGAGTTTGGAACAAATGTCTATGTTGTAAGTTAAAAAAATAGATAACAGAATAAGAAATTCATAAACTTTTTCAGTAACTCAAAACTGAACAAGCCTTCCGATGCTCATCATAAAGAATGGCTACAAAAGAAAGAAAGGGAAATACGAGAAAGGAAAGCAAAAGAAAAAGCGATAGCTGACCAGAAAGCAGCATCGGAGGTATTTCAATTTCCGATGGACTGAACATACTAAATTTGAATTTATTTCAGAAAGAACGACGAGAGAATTCAGCAAAGCTTTACCAACGATGGGTTCAGGATCACGACGAAAAGATGAAAGAGATGAAGAGATTGAAACAAAAAAGAGAAAAAGAGAAGGCAGAAAAAGAGAAATATTCAAAGGATCAGAAATTGAAAGAAGCTGATAAGGTAACTGGTATCCTGGAATTTAATTTTTCTTGAGATTTTCTTTTCTAGAACTATGAAATGTGGAAAAGAGAGCGTTCAAAATCAGTGACAGATATCAAAAAGAAATTAGAGGAAGAGTCAGAAAAGAAGAAGAAACGCGAGGAAGATTTAAGGAATGAGAAGATTAAAGAAGCACAGAAAGCGTTTTTAGCATGGTAAGAAAATCAGAAAATCATGATTTTTCTGAAATTCGAAAAGTAAATTTCAGGAAGCAAAAGAAAGAAGAGTTTCTAAACGACGAGGCCCGGCAGCAGAAGAAAGAAAAGGAAGAGAAGCGAGAAGAAGAAACAGAGTCACAGTTGAAAAGAATGGAATTGGCAAACGAAGCATATGAAACATGGATTCAATTGAAAGAAACTGAACGAGAAATGATTGCTGATTTAGTGTTAATCGAGGCTCCGCCCATTCCGTGGATTCCCCCAAGCAATTTAGTGCCAAGACAGTTTTTGAGATCTGCCGGTGGAAGCAGGTTACTATTTTCTTCATTATTCTGGGATAAAAAAATCGGAGCTGTATATTTTTATTTACCGTGATTATTTTCTAGTTTTAGACTTTCAGACACTACGGGTTTTTCTTTTTTTTCGGAAGAAAATCGGAAAATTAAAATTTTTGTTAACGAAAAAAAACGCACGAAAATCGAGAAAATTTTAATAATACGGTAGTTATCGTTGTAGGACTATCAGCCACGACACCATATTTTCTCTTTCACAGCTTCGATTTTTGTACCATAGTATAGTGAGTTTCAGACCCCGAGCTGCTCGTTCCCAATCTGCTAAATCTATTGCAAAACGCACCAGAAGTCGACCGTCAACGACTACATCCGCTAAAAATTTTGCATTTTTTCTGTGATAAACTCTGCTTGAAGCTGAATAAAATTATACTTTCTCACAAGTTTTGAAAAGTACTCCATAGCTTTTGCAAATTTATTCAAGAAACACTACAAATCTCTCTTCAGTTCTTTATTTCAAAATCCACAAGATTTGTTCGTTATTGGGGTTGTACAGTGATAAATCAACGAGACATAGAGGGTATCTCTAATAGGGACTTTTTGTATTAAAAGTCAAGGTTTTCATAGTGGACGAGGCCAGCATGATTGCGAAGAATGCGCTCGAGACAATGGACAAAGTACTCCGAGATCTCATGGAACGATATTCCATTCGGAGGAAAAGTCATCATCCTGGTAATACAGTAATCCTAACCTTTTCTGCTCCCTCCATTTTATTGTGAACATCTTCGTTCATTTTCTCGACATTGACATTTTTGTTGTCAGGATTGCAGACTCCGACTGATCAGTGATCTTGTTGATGTTCTGTTCTTCTTCGATAAGATCTCCGGTTGTACAAAGATCCTACTCCAACTTGATACGATCAGCTTCGTCATTAGCAGATCCATCACCAACCTTCAGAAGAAATTCAATCCAACCCAAATCCCCGCCCGCGACTAGCATGTTGGACTTGAGGTAGAGTGTTTCAAAATGTTGCCAAAGACAGCTCATCTTGATACATCCGTCGACTTGATTTTTCCGTGTGCCTCTTCTGATGACAGGGAGGACTTGTCTGAAGTCTCCTCCCAGGATGATGACTTTTCCTCCGAATGGAATATCGTTTTCCATGACATCTCGGGGTACTTTGTCCACTGTCTCGAGCGCATTCTTCGCAATCATGCTGGTCTCGTCCACGATGAAAACCTTGACTTTTCGAAGATAATCAGCTTCCTTGGAGTTCAGTTTCAGATGACTTGCTCGACAGTCGTTCTTGATGTCCATTTTGAAAAATGAAGCGATGGTTCTTCCATCTGGCAGCAATGTGGAGGCTATGCCGGTCTGTAGACGGATGCACACTGAATCGGTTTGGATAGAAGACACGTCATGCTTCTTGCTGATGTTATGGCCTACAGGTAGGAGGAATGTTTCATTTGAACGTTTCAAAGGCAATATATTTTTTCAGAGGAGAAGTACTTGGAATCACTCGTAACGGACTTGTCAAGATGAAGGACTCTGTTCTTTTGCTTGCTTCATTCGAAAAGACGATGGATCATCTGTTCGAAGCCGCTTTCTTCTCCCAGAAGGATGTGATCCATGGAGTCTCTGAGTGTATCATTATGGGAACCCCAATGACCGTCGGTACAGGAACCTTCAAACTCATGCAAAAGTACGAGAAGAAGGCATTGCTGAAGAAAAATACTCCAATATTCGAGCGTCCAGAACTAGCCATCACTCTTTAATCACAATTTTTCATCACATTAAAATTACTCATTTTTGTTGAATCCTGACTATGAGACCCTGTTGCTAATACATTTTTTATTCCCTATCGTCTTTTTTTTGTTATCAGTCTTTTTGTTGTTGTTGAAGTTTATAAATTTATTCAGCTTTAATAGTAAGAATGAAAAAAAGGTGGCCGTCAAAATGTTCAGCGGAACGGTCTTAAAGATGTAGTCGTTGACGGTCGGCGTCTGGTGCGTTTTGCAATAGATTTAGCGGATTTTTTCATATGCCTCGTTTGCCAATTCCTCTGTTTCTTCTTCTCGCTTCTCTTCCAATTCTTTCTTCTGCTGTCGGGCTTCGTCGCTTAGAAACTCTTCTTTCTTATGCTTCCTGAAATTTAGTTTTTCATATTTTAATAGAAAAACCGTGGTTTTCTGTTAAAAACGCTTTCTGCGCTTCTTTGATCTTCTGATTCCTCAAATCTGATAAGGTGAGTTATTCTGAAGTTGGAATGCTTTTTCTGAGGCTCTGATTTCTAGAACTATGAAATGTGGAAAAGAGAGCGTTCAAAATCAGTGACAGATATCAAAAGAAAGCTGGAAGAAGAGACGGAGAAAAATAAGAATAAAGAGACAGATTTAAAGAATGAGAAGATCAAAGAAGCACAGAAAGAGTTTTTAGCATGGTAAGAAAATCACGATTTATAAAATTCAAAAAATTCGAAAACGGAATTTCAGGAAGCAAAAGAAGGAAGAGTTTCTAAACGACGAGACCCGGCAGCAGAAGAAAGAAAAGGAAGAGAAACGAGAAGAAGAAACAGAGTCGCAGTTAAAACGAAAGGAATTGGCAAACGAAGCATATGAAAATTGGATTCAATTGAAAGAAACTGAACGAGAAATGATTGCTGATTTAGTGTTAATCGAGGCTCCGCCCATTCCATGGATTCCTCCAAGCAATTAAGTGCCAAGGCAGTTTTTGAGATCTGCCGGAGGGAGCAGGTTAATATCTTCTTTGTTATTATTGCATGACACAATCAGAGCTGTGGAAGAGAAGTGGCCGTGGCCGAAGGTCAAAAAAATTTGTCGATTTTTCTGTTAATTTTCCGGAAGCAAGTCAGAAAATTAGAATTTTCGAAAGTTTTAAAATCCTGAGAATATTTTAAGGATACTGTAGTTGTCGTTGTGGAACCTTCGGCCGCGACACCAGATTTTCCCTTCGACGCCACTTATTTTTCGTAAATACAAGAAAATTGAGTTTCAAACCACGAGCTGCTCGCTCCCAATCTGCTAAATCTATTGCAAAACGCACCAGAAGCCGACCGTCCACGACTACATCTTTAAGACCGTTCCGCTGAACATTTTGACGGCCACCTTTTTTTCATTCTTACTATTAAAGCTGAATAAATTTATAAACTTCAACAACAACAAAAAGACTGATAACAAAAAAAGACGATAGGGAATAAAAAATGTATTAGCAACAGGGTCTCATAGTCAGGATTCAACAAAAATGAGTAATTTTAATGTGATGAAAAATTGTGATTAAAGAGTGATGGCTAGTTCTGGACGCTCGAATATTGGAGTATTTTTCTTCAGCAATGCCTTCTTCTCGTACTTTTGCATGAGTTTGAAGGTTCCTGTACCGACGGTCATTGGAGTTCCCATAATGATACACTCAGAGACTCCATGGATCACATCCTTCTGGGAGAAGAAAGCGGCTTCGAACAGATGATCCATCGTTTTTTCGAATGAAGCAAGCAGAAGAACAGAGTCCTTCATCTTGACAAGTCCGTTACGAGTGATTCCAAGTACTTCTCCTCTGAAAAATATATTGCCTTTGAAACGTTCAAATGAAACATTCCCCCACCTGTAGGTCATGACATCAGCAAGAAGCATTACGTGTCTTCTATCCAAACCGATTCCGTGTGCATCCATGGTTGCAATGATTTCGTTAATGATGCATGTACGAGCCGCTTCGATTCCCAGAACCTCAGCAACCACGAGCGCATTATTGAAGTTAGTTTTCTTCGGATCAACTCCAACCGACGAGAGAACTGATCGGAAGTCTGTTCCTTCGACAAGAAGCGAATAGCAGTCACCTTTCTTCTCGTCAGCATGGATGACACATCGATTCACTGAGGAAATTCCTTTGACGACAACATTTCCAAGTGAATATTTGAGCATTTGCATTGTCATCGTTTTGCTTAACTTGCTCGTCGATGGTGGTCTGATAGCCATCATTGTCTTTCCATGAGAAATAATCTTGCATCCTCTCATCATTGGACACACTTTCGAGGTTACAATAGCGTAGGAGATGGATTCCAATGAAACTTCCAATTGAAGAAGACGAATACGTTTCGAATTGAGTTTCACAAGCAAGAAATAGTCGTCTGGCAAATACACTTCTTCAATGTAATCGCAGATCTCTCCAAGTGTAGTCTTCTCAATTCTAGCCTTCACTCTTCTTGCCAACGACTCATCATAAGGATCCAACAATGAGGCAGTAATGATTGGAGTTGAAATCGTCTTGACTGCATTAATAATTTCCTTGATTCTCGGAACTCCTTGGGTGATGTTCATGGAAGCGACTCCGGCAAAATGGAAAGTTTTCAGGGTCATTTGTGTAGATGGTTCTCCGATACTAGTAGCTGCAATAGCTCCAACAGCGGTTCCTGGTTCAGTTATGGCTCTTGCAATCTTATAATAGCAAAGCTGGATGAAACTGAGAAGTTGTGATCTGGTGAGGCAGGAATTCTTCAAGAGAGATGTTCTGAAAAAATAGGTTCAGATAAATGAATGTTTCGCTCAAAGCAAACCTATAAGTGTCCAAGTTGGTACATTTGGCGCACTCCTCTCTAGTCTTCGCATTCGCTGATTCATGTTCCGCACAATGTGTCTGGATACCTTGCCACTTCTTGCTCTTCTTGATTTCCGTCTGGAGGAGATAGTCCTTCATTTGATCGGCGAAGTGGACATACTTTTCTTTGAATTGTTTTTGAACTTCCGTCTTCAATACTTCATCCAGTTTCTCAGCTGGGATCGGTTTCTCCTTCTTGGTCTGAATGTTTTTAGCATGCTCCAAGACGTGCGTGAAATCAACAACACTTCCGTCTTTTGCCTCCATCATGGATGGATCCAAACCGTCTTCTCCGAAGACAAACTCAATAACGTCACCAACAGAGGAGCGAACAGTGCCATCGTAAGAAGCGCAGAGATCCTGAAAGTAGTATTTTAAAATTCAATTTTTTTTTCATTTACCTCCAAACACTTGACAAGACGTCTTTGCATGTATCCAGTCTCAGCAGTTTTGACAGCAGTATCGACAAGTCCTTCACGTCCTCCCATCGTATGGAAGAAGAATTCCGTTGGTGTGAGTCCCGAGTAGAAACTATTCGCAACGAAACCTTTCGCTTCTGGTGTCTTCTTTTTCCTTTCGAAGTGTGGCAGAGAGCGTTCTTCGAACCCATCCGGTGGTCGATGGCCCGAAATAGCTTGCTGTCCGACGCATGCGATCATTTGGGAGATGTTAATGAAAGAACCTTTGGATCCACAAACTGCCATAGTCAACGGGGCATTGTACTTGCTGAGATTACGTAGACAAACTTGTCCAGCATGATCACGAATGGTCGAAAGCTCTCTCAAGATGATAGCTTCAAGGGTTTCCTCTTCAGTACAGCCTGGTTGAGCTTTAAGCTTGCCTTCTTCCAGTTCACGAATGTATTGGGCGCACTTCTCATAACCATTATCCACAAGCTGACCCTTTTCTTGCAAAAGTCTCTCACTCGGACGAACGTCACCAATACCAATGGAAAATCCACGATTTGATAAGAACACAGGAGCCATTCTAGCCAGCCTCCACATTGCGTCAACAGCAGCATCCTCTCCGTAATCTCTCATCAACATATAGAAAATGTTCACTTTTGATGATGATCCAAGAAGCGACTTGTCGAGAACACCAGCGAGGAGAACAGAGTTTCGAATGATAACGTAAGAATCTTTAGAGCATAATTCCAAGTTTCCTGAGTACGACTTGTTTTTGGCCGTAAGATTCAAAGAGACCTGCGATCCTTTGTCTGGGCGAATGATCAGTTCGATAAGCTGTTTACCAGTCCATAGCTCTACTGGACGTCTGATTGCAGGTGGTGGGATGCGAATTTTCGACTGTTTCTTAGCAGAGGCGTCAATGAGAGCGGCAGCAAAGCGATAGACTTCAGCACGAGGAAGGAATGTATCTTTGTGAGTGAGAAGATAACCACCAGTGATGAAATCCTGAATAGCAGCAACCAATGGTTCTCCAGAACGGGGAGTGATCAAATTGTTTTTCACGTTCATCAGCTCACTTGCTTCCGCTGAAATCATGTTAGATGGTAAAGTGAATTCGAAATTTGTTTCTTACCTTTTGCTTCATAGGTTTGTGGTAAATGTAAGTTCATCTCATCTCCATCGAAATCGGCGTTATATGGAGTACAAGCACACTCGTTGAATCTGAATGTTCGCCCTGGCATTACTTTGGCACGATGACTCATGATGGAGATTTTATGAAGAGACGGCTGACGATTGAACAGAACCACATCGTTATCATCCAAGTGACGTTCTACTGTATCTCCGAGGCGTAGGTTCTTGGCCAACTCTTCTCGATTTCCGTATTTCAACAACTTTTTGTGCCCAGTCTTTTTATCAACCAGATAATTAGCTCCTGGGTGAACGTCGCTTCCATTGACAATCAATTTACGCATTTTATCGATATTCGACGCGTTAACGATTTCAGGAAAAGTGAGAGTCATCGCCACATGGACTGGAACTCCGACTTGATCGATTCGAAGATTCGGGTCTGGCGAAATGACAGTACGACCGGAGAAATCAACACGCTTTCCACAGAGATTTCCTCGGAATCGACCTTGTTTTCCTTTGAGACGTTGAGTGAATGCACGCATTGCTCGTTTTGGTTGCATATCTGGAGGAAGCCCGGACATTTCGGAATTAATGTAGAGAGCACATTGAATCTGAATTTTTTTTTGTATAGATACTCGAAGGAAAGAGACCATACCTGAAGATGCTCCCAAGTCTCGAACAAAGTTTTGGCAGGCGCTCCATCTCTTTTGTGCTTTTTGAGTACATCATTAGTAAGCATAATCTCCATTAACTTCATCGTGACATCATCTTCAGTAGTTCCAGATTTCACTTCAGAAACTACTGATGGTCGAATACAAACTGGTGGTACAGGCATCCGAGTCAATAGAAGATCGTTAGGATGCTTTTCCTCTCCAGAACGAACCATCAATACTGGAATATCAGCCTCCTTGATATTGGCAAACAGCTTTTGAACGAATAGCGGATTCAGAAGTGTGAATTTCATCTTCTTCACATGATCCCCAATTTCTTGATTCGCATTGAAAACTGTCTGATATTTTCCCAGTTCATCAGCTGGAACTGGACTGGCGAAAGCGATTTTCAGCACCGCTCCTACTGCTTTCTTGACGGTTCCTGTAAAAATTTCCTATTAATAATTCAGAGAAACAGTAAAAATACCATTCTTGAGACCACACTGTGTGCAAGTCGAACTCTTCTTGCAAGCAGCAACAATTCGTTTATGGAGAGCTTTCCTGTGCAAATAATCGATATTGGGGTTCATGACTTGCCGAGAGAACACTCGATGTTGTTCGGGAGTCAGCAAAATCGATGAACAGTTCTGAAAATAGTACTGGTGATGATTTTTTTTTTCGTGGAGCTTACTTTGCAGATACACTGTAGCAACTGAATTGTGAGCTTGAAAAACCCAATATGAAACACTGGAACGTCCAGGTCAAAGTAACCAAAATGGCCGACACAATCGGTCAAACCGAGCCCGCATGTCGCACAGATTCCTGTTTTTGTAGAAACTCCCTGGAAATGTTTTAAAAATAAGAACTTATATTCCTATAAAAACAACCATTCTCGGATCGAGAGGTCCATAACTTGCAGGTTGTAGTTTTCCTCCGACGTCTTCGTACAATTTGTTGTTGAAGATAGGAACATGAGCGGTTTGCCTCATGAACTCGCAATCTCCAGGTGCGAATTTAACGCCGACACTGAACAATCAAACAGTTTGAGTTGCAGAGTTAAAAAAACTTACACTTTCAGAGCCTTGTCGGCTTCACGAAACTGTTCTTTACCCATTTCGCATCCAAGGTTTGATTTTTCCAAGTGAAGCCTAAAAAAATTAGCAATTTTACTAGAGATACAGAAATAAATTCACAAAAAGGCAATTAAATGTTTAAAGAAAATTGTTTTTATCCCTAAAACGAAAAAACAATGAATGCAGGCATCACAGGAAATATTATCAGTTTCCAACAAATGCGATTTACACCTTTAAACGACGCTCCGTAATCCCGCTCGCGCTAAACAACGCGCAGTTTTGCGACATTTCACCATGCGCCTTTAAAATATTTTGGAGTGAAAACAAAAATGTAAATCAGAGAAAAGAAGAAAACTTGAATCTTAAAAAGTAAATTGCAGAAAAATTGAGGTCATAAGACATATTCTATGTGTTCAATAATTGTGCAACTTTCAGTTAGAAAAAAAAAAGTCAAAATATTAAAAAATCGTGTCAACCAAATAGCCCTATTATTGATGACAGGTGTTCCGAATTTTTTTAAACGTTTCTGTCTCTCACATTCTGTATTACACTATTGGAATCGATTCGAGTCGATAGCTGCGCCGAAAATGAGCTTCGGAATTTCAACACTAATCTTCTTCTTCCAACTGATCTTCCTCGTTTTCGGATGTGGCAAGAAGAAACAGGCGCCTACTGTAAAACCAGCAACTCCTAAAAACGAGAATCGTTCTTCTGTGGCCGGACCACCGCCTCCGGATGATGCAGCTGCAAAGGCAAAGGAAGAAGAAGAAAAGAAAAAGAAGGAAGAGGAAGAAAAGAAAAAGAAGGAAGAGGAAGAAGCTGAAAAGAAAAAGAAGGAAGAAGAAGAAGAGAAAAAGAAAAAGGAAGAAGAAGAGAAGAAAAAGAAGGAAGAGGAAGAGGAAAAAAAGAAGAAGGAAGAGGAAGAGAAGAAGGAAAAGGAGAAGAAGGAGGAAGAAGAAAAGAAGAAGAAGGAGGAGGAAGAAGCTGAAAAGAAGAAAGAAGAAGAGATCAAAAAGAATGAAAGTCAACGAAACGCTGGAAAACCTCACTGTAAGTTTTAGTTTACAGTTTGATAATAATTTTTATTTCAGTGACTCTCGAACCTTCCGGTGATTTGGTTTTTAAAGCGGAATCGATTGCTCAGACTAGAATGGAACTCAAGAATGTGCACACTAAAAAGATCATGTTCAAAATCAAGTTCTCGGATAACGCATATCAGTAAGATAGCCATTTGACAAAGTGCATTTCAGTTTGAACTTTAAATTTTATAATTTTTCAGAGCCAATCCAGTCTTCGGTACAATTGAACCTGGAAAGACTGCAGAGGTCTGGATCACTCACAACAAATCACCACATAAAGAAGCTAAAATGGTCATTGTCAATTCTAATGTGAGATTTAGACACTTTAAAGTTTCTAGAAATATTCTTTCACTCTTTTTTCAGTACGTTGGAGAAATGGATCTGGCAAAATCGTTCAGAAGTGTGAGACCAACTGGTGGTCAAGTAACTGTCAAACTGATTGCCAACTGAAACAAGTGAAACTTTTAACTCAATATGATAGATATGATAGATTGATTAATAAAGATTGTAATATTAAAAAATAATTCATTTATTGAAAAGAAGCACTTCATTGAGAAATTGATCAGTTAGCTATTAGATTTATCGTAACCGGTCCTCCTGTTGGTTTGGCATTTCGAAACGACTTGGCTAAATCTATCTCGCCGACATACTGAAATTTTGAGATTATTTTAAAAAAAATGCACATCAGAATATTCCCACTTTCGAATTCACAGTAACCAATTTGGCTTCTTTACACGGCGAGGAAAAATGAGTGACAACTACATCCGATGATTCTCCAGCTTCTAAAGTTCCAAATACTGGATTCACACTGAAAACAAAACTTCTGAAATGTATTTTTTGACACCCTTTTTTTACGTATATGCCTGATCCGAAACTTTGATTTTGAACATGATCTTCTCTTCGGAAATATTCTTGAACGTCAACCTAATCTGTGATTCAGATTCCACTTTGAACGTCAAGTCTCCAAAAGGTTCCACGGATACTGTAGAAAAAATGAATAAGTAGTTTCATGGAATTTTTGCTTACTCAATGGTTTCTTATTTTTCTCATTTTTCTCTGTCCTTTGTGATTTTCCATCATCCTTTTTAAATTCTGGATTTTGTACTGATGTTTCTTTTTTCACTGATCCTTGCTGACTTATTTTCTTATCTTCAGGGCTTTCTTGCACTTTATTTGCTGTGCTGGCAATTGGTAGGTCTCCCTTTTTAGACACTTCTGTGTCTCCTTTCACATGGAATTTCTAAAATTATAAAATTTAAAAAAAGAACAATCTTAGAAATCTCACAGTTTTATTTTTTTTTCCTCGAAGTTTGAACGGATTTGATTTACCACTGTTGTTGGATCCACATCCAGTAGTTGCCCATAATGTGGCTTGAATTGTAAAAATTATAACCGAAAAAATCAAAAACATGGTGATTTCAAATACTTTTATTGAAATGTGTTCAATATTTGATAAGAGATAAGCAATAAAAAATTGTAGAGATTAGAATTTAGACACCGAAACACCTGTAATAGAAGAGTCCACAACACTGTCAAGTTTGAGCTCAATTATCTCAATTTCTATAAGAGATTAAAACGCTGTCAACTGATGAAATATTGTTGATATCATGACAAAAATTTTATCAGTTGACACATTTTTGTATATCTCTTATAGAAGTTGAGATAATTATGCTCAAAGTGCATGTATAGGGTGGCCTTTCATTAGAGTGTTTACGGTAATTTGGAAATCTAATCATTCTAGGCGAGAAGATCGACCATTCTGAACTGTGGATTATTCATCTGAAATTCACATCATTTTCATAATATACTGAAATTTTCCCCCACCTTCTCTAGTGAAGTACCCAGAAGACTTCTGAAATGTTTTATGCCTTCTGGAACAACGTGATAGCAAATGTTGTGTGTAGTGTGCAGAGGGTCTACCATCATCCATGGTGATATTTTGACATTTTCAGCTTCAGCAAGTTCTGACCTACAATTTACATTTAAGTTATTTTTCTTTTTGTCTTTTGGTTCCTCACTTTTTGATTAGCTTAAAACCAAAAATTCCCACGTTTTCGTAATCAAAATTTAGATAATATTCACAAAACTGTTTGAAGAAATCCATGTAATTACGGAAAACTTCATCGAAATTGTATCTGTCCATACGATCTTCTGGATTCTAAAATAAATCATAAAAATTCTTCTAGTCAATTTTTCTGTTTTCCAACCTTTCTTGTATCCAAAATAAGTTTATTTGAAGCAATTTGAACAAAATGAATGATCAGATGAATGATGATATAAGAATTGAATCTAAATTTGACCACCAGCCTTTCATCTGGATAAGCTCCGCCCAACAACTTATTAGTTTTGGCCCAATGCACTATGAACATTGCGACACTTCTCATTTTGTTCCCATCGGACATATCTGCTTCTATGAAATCGTTCAGGATTTGTGCCTTCTCTACGCTGATTTGATTGTTCACAGAAATATCGTATCCAATCTGTAACCAATGCAGATGAATTCCATTAGTTCAGATAAATGTACCTTCATTTCTGGAACTTTTGTGCTGTCTAGCATGACAATAGGAGTTTCCACTAAATGTGCTCTCATTTTGAATCTGTTTTGGAACACCTCATTATCAAGAAAGCATTTGTAAATGGCTCTGATGACTTCTTCCGGTGGATAAGAATAAAATTCAGCATGTGACAAGGGGTGTTCCAGTAAACACTGTAAGATGATTATAAATATGTTCCAGGAATCCTTAATACCTTTGGGTTCTCAATAATCATGTCAACGGGACGAACATCCGTGCGATCCGAAGATCTCGACGAAACTGCCAAGTCCTAGAATAAATTTACCCCGGTGGACTCGATGATAACCGAAACTCACAATATCGGAGAATCCATTCCGACGAACCTTCGAATTATATGAGCCAAAAATTGTGAAAACTGCGTTCTCTACGAGTTCCGATATTCCATTCTCTATGATTTTCAATTCTTCTTCAGCAATTTTCTCTCTTTCCGGGACTTCTCAACAAATCAATCGGATTAATGTTTCCATTAAATCGATGTCAGTAAACTCTTGATCAGTTGATAAAGTTTTCAGAATTTCCTTAGTCTCACGAAGACGGATTCCATTCAAATCGATTAGTCGATTCACAAAGAATCCTGATTCAAGGAGCTCAGAATCCATGCAAAGTTGCATTACATCCTTTTCGTTTGCCAACTTCAAAAGAATTGCTGATTCCGAATCAGTTGTATGCAAATGGAAAATCTATTAATTGAAAGGTTATTCATATTGTGCACCTTAATTGGACTCACCGAATCTAACACATCATAATCGATAGACATCAGAAAATGGAACAATTCCGTATTTGAAAACTGAATTCCATTCTCAAGATTTTTCCAACGAACAACAACATATTTCATGCATGATTCCTGGTTAATAGTAGAAATCAGGTCCATGTTTCAAACTTGAAAAAAATATTATTTGTTCTGATAAACTGATGGAAAAGGAAAAAACCGAGTGTCTCTTATCAGTGACCGATATCGGTTAACGAAATTTTTCGAACGAACAAATATTGGATGGGTGGAAATTTTTTGTTGCGAAATAAAAGAAAAAAAAATCTAAATTGAAATAACTCGAAGGCAACAAAAACAGAAACTGAGGGTTTCTTGAAACTTGTTTCAGGTTGATCTGGATTATTGCAAAACTTCTCAGAACTATTATTCCCTAGAAGACACAAAATATTCTCGGGCCACCACAGGGTTTTTTTAAATATAATTTTTTGTACCAGGTAGCTCCAGCCCGTTTTAGAGTATTTTAATTTTGTTTCCTTGACTTTCATCCGCTTTATGAAATTTTTTAGATTTAGAAAAACTTTATTTTCTGATTTGTTTGGAAATTGTCAAGTTGTCCTAAGGCAATAGTGATTGAGAAAAAAAAATTTTTGGGCTACGGTAGTTTTCGGTACGGGGACTTTCGGACACGCCCACAAGCTATTCTCGTCTATACCTCCTATTTTTGAATCAGAATAACAGCTTATATCTGTTTCCTCTTTCTGCTTCTTTATCCAGGCCAAATTTTCTTTCTTATATTTCCGCTATTGCTCCATCAGTCAATTCACATCTTCTCCATCTCCTTATACTCTTTCTTTTTCGTCAACCCATCCAGATGAAGAACTCGCCGCTTCTATCCAATTTTACCCTCTTTTTCTCGCCCAATTTCCTGAGTCTCTCCACTCTCGCACGATATTCTCTTGATTCTCTCCTCTCGGTCTCTTCCATTTTCTCTTTCCTCATGTGCCAACTAGCCAACGAACGTTCCTTTATTTCATCTCCCTTTTCCCATACCAATACGTTTTGTCTAGATTTAAACAAATCAAATATTGTTTCAGGTAAACAGTATATCGATTGATCTTCATAAGTATCTTTTTTGATTCATGATGGATGGTAAATTTATTTTCAAAAAAGTATCAACCCGACTATAAGGAATTTCAGACACTACTCGTAGAGCGCTCGGTGAACTCAAACAGTTGATACAGATTCGAGAAGACATGGAACGAGCTGGACTATTGACTCCAGATTTGATACTTGAAAGAAGAGACATCGAGGATAAGATGAGGAAGGAAATCGCATTCTGCATGAAGGAAAAACAAAAAAAGACGGAAGAAAAGAAGGTTGAACAGCAAGATATGATTGGGAAGATGACTTACAAATTGAGAAGAAAGTTGAGAGAAATGGACAGATTAAGAGAGGAAGAAGACTATAATAAGTTGGTCGATGAACGGTATGAAGCTAAACTGGAGCAGGAGAGGGCAGAAGCAGAAAGGATTCGAATTGAAAGAGAAGCAAAAATGATGGCTGATAATGGCAGGAAAGATGTTGAAGAAGAGACGAAGAAAGATTCTAAAAAGGAGAACGGAGGTAAGCAGGCGTCCAGATAACGCCAAATCTAAACTTCTCGGATTTCAGAAAATACCTCTTCAACAATTAATAAAAAGAATAAGAAAAGTCGTCGGAAGAATAAGGAAGGAGCCAACGACGCTGTGGAAGCCTGCCAAAAGGAGATGCAATCTCTTTCCGTTTCATAATTCCATCTTTGAAATCTCCAACAACCCACAGTCATAATATTTTGATCCCATTATCTTTTAAAGAGCTAATATCATAATTTTGTCAGCAATAGTTTTCGTGTCGTATAATTGAACCTCTTCCCCAAACTTGTAAATTCCTTCCTCTTCTTTTTGTAACCACATTACTTTTCTACTCATTTTCTCTGACATAATTAGTTACCTGTCTTCCATTCTAGATGCCATTCATGTTACAGACATTTCTTAAACTTTTTTCTGCTTCCCACTGTGTTCTCTTTCTCTTTTCCTTCTTTCTTTCTTACGAATATTAAGATAGACATTCCTTCTCCAACAAACATGTCAACATGCCAAACATCTCCCATCTTACAAATATTACACTTAACTGGTAGGGAACCCCTTTTCCATGAGAACACCCATCCAGAAGGTGCTGAATACATGCAACGCGGTTGCGTTGCTTGTGTCACGTGTCTGCGTCTCTATGCTTCCAATGATGTCTCCTTCTTCATCCTCTTCATCGTTTTCATATGTCCACACTGAAAACATAAACACAACAAGCCCCCCCCCCCCCTTCTAATCGTTTTTAAGCCTGGTTTCTGGAAACTATATGGCGTTATCGATTTTTAGTGAAATGATTATTTTTCTTTTTTCAACTCTTTTTTTCGTTCCATGTGTCGTCAATTGCACTGTCTACACACTTTTAACGTTTCGCGGGTATCTATCAGTTTTTGCCCGATGTTTTTGTCTTGTGATATGAGTTAAGAAAAGTTTATTTTTAAATTAATTTATTTTTGAGAAATATTTCAAAACTTGTAATTGTACGTATTTTCAAAAGCTACAACCGGACCAGGAAACGCTTCAAAGACTTGGAAATACAGAAAGAATACTGCTGAATTTTTAAATATTTGGTAGATCAATTCCAAAAATTTAGATTTGATTTTTGATCTACCCCGCCATTTTCCATTCGAATGGTTTTTTTTCTTTCATTTTTCAATGCATCAAGAAGGTTTGCCCTTCCCATTCTTATCCCCAAGTTTTTTTTTTGTTTTTTGTACTGGCGTTCTGAAAAGTCTGAAACTTTTTTGCCAATTTTTCGCATTCCCCTTGAACCATTCCATTTCAACGATAATCCCTTATCATTGAAATAAAAGATTCCAAAAATATTTAGCCTGGAGGTAGCTCGTACCCATCTTATTACACTTTTCACCATCTCTTTCCCTCGTTTTTTTCTATCCTAGTCATGTGCCATTTTTTTTCTGTTCTCAATTCGTTTTTTTCTCCCTACGTCTCCACCAAATCCTCAATTTTCCAGATGGTCAGAACAGAGAAATCGAATAAAAAGGCGAAAACTCAAAAAGTGAAACTCGTTCAAAATGTACCTGTCAATGAGCATCTCAATCGGACCTACATTCTCATTTGCAACGACGGACAACAGTTTGAAGCCGACGGTCACACTATAAGACATTCAAAAGTTCTCGGATTGGCTGCCAAGAATCTCGAACCTCCAGAGAACACGATTCAAGTGGAAAAAGTGAAAGGAGACACAATGAAATTGGTATTGGAATGGTGTGTGAATCATAAAGACGATGGTCCTTACGTTTCTAAGGTCGGCCCTGGACTTAGACTTCCACACTGGGATTTTCGATGGCTTAAGGAAATGAACAATCAGGATTTGTTTGATTTGATCACTGCCACCAATGATCTTCAAATCAAGCAGTTAATGGATTATTCGTGCAAAACAGTGGCTAATATGGCAAAAGGAAAGAATCCGGAACAGTTGAGACAGATATTTGGGATCCTAACAGATGAGGAGGAAGCAGAATTGGCACTCAATGAGCCTGGACCATCAAATGCTTGAACCATTAATGATTTGAATCTCAATTAATTATTATTTTAATTTTTTATTTTAAATAAACACTAACAATTAAATTGATTCGTGTTTTTGGATAAATCGCCGCGAAGATCCAAAATGAACAATGAAAAAAATAGAAGATTATCCCATAACCTAAGTCATTGATGTCTGATTGACCTGCTCGGCAGCATTTGGTTTCGGCTTTTTGCCCAACAAATAGAATTTCAAGATTTCTGAAACAATAAATTCAAACGTACCGTAGGACCTGTAATAGAAGAGCTCCACACTGTCAAGTTAGAGCTCTATTATCTCGATATCTACGCAAGATATAAAAAATACTGTCAACTGACAAAACACTTCTGATATTATGATAAATATTTTATCAGTTGACATATTTTTGATACCGTTGATAGGAATCGAGAAAACTTGGCTCAAAGTTCAAAGACAAATGATCCCTTCTATTACAGGTTTTACGGTATTTAATTTTCCTCACTTTTAATTGCTTTCCGATAAGGACTTATGAGGAAGAAATTTGGGAGTGGATCAATTGCTGGATATAAGGCAATCGTCATTGACATAAAGAAACAATACGGGCCAAGTCCTGCATCAAATATAGCAAACGCAAACTTCAAAGTTACTGGAGTATGAAGAAGAATCATCGGTATTAAGGTTTGTACGACTAATGCGTGGAAAAGTTGTGATTGAAGAGCTTGACATCTAGATGAAGTTGTTGAGACATTGCTTATCAATTGCTTGATGCGTAGATAACATTTGATTCCACTAACAACAATTACAATGAAGGAGGCAAATACTGTGAGGCACATGATAATCATTCCAGCAATCGGTCCCCAATAAACTAGAAAACTGTTGTTTTTGGAACTTCTCTCGTACATGAATGCTCCAAGATATTCGAATTCTTCGATATCCTCATCGAATACTTCTTTTATTGGTTTTCTCATAAACTCTGTGAATTCTTCCGTAGGTGCACACAGAACAATCCCAGTGAACGCCCACATGAATCCAACAACAATTGGTATCAGAAGCCAAAGAATGAATTTCCAAGATTGAAATGTTCTGAGCAACGGATTTCCACTTATAACCAGATATCTGTATACAAAATGAATTGCGAAAATTGAAAGGGATGATCCGAAAAATCCCCAATAAAATGCATCAAGGAAGAGGAGTGTCTGTCTGTTGAATATTTTGTCAGATGTCCTTATAAGGACAACAACACTCGACCGGTAAGAGTAGTGAATCTGAAATAGACAAACTTTAGGAGATAGAATTCATAAATGAATAATTACCGGAACCAGGCAAACTTCCAGTATGCAATACAACACTTCAAAAACAGAAATGAAAACCATTAGATACCGATAGACTCCAAGTTGTGCAGGAGACTTTGTCAAGATAAGATAAATGAGAAAACAGTTGAAAAACATTGCGAATGATGCTACACATAAATCGAAACTGTGAAGGTATTCAGGTAAATCGTAGATGCTTATCATCTTCAGACAAACTAGAATAAAAAAAGGCAATCAGTAGAGTCGGTTGGCTAGACTTCATATTGTTAGACGGCCCCAACGGGACGATGTTTTGAGTAGTGTACCTTATGCTTTAGTTTGTATTGAAAGGGAAAGAAATTTACGGTATCAGACCGCGGAAGTATTCGCTGGTGCAACTACATTTTTCGAGTTTGGCGGTACTTGATTGACTTCGGATAACTGCCGGTTCCGCTTGAAACATCCTGAAAGTTCTTGACATTGAAATAAGCTCCCAAAATTACGATACTCACTGAACGCCGCTTTTCGATATGGACTGATGATGAAAAAGTTGGGAAGAGGATCGATGGCAGGATACAAAGATATTGTGATGGATATAATACAACTGTAAATCCCTAATCCGTGACTCGCCAGTACGAATCCAAACATCACAGATACTGGAAAATGGAGTAGGATGGCCGGGATAAGAGTTTGGAAAACGAGAGCGTAGAACAGTTGGGATTGCATTGATTGCGATTTGGCTGATAATGTTGTAATAGAATTAAGTTCAGAAATCATGAAGTAACATTTGAAGCCACAGAAAAGAATTACACCAAATGAGAGTGTCTGAAGGCAGAAATCGGAGATAAACATCATAGAACTCACTTACCACTACCACAGACATTACTGCGATTGTAGAGAAAGTATTCATGTTAAGTATGAATGTTCCTTTTTCTATTTTAAATAATGGCCCACCCAAATAATCGAAATTATCAATGTCAATTTTGAAGTCTTCTAGTACATACGGTCTCAAGACATTTGTTGCTTCCTTATTCGGCCTACAAAGTAAAATTCCCATCAACGCCCACATAACGCCATTCAGTACTGGTATCATCAGCCACAAGAGAATTTTCCAGGAGTAGAAAGTTTTTATCAACTGATTCATGCTTATTGTCAGATACCGATAAATGAATTGCAAAGCATAGATAGCCATGGAGGAACCGAAGAAAGCCCAGTAAATGGAATTAAGGATCCGGAGAGTGAAACGAGAGAACAGTTTGTCATCGACGTAAACGATCACCGCTGATGTAGAACCAACCGTGTAGTGGATCTGAAAAGTCCTTGTTCTCAACGAATCTCAAAGATTTCTAATAACTGGAACTAGGAACATTTCGAGAAATGAGTAAAGAACTTCAAAAACTGAAATGACCGTCATCAAATATTTATAGGCGCCGAATTCTTTAGGTGACTTTGTGAGTATGAGATATATAAGAAATCCGTTGAAAAATAACGAAATAGAAGATGAGCAAGTGTTAATGTAGCTCAGAAGTTTGTGGAGAGGAAGTTTGGTGAAAATCATATATATTGAAGAGTGTAATCCAAGAAAAAAGGAATTTTTATGTGGGAAACAAATTCATCTCTGGGGAAACTATACGATTTTAAGTTTGTACTGCGGTTAAGAAAATAAAAACAATCGTCATTCTTCAGCACATCAATTGTTCTCGAGATTACTTTATGGAGATATTCGCTGGTGCAACTAAATTCTTCGAGTTTGGTGGTACTTGATTGACATCGGATAACTGCCGGTTCCACTTGAAGCATCCTGAAAGTTCATGATATTTAAAATATATTTCCAAAACTACGATACTCACCAAACGCCGCTTTTCGATAGGCACTGATGATGAAAAAGTTGGGAAGTGGATCGATAACAGGATAAAGACTTATCAGAAGCGACAGATATGCACTGTATTCTCCAGGTCCTCTGTTCAAAAGTGTCAGCACAAAGAATACAGCTAATGGTACATTCAACAGAACTGTTGGGATAATTATCTGGAAAACCAGAGCATAATATAATTGGGATTGAAGAGATCTGGCTTTAGAGGACACCATTGATGAGGTTTGCATCATTATTTCGATCGAATGATAACATTTTATACCACAGAAAAGAATGATAGAGAATGAAACAATCTGAAATTAAAAAGTCAAAAAAAGCACTCGATGTATTAAAACTTACAATCGACAAAGACATCAACATAACTCCAATTACTATTTTCCAATGGAGAATGATAGTTCCATCTTTTAGGATTGTATAAACCGTTCCTCCCAGATATACAAAATGTTCAATGTGTTCTCCAAATGTTTCGAAAATATATTTCTTGGATAATTTTTCTGTTTCAGAATTCGGTTCACATAAATAAAAACCAATAAAGCACCAAAAGATTCCAACCATTAACGGTATGGTCAGCCATAACCAAAATTTCCACGAATTGAAAATATGGATTAGATGATTTTTACAAACTGTTAGATATCGATAAATGAAATGAACGGCATAGATGGATAGAGTTGATCCGTAGAATCCCCAATATATCGAATTTAAGACGAGAAGGGTGAAACGAGAAAATGTTTTATGAGAGGTTGAAATCAGGACCAGATCAGTTGTGCCGAACGAATAATGTATCTGAAAATTCAACTTAGTAAAATACAGTAAACATCAAAGTACCGGAGCCAAGTAAGCCTCTAGCATTGAGTATGCAATTTCAAACACGGAAGTAAAAACCAGAAAATACTTGTAAACACCAAACTCTTTTGGTGATTTTGTGAGTATCAGATAAATCAAGTACGAATTGAACACGAAGGAAAATCCGCACGAAGCTTTGTCAAGCACACTCAACAGCTTATTCATTTAGAATTTTTCAAAAGATGCGAATATTTAGGAAGTTTCGTTTAACCACAAGTAAAGTAATGATCAAGTTTATGTTTTGATGGTAAAAAACATTGAGACGACGTTGAGGAATTCACTTGGGTACGGCAATTACTCTTTAACTACACATTCTCTTTAACTACAATGTCTCTTTGACTACACTTGTCTCTTNGACTACAAAGTCTCTTTGACTACACTTTTTCGTTTTATAGTACTTTTTGACAGAATTTGTTGGAATCTCTGATTTTTGTCTCATGTTATAGGCTTAGGCTAAAACACCTGTTCTCCGGCAAACGGTTTCAGCCTCAGCCTTTGATTTGAACAAAAACTAATTAAGTTTTGGAAATATCAGTGAAAATCTCAGTGAATTTCAGTACTTTTTTAACTGTGATGTTTTATGGAATTGTCAGTTTTTTGTTCAAAATTATATTAGGCTTAAATTCTTTTTATTTTCTGTGAGAACGCCCACAAAAACTGCAGAAAATTTGAACATTTTAAAAACTGTAGTCAAAGAGACTTTGTAGTCGAAGAGACAAGTGTAGTCAAAGAGATAAATGTAGTCAAAGAGACTTTGTAGTCAAAGAAAATGTGGAGTCAAAGAGTAGATGTAGTCAAAGAGTGGTGTAGTCAAAAAGTAATTACCTTCAACGTGTGTCGACTCTCATCCGCCGGTAGCACGTTCGTTTGTATCCAGCCGCCGTTCAGCAGCCAATCGTTTGCTCAGGACTAGAGAAATGTTTCATTTTTGAGAAACGTATCGTTAAAAAAAAAGATTTCTCAGTTATTCTAACAAACATCTCAAATGTTCATACTTTCCCTGAGTGTGGCTACGGGATCATCGTTGGCCCTTCAGCGGTTTTCAGTCACGATTCTCGCACATTTGTCACACCTGCGGTAGAGAAATTGTTTAAAACTTGATGAGTTTGACCCCATAATCTGACGTTTTTTATGATTTTTCTATAAATGATACATATTTTATTTTAGGCTATATAAATAGGATCTATTTCTACCATTCTAGCTCAAAATTTGGCTCAAAATGACAAATTTTTTGCTACCGGGCCTTCCGGGCCGAGCCCGGGCCTTGAAAATATCCTCAGGCCCAAGCTTTGGCGGGCCGGCCCGGAATTTTACAAGTATGATAAAGTTCCCTTTCATCAATCCTATTTTTCATTCAATCCGAGGGATCAAACTATAAAAGCATGTTATCGTATAACTTTTTCTTCTCATTTCCTCGTTTTATCAATTACACTCCCGCAACGGAAATGAACCTCGTCTAAAAAGGATATCGTCTTATCAACAAGCCCCAATATGTTCCACCACACTCCTTCGACTTTTCTTTTTTTATTTCACAAGAGTGAAACCAGTCGAGTACACAAATTTCATTCACCGAATCCAAGACATCTCTGCATGTGTTTCAATTCCAATCAATACTCTTCTGATCTATATGATTCTGAAAAAATCACCTTCGTATCTTGGAACTTATAAGTTCCTAATTATTTTAAAACAGCTTTAAAACACGGGCTCTGAATTTTCAGATAACACTTTCCCATGGATCCGCATTTATCGTCTTTGTTTCTACGAAAAATTCCTTGTTTTCTCCGGAATTTCTATTGATTTTTGAAGCGATTCACAGGGGATTCTTTGGATGTTCTCTTGCTGTATTTGTTGTCCACTTTCTTTATCGATTGTTTGCTTTACATGGGTAACAATATTAAAATAGTTTTTAGATCGTTTAAATTTTCAGAAATTATCTTTTGAACACTTTTAATTGGCCCAAAATAAATTACTGGTTGTTGATTATGATTTTCGTTGTCCTGGTTTTTCATTGCTAACTTTTTAGGTGGTCCTAATCATCAAACAACTGTGTATGTCAGGTTAGTATAATTTTTCTTCATTCTGTTTTTACCACTTATGGTTTTCAGAGAGAGCGTTTTGACTCATTTTGGTCTGAACTCGAATGAATTTGTCTATCTCGGAGCTTATATTTATGAGAAAAACATAATTAACAACACAATGATTACATATTACAAGTCTCTTGTTGAACTGATTTTGTTTGATACTTTTGTGGTAATTCCTATTTTTTAAAAATTATTTTTCTTTGAGTTTTCAGACATCATCCCTTCTCGCCGTTATTTACTTGGGATATAAATGCTATTATTGTCTTAAGACACAGACACTTTCACATCTTCCGCGTATTCAAAACTTCAATTCCAATTATTCATTTCTCTTGTTATTCAAACAATTATCCCTGTGTTTTTAGTGCATTTACCCGCTGCACTTTCTTTGACGGGCATACTGTTTGAATTGGATCTCACATTCAGTGGTTTCAATGGAGTTCTGGCTATTTCGATTGCCTTTTACCCAATTTTAGATCCACTTCCAATATTATTTATAATCAAAAGTTATCGAGGGCTCTGTTTGGTAGGTGACTGATGATTTTCAAAGTTAAACGGCCTTCTTTCAGAAATTCTATCAAACTGGCGCTGTTTCAAGAAGCATCAGATAAATCAGAGTGTTAATTTATTTCTCATTTATGGTCCCGCCAACGCACTGACTTGATGTGTTGCTTTATAAATTTAATAAATATGTTGTTGCATTCATATGTGATCAAAGATGAAATCAGACTAGAAAAGGCATGACAAATATCGAAAGACCGAAGAATTTATAAATGAACATATACATTCATTTATTTATTGATAAAGATTATGGCCTTGTTAAAGGAGGGTAGACATCAAAAATTTCAAAATTTTCATTTTTACTCAAAAGATATAACTCTGAAGTATAAATATAGCTATGTACTTAAAAACCTGAAAAAAACACTTCAAGGACGAAAAAATGCTCTTTTTTGTCACCCTAATTTCTTCACTAGCTTGCTGCTGCGGCGTAGCTTCATAATGTGAAAAACGCGATGGTCGCCTCTTACACGCGTAGTGTAGTGGGTACGCTCTAGGCTAGTATTCAGGAGGTCAGAGGTTCAATCCCTGCTGGTGTTTTTACTTTTTTCTTCCCTTGTTTCCTTCGGATTGAACTTTTTGAACTCGGAATTTCTGAAGGGCTACCAGCGTGCCGCCGAGGCCTCGCTCCGAGGTACCAAAATCAGTTGAAAATGAAGAAACTTGTTTTATTATGTTAACAAATAAATTATGAAAAAAACTACAATTAATTTTTAGAAAGAGACATAACAATTGAAAAAAAACCACATAATTAAAACAATCCTCGTGCAGGGCTGGTCGTCGGAAGGTGAAGGAAGCAGTAAAAATGGAGACGTCTCTGAAAACCCTAGTCATGAAACAGTTTTTTATTCCTAGAGTAATAACGAGAAGTAATGAGATAAATAGGAACAGTGAAGAAACGGTTATCGAAGAGAAAATAGTTTTTTTCGCATGCCTATAAAAAACACCGGCGACTGGCAAAATAATCGGTCGATAGAACTTTAAATTTACATAAAAAATTCACTTTTATATGGGTTTTATAATAAATAAGAAAAAAGAGCTTTTTTAATGTTTGAAGTCGTTAAAAATTGAAAAAAATAAAGTCGGGAAATAAAAAAATAAAAATGTGTGGGATTGCGTGCTTTAGGTGCGAACACTGCGACGGCAAAATACACATTCCCTGAAATTTTCCCCGAAATTTTTGCTGTCTGCCCTCCTTTAAATCTACTAGTTCAAAAGAGCTGATATGATCTTCGTTCTGAAATTTCAGGAAATTCAAAATACGGAAAATCTTTGACCATCCTCCAAAAAAGCGTGAATTCTATGCAATTCCCAGAATTTACTTATCCTGTCAAGTAACCTAATGATCTTCTATTATACCAAGTTATAACAAAAATGTCAACAAATTGACTCATTGTCTGCCAAATTTCATTTAAAAGCAGACATGCCTATTTCAATTCTTGAGGTCTATCATCAGAAGCTTGCCCCATTTTAAAAGAGAAATGGATCGATTCGAGTTGATAGTTTTGATAATTCAACGAGCCTGTACAATACTCGCATTTTTGATTCATTTCCCTCTGACCCTTCTTATAATGTATAAGTCACCAACTAGCTTTGGGGCTTATAAGTATTTACTCATCTACATTTCACTTTTTGAATTGATTTATGCCACTCTAGATGTTCTTGTTTCACCGGAACTCTACACATATCGATCATCATTTATGCTCGTTCTGGACTCCAATAAAACATTCTTGCCCTTTTGGATGCTCTATCCAATTGATTTGTTGTTTTGTGGAATGCTCGGATGCTCAATGGCCATTTTCACTATCAATTTTGTTTATCGATATCTGGTTATGAAAGGGTATAATAATCAAATACCGTGCAACCTGTAATAGAAGGGCCCCCACACTGCCAAGTTTGGGCTTAATTATCTCAGTTCCTATGCAATATATCAAAAATTTGTTCACTGACAAAACAGTTTTGATATTATGATAAACAATTATCCGATGACAATTTTTTGATGTCCGTAGAACCGAGAAAAAATGGCTCAAAATTAAAAGTTTGGGGCACTTCTATTACAGTTTGTACAGTAAATTTTTGTAAAATTTTTGAAAACTTTTATTTTTAGAAGCGATCTTATAAAATCTTTCGAATCTTCCAAACTGTTTTTCTGGATTGCTTCTCCAATAGTTTACAGTGCTATTTGGATGTTTATTACAGCTGTGACATTGCAAGGAAACAAATTTACAGATGTGATGTTGGAGTGAGTATTTTCGTTAGGGATAAATAAAAATTTCAAAAAAGTTCAGAGAGCAAGTTCTTCGAAAACAAAACATAAGTATATCGGAGATTGTTTATATCGGTCCAAATTATTACCCCCAAAAAGAAGTTATAGACTGGGTTCCTATTCTTGGAATGGCGACTCTGACACTGATGATCGTAAGTTGTCACTCAATCCAAACGAATTTCCAATCAAAAACTTTAGTTTGTTTCGATCTACTCCATAATATATTTCGCCGCCAAATCGTACATCGCCATGAACAAACTCGTTCTCACTTCTAAAAATTCTCAACGATACAAAGCGAGCCAAGCTCAACTTCTGAATGCTTTAGTCATTCAAGCCATCATACCATTTGTTCTGATGCATCTACCTGCTTCCGCAGTCTTCATAATGCCCTTTTTTAGTTGTGGAAATCAAACTTTTGCCAGTATATTCAGTGTTACCGTGGCTTTGTATCCCGTTTTAGATCCACTTCCCACCATCTTCGTTGTCAAGTGCTACAGAGTTGCTGTTACTCGTGAGCTGAATGCCATTTAAACATTGTTCTTTTCCTTTTTTCAGAGTATTTATCAAAAATCTGCTCGCTTTGTGGATTCCATTCACAGTTTGAAGGTGATCTTCCCTCTTCAACATCGTATCAATCTCCACCCATTGCCATATCTTGACCGAAGCTTACTTGATTAAAAAGTACAATGAACAGCGTTATACAGCGTTTTTGACGAGAGTTGTTTTTTTTTCTGTAGTGTTTTTTTCTGTAGCGAGAAAGTGATTGGTTCTGTGTAATTTTCTATTTCTGAGAAGCTATCATAAACAACATTTCAACTGTAAAACACACGGTGAACAACGGGGAACAGGAAATATGATTAGGAGTTCAAAATCAAAACTTTTCCGAATTAATGATTGAAAATACATATAATTATTGTTGCCGGGAAAATAAAAACCAGGAAGCGGGAAAAGGATTCGGGGTCAGAATTAAGTTTCGCCAAATCTTCAACAATGCGAAAACTCTTTAAAAACTTTAGAACATGTCAAAACCTAAAATTTTATTTTCACCAGACAGTTATTCCAGAAGACATACCGTATTTTCTTTAAAGGTTGGGGGACAGGAGATTTTTCGTAGTTTTTTTGTAGCTAGAGTATGCATTCTACCGTCACGGTGTACAACGCTTAATGTCACTCTGCGTACAGCTGTCGTTCTATCAGTTGACAAATTTTCGAAATTTCTTATTTCAAACGAGATGATTGAGCTCAAAGTATAGGGTGGGCTTCTATTATATCAAATATGGTATGCTGGAACGGGCTTTTATTGGAAAAATAATGACGGAGAGAAAGTTATTAATTGTTATTTTTGGAAACTAAATGATTCATTTATTATCTCATACTGATTCATAACATGCATATTTTGAGCGTTTTCATATCTCTTGAATCCTCTGTTAGACAAAACGAATGTTCTGATTTTTTAAATCCATTTCCTTATTATTTATCTAGAGAGCATTCCATCTGATAACAGCTAGACAGTAATAATGAAGACCGCTGGGATTTTAGTCTTTTCCTATAAAATCCTCTTTACATTATCAAAAGCACTCACTGTACATCTATGGAAGTCTTCCAGACTCTTCAGGAACCAGTTCAGAAAACTTCTGGAGTTTTCGCAATTCTCGTTAACTGTTTTTGATATATCTCATTGTATTTTACTCTCCAAAGTCATTGGGTGCTTATCGGTATCTCATGATTTACATTTCCATTTTTGAAATTTTATATGCCCTTCTAGATATCATAATTTCACCGGTAGACATTGCATACGTAGATTATTCCAGTAATACCATTTTTAGGTCCTCTACACTCATGAATCTGGTTTGTTAGCGGTGTTGAACTCCTCCAAATCCGGCATCCCAATGGAATTTCTGTTCATTCTCAATGTAATTTTTTGTGGGTCTTTCGGATTATCCATGGCAATATTCGGAATTCATTTCATCTTCAGGTACTTGGTCATTAACAAGTGAGTGAATTTTAATGATCTTTGGAATAATTGATGGTCTACAGTAACAAAAGACTGACCTCATCGACCCCTATAATTGTTTCTGTCTGGCTCCTAATCCCAATAGGATTCGGTATTATTTGGGCTATGATCTGTCTGACGACACTGTTCCACACACCTGAAAAGGATGAGTTTTTGAGGTAACGTGCCTAGCACTTATATGAGTATATTTGCACTATTTTCAGAAAAACCTATCTTAAAAGGTATCCCGGAAAGTTGGAAGACTTGACCTACTTTGGTCCATATTTTTACCCAAATGGATCACTGGACTGGAAACCTTGCCTCGGGATAGCTGGATGCTCTCTATTGATGGTAACCAATTAGAATATGACCTTTTCGGAATGTTAATTTTCCAGAATGTGTCATCGTTAACAATGATTTTTTGTGGAATAAAATGCTACAATAGAATCAATAATCTCGTCAGATCTACATCTCAATCCAGTCTTCACAGAAGTCTTCATTCTCAATTCCTGATGGCTCTCATAGTTGAGACATTAGTTCCTGTCTTCTTAATGCACATTCCAGCTGCAGTTGCGTATACCGCTTGCTTCTTGAACATGAGTTCCGAAATAGCCGGAAATATAATCACAATGACTATTGCCTTGTACCCAGCAGTCGATCCTTTGCCGACAATTTTTATTATTAGCAGTTATCGAAACGCTGTTTTACGTAAGTCAAGTTTCAGTAGAAGCTTATTCAAATTCTGATTCATACCTTCAGGATCCATTGCCAATCGTCTGAAGCAGTTCTCATGCGTTCAAAAAGCTTTGGAGTCCATGACTAAAGCCGTTGCTTCCGAGGCAAATGAAACGGGCGTTCTGTAAAGATTCGACATAATTTTTCTAACTTCCGAGCATTCTGATGCGAAATAAAATTTTTCTGAACTATAAGTTATTCTGTTTTTTTTTCGAGCAATGCAAAACAAACGGAACTTGTCTGATTCAAATAGAAACCTGAACACCTTGTAAGCACATATTTGATGAAAACTTTGGGATAGGTTAAGAACAGCCTATCCTGAAGTTTTTATCAAAGGCAGGGTTTTAAGGTTTGAGGTTCGCTCGTCGAAGCAGCTAAAAGTGATAAATCTTCGTTTTGCAAAATTCAAAGAATCAGAAATCAGAATTCTGGTGAATCAAGTAAATGTTTGGATGTGTTGGATTTGTTTATCATTTTCTCTGAAACTGTTCAGCCGAGTGTAAATGCCTAGGACATAAATTCAGAAAGCCAGTCCCTTTTATTCACTTGAGATTTTCTTTTGAATTTTTGATCAGAATTAGAGTTGCGCGGACAGTGAAATGTTTTTATGCTTTTTCCACAGAATACGGACAGCGGGCAACAGACAACGGACTGTCCGTGCAATTCTGATCGGAATGTTTCAGTATCTATTACTCATTTTTCAGGTATTCGATTGAAAAGCAACACCCAACAAACGATAAATACAATTTCGAACGTTCGATTTTGGAATTTTCAGGAGTGTCTAGATAAGCTATTATATAAGCTATATTACCCGGGAGTTTTTTTAAAAATCAAAATCTGAGTTTACAATTTTTTTTTGTTAAAGCTGTTCATCATTCTACTGTTTTTAAATTTTGGTTTTTTTATTTGACTCATTGTTTCCTTGTTAAAAGTGAAACACATTTTTTTGAAAAGTCAAAGAATCAGAAATCAGAATTCTGTTGAATCAAGAAAGCATTTCGATGAGTTGGATTTGTTTATCATTTTTCTGAAACTATTCAAGCGAGTGTAAATGTCTAGCACATATTTAACGAAAGCCAGGTCCTGTTATTCACACTTGCGATTTTCTCATTTTGATTTTCTGATCAGAATTGTCTGTAGTACCTATTACTCATTTTTCAGGTATTCGATTGAAAAACAACACCCAATAAACGGGAAATACAATTTTGAACTTGTATTCTGTATTATTCATGAAGTCATAAAAAGGCGTCTCATTCCCAGGATCACTTTATTTTTTTCACATCTCTTGGTGACCGTAATCATGACTCTCTTCTACGAATATTCTTATTATTTTACTCAATGTGGATTCGTTACTACCTCAATTGCAAACACTCTTTTTATCTATTTGACCATCCTTCACATCAAAAAAATCACGGGACCTTATAAAGTGATGGTTCTTGTATTCTCGTTCGTTGGAATCTTCTTTGCCACATGGGAACTTGTTTCTAGACCATTTGCTCATAATTACAACAAGGCTTTAATGTACTTTAGTCTCAATAGTTGGTTGGAAGAATCTCCAGAATTTCTAAGAATCGCTATCTGCATTTATGCGGCTTTATACATCGTTATCCTGGCAATCATTGCTGTTCAGTTCCTTTTTCGTTATTTCACACTTTGCCGGCCAAATTTTTCTCGGAAGTTCGGAGGCGCTGGTGTCATGGTATGGATGTTCTACGTTCTTCTTTCTGGCGCGATATATGGAGGAGCCATGTATGTCTATTGTGATCCTGATGAGTTCTCTGATTCTTATATGAGGTTAGTGAGAGAAATATAGCTCGGTCGAACTTGGAAATTTCAGAGATATAATATCTGACACATACGAATTAAACATAACAAACGTCCCACGATATGTCATAGTTCCATATGTAAGTCAACCTCATAGTTTTTCAATATCTTCTAAAAGTAAGTTTTTAGTCCGAAGATGGATCAATTAGGTGGCGAATCATAAAGTTCCTCTTGTCCGGAGTGGCTACCATTGCTCTTCAGTACCTCATTATCATCTATTGTGGAGTCAGAATGCATACTGTTCTTCAAAAGGAGCTTGCTCAACAGTCCGTTGTGAATCGTAAGCTCCAGAAGCAATTCTTCAGAGCTCTTGTTGTCCAAACTATCGTTCCAACGTTACTTTTTGTTTTGCCAATTGCACCATTTCTGATCGGACCCTTGATTCAACCATTCTTTTTATTCGAGATGAACTTCCAAACCGGATGGATGTATGTCATTTTATGTTTGTACCCACCAATTGATACTATTGCATTCATGCTCATTGTATCAGAATACAAGAAAGCAACATTGGGTAAGTTAGCTCTAATGTATTTTATGAAGTAGGAAATTTGATTTCAGAGATGTTCAAGCCAGTTCTTCCAAAGACAATTAAGGTCACCAGCGAGATTTCCACGTCGACTGCTGCAGCTGTCACCAGATAATATTTTTGTCCATTTAAACAAATTTTCAATAAATCTTCTGACATGACATACGGATGTTTCTAGTTTCCGTCAAAAATACAATCTGACGTAGTTCTGAAACAGTCAGAAGTTCTCATCTGACATAGATCAGAATGATTCAGCACACGGCGTCAGAACATAGATGTACCTGGATGCACTCAGATACACTAGGTGGATTTGCCTAGTTTGTGCTTTGTTGTGACATGTTTTCTGTTGTTTTCATTAGTCAGCACCAAGACTCGGACAAGAATAATGTGACTATAGATTTGATGATCTTTCATAGGGTGGCGCATAATTACCCGGACTAAAGTTTGCAATAGCATAAAATTTGAGTAAAGCGATGTACTTGGCTCACATTTGGAATGTAAAAATCGAACTAATTCATCAGTAAACTGGGCAAGTTTCAAATTATTTGATAAATTCTGAGCTGGGTTATCGCTTGTCAACTTTGCTTCATCTCATAAAAATCACAACTGCGTGCAAGAAAAGTTACGCCGTTCTTCTTTGAACAATCATAACAATGCCTAGACTTGCGGAACCGTTTTGAGAATTTCAAGAGCTTTGCATCAAACGTGAACTTATATTTATACCACTTTTCGTACTGCCGAAATACCGTCAAAAGATATACCCGCTGTTATCAGCCCGGGTAATTGTGCGCCATCCTGTAGATCCTTAGAAGATTTTACTTTCAACGACATGTTCAAATTCTGATCCTACCAGAAGACGAGGGAAACTTGAAGATTTGAATTATCGAGACCTTGAACACAGAAAATGAAAGTATTGTAGGAGACGTAATCCATGTAATCCTTATTGGAAGGACAAACGATTAAAGCTTGCCACCATTCAAAGAGAGTATTTGCTTAGTCATCTTCCTCTCTGTTTTTTTTTCAGTTTCTACTTTCCAAAGAAACAAGTTCAGGTGTCAAATGCTTCTGAATCACTATTCACTTTTCCTATAAGCCCCCCTCCTTTTCCACATGACGTAATCTTTATTCGAGACTGTCTTCTCTTCGAATCACGTATTCTCTTGAAACAAGTGTAAAGCTGCGGTCTTCTTTTCCCTTTGAATGCCCATTATGTCCTTGTAACCTTCCTACGATTACTCATCAACTGGTCGTGCTAGTATAAAAGCAATCGAAAGGGTCAAATGCCATCAACAAACTATACTAACAATATGACTTCTAGCTTCTTCTGTATTCTTCTCACTGTTTCTTGTTTAGTCGCCTTGGTTTCGATTTCTGAAGCATGCTTCGCTTCTGGAATCTGTGGAGGAGGATGCCCTCCACCACCACCACCAATGTGCTCGGGAGGTTTGTTATCATTCTAGATTTTCAGTTTTTAATTTCATAATTGTCTTATTTAAAGGATGTGGTGGTGGATATTCATGTGGATCTTATGGATGCTATAGAGCCAGAGCCAGAGGATCCAAAACTCTCTCTTTCAAGAAGAAGAGCGAAATGACACCAGATGAGCGTTTCATGAGATGCTGTGAGGAGCGTAACCTTCCAGACTCCTGCCTCTCAAAGTGCTCGTACCGTTCTTACACCAAATCAGCTCTCCAAGCCATGTACTTCAAACAGGACTCTTGCCCGATGCAAGCTGCTGCTGATATTCAATACTGTGCTGCTCAAGGAGAAGATCATACCGCATGTTGTGAAAGAAACGCCGTCGGAACTACTTTGGCTGGACAGAAGGTAAGTATTTTATAGAAAGACATTTCAACACTTTGAAAATCTCAAATTTAGTGCTTCACATTCTGTGATCAACGTCCTGGTAACGTGACTCAACTTGACATGAGCTACTTGGCATGCTACGATCGTTTTGAAAACATGAAGGCTTGTTTCTACCAGAAGGCTGCCGAATCCGCTGAAGTCTCTTTCAACAACGATCGCGAATTTGCCGTTGACACCGAAACCGCCGAATTTCGTCGTCCAACTCAAGAGTTCAGAGCTCCAGCATCTCCACAACTTCCACAGAATCCACTGTTCGTCAATGTTCAAAACTTGCTCGCCAGAACTTTCGGACAATAATTGATTCATGATTTTTCAGGGTTTTTGTACATTTTGATTTGTGCTATGGAATGATTTTGTTCTCTTATAATTGTACTTCTATGACCTCTTCTTATCTATAAATGCACTTCTATGTATAAAAGTCGAAAAACACAAAGTTCACTGATCTGTCGGAGTGGCAGGTACTCTGTACCATACATACATATTATCTTATCATTCTATGTTTCTTATCGTTCCGTCACTGGAAAAGCATACTTTTGGTTCTGTTCTTCCGAAAATGCAAATTTACTTTCCTTTACTCTTTTTCATATTTACCTGTTCTTCCATAGTTCATTCGCTGGTGATATCCACATCACTAGGAAAATTAGATGGGAAACAAGTAGAAGACTTCCACCTATTCAAAAAGATACCGTTTGCAAAACCTCCTGTTGGAAAGTTACGGTTTCAGAAACCAGAACCAGCTGAGTCATGGAACGGTATTCTAAATGCACAAGGTATTGGACCAAAGTCAGCAATTTATCATATTTAAATTTTTATCTAGAATACGGACCAGCCTGTATGTCCAACTCCTCGGTGACCAAGTCAATTCAAAAAGTTTTGGATGAGGACTGCCTTTACATTAACATTTTCACCTCTGATAATTGTTTGGTAAGGAATGATCCATATATTTCCAAACAGATTGTTTTGATATTCAGAAAACGAGAAATTGTCCGGTAGTTGAATATCTTCACGGAGGAGCATTGCACTATGATTCCGCTGTAATGTTCAATGATACTGTGATTTTGAATCATTTCGTTGAAAAAGGTTGGTGTACCTTTTCATCGAAAAAATAACTTTATCATTTTCCAGACATCGTTTTTGTGATTCCTGCATTCCGGCTAGGCATATTTTCACACTTTGTGATTGAAGACCAAAGTATTGCACCAAATAATTTAGCACTTTTTGGTTTGTTTATGTAGGAGAACTCAAATAAATATTGATTTGAAGATATTCTACTGGCAATGGAGTTCATAAAATCGGAAATTTATAACTTCGGAGGCGACCCGAATAGAATAACTCTTCTAGGACATTCATACGGAGGAACTGTTGCTCAAATACTGAGCTTCAGTACAGAAGTTAACACGGATTTGAGGTTTTTGTATCATTATTCGTTTTATACAATAACTTTTTTCAGTCTTTTCCAACAGTACATAAGTATGTCTGCACCCTCAAACTTCGAAACATTCGAATACCAATTGAAGAAGACGTTACGATTTGCTGAAAAAGCGAATTGTATTCCAAAAGGATCTGAACATTGACAAACAAACAAAAAGAATTATACATGAGAGATTGTTTGCAGAAAATTGAAGCAATGGAACTGCTTAGGTAGAACCATTTGTTGGTTTTTTTGCTGAAAAAGTACTTTTCCAGAATCCAAAGGAGTTTAGAAGATGATGGTTATCCAACTTATGGAAATTCTGTTATACGAGGACCGATATTTCAAGAAGTTCCAGAGCAAAACTTTATGGATACTCCAAAGAATGTTTCAGCTTTAACTGGATGTACGAAATATGAGGCTCTCTCTTTTGATAGCTATGATGATATTGGAGTTTCTTTAGGATTCCAAAATCCAAGAGAAGTTAATGTCAAATATCACCAGGACCAGAAAAATGACCAATTAGGTATATCATCATCGTTAAGATGACACCGTCTACTTTTTTCAGGATTTTCAAATAAAATACGCGACGAGACTCAAGAGATGTTAGTTCAAAACAAAGTGAAAGTAGACAAATTATTACAAAACGGAGTTCCGGTTTGTTTTCAAAAGGCGAACATTTAATAATACAACAATAGTTACAGACTTACCTCTATGAGCTTACGTATCCGAAGCATGCAGATCACACCGATGATTTATTCTACATAATGGGAGTTCATCCATTTGAACAGGATGAAAACGAGAAAAATATTGGAGAAGTCTATCGGACGATGTTCACAAATTTCATAAAAACTGGAGAACCTGGAATTGGATTTGAGAGATCGGATCTGAGAACTTCTTCGTTCTTTGATATCTATTGGAACGAAACATCTGGAGACAGACCTAAAATGAGAACAGATTTTGAGGAATCTGTGAGTTTTTAACATTTGATTTAGGAGTTCGAAGATTATTTTTTCAGATCATGGAGTATTGGACTAAAGAAATGGTTCATTTTGATCAAACCATTTCAAAAATGAAGATGGGATCTGTTTTGCCTGTTGTTCGATCTTTCAGAGAACCAATTAGTACTTCTGCTGTCCCTTTTTCATATGTGATCTTTTTGTTATTGCCGTTCTTAGCAGGATTTCTTGTGGCAAAATACTGTTGTTTTAGAAGTCAGAAAAATTTGTACATTCAGTTGGATGGAAACGATTATCCAATTAAAAATATTTAAGAGATTCTAATAAATTCGTTTTATTTATACGTTCAAAGCATTTAGTATTTATCATTAACTGGCTCGATATTCAAGAGAGTAATATTAGACATTAAATTTTCGACATATCGCCTGTTGAACTGACCATCGGGTTAGTTTTACTGAAGCAGCCCAGCATTCCTGAAACAAAATTTTTAAAGTTTTGATTTCTAGAAGTAGCACCATACTCAATATGGTTTTTCGATAGTTTTCCACAATTACTAAAGTTGGAATAGGATCAACAGCTGGGTATATGGCTATCGTCATTGATACGACAGCACTATAAACTCCCAAGTCAATATCCAAAAAAACGAATGCAAACATGATTGCGGCTGGAATATGCATCAGCACAAAAGGAATAAGTGTTTGAATAACGAGAGCATAGAAAAGTTGCCGTTGAAGTTTTTGGAACTTTGCAGATGCTTGAGTTGTCGCTACAAGACGATTGATTCTATCGTAGCACAGATATCCAAAAACAAGTACAATTATGATTGAAGATACCTGGAATATACGAAAATTGAAAACGAAAGTTGGGAAGGGATAGTCTAGATAGTGTAGGTGGTTTTTGAGGATAGGGGAACCCGGAAGTATAGTTCAAACTCACAATCGTTGCGGAAATGATACCCAATCCAAAAAACGGCATGACATGAAGTTGTAGGGAGCCATCTTCCATTCTCTCATACAAAAACGGACCCAGATAAATGTATTCATCAAATTCCAACTCGAAAATCTCTTTTACGTTATCTCTGAAAACGAAAAGATCTATAAAAAATGATTCCTATCGTTACCTAATAAAATGAGATGTGGCATTATTGGGAGCGGAGAGGAAATATCCGGTGCAGACCCAAGTGAGTCCATACCAAAGAGGAACTGAAAACCAAATCCAGATCTTCCACCCATTGAATGTTTCAAGAAGAGGATTTCTGAAATATTTGATATGAAAAATCAGCTGAAAATGAGCAATGAATTACTCGGAAACCACAAGCCAGCGATAGACAAAGTGAACGGCAAAAACAGCCATGGATGCACCAAAGAAGCCCCAATAAAATGAGTTCAAGACAGTGAGACCAGCTGGTCCAAACAGTTTATGTTGGATTCCAACAATCACTAGGAAAGTTGGTCCATGCGAGTAATGCTGCTGGAAATATGTTTAGTCTGGATATTTAAATCTAAAATTAGACTAACCGGGACCAAAACCACATCCAGAATGGAATAAAGAATTTCAAACACTGAAATATATATCATCAACCATTTGTAAGCTCCAAGTTGCTTTGGAGATTTTGTCAAGATTAGAAGAATCAGAAAACTGTTAATTGTAATTGAGAAAACGGCAGAAACATCCTGAATCAGTTTGAGAAGAGCACTCCATTGCTTACCAAGCATTCTGAAATAAATTTTAATTTCAGGAATACTGAAAAGTTACTTGCGAGGTGCTCATGTTTAGATGGGATCGGGAAAGAGAACTTTGATTTTTTTTTTGAGACGGATATATTTTCAAAAAAATTGGCTTGGTTATATATTCGAAATTTCCAGACGGATGTTCTCCATCCGTTCGTTTTCTATTCATTACTCTAAACAAAAATCTATTTCAAGCGGAATTAATTCTCAAAGTGCTCATTGAAAAATGAGATCATCCTTTTTAAATAACAAAAGAAAAATGAAATCTGGTCGGAAATCTTCGAGCACATGCCCGGTTAAATAATAAGCAGTTAGTCAGAAATCTGAACGCCGCAGCGTACAATTCGTGTTTTTCGTATTCCGTCAGCCATATTTTTTCAATTTGGTATTACTCATATTAAGTGGGCGGAGCCAAATCCTGACTGAGAATCAGGATATCTGTCAAGAATTATGAATCAGAAATCGAAGAAAAAATACGGTAAGAGAGTAACGAAGTTCCATTTCTACAAGAAATTGTAGCATTTTTTTTGCTACGATTTCCGTATTTTGGTCAATTATACGTGTGGGATATTTTTATAGTAACTGTCTACTCATTTCTTCGTTTCTTATAAATAAAGACCTATCAAAACACATTTTTTCAAGAAAGTAAAATCTCTTAAACTTTATCTGGAGTGGAATTAATGAACTCATAGTCCGGAACGATGTATGGCGTTAAATTCTACGAGATATGATTCATTCAGAGCAAAAAATATAGTGTACCCTATTCGGATTTTGGCCGAATCTTAGTTTGTGGGCAGAAGTTGCCCAAATGGACGGAATTTAAAAACGAAGACATGCCATGGCGGTGTTCCACTTTCGGCCAAAAGCTCATCGTGTAGATGGTCGAACTTTAGGCAGAAATTAGTCGGGATTTTTTTTCTTATTTATTTACCAAAAAAAATTCTACAGCTTCATATAAAATGGAAGTAAATAACTCCTAGTCAGGAAATAGAAAAAAAACGAATGAAGTATGAAAGGAAGTAACATTAATTTCCACTAGATGCGTTTCATTCAACGCAGGAAGGACATTTATCGTATCCGATCAAGGAAGTTCTGTGTAGCTCGTGGTCTAGAAAATAAGAACGGAACCCAACAATCTACGAAGTGCACATCATTTTTTAGGTCTGCTGTCGCCTCCAAACTTCTTATCAGAAATTGAGGGAGCTCGGCTTTCAGGCGGATCTTGGTCAAGTTTTGGACAAAAGTTGCTCAAATGTGGCAGTGAACACTGGTCAGATTTTGGCCATAAGGCGAAAACGGATACGCGGCAATTATTTTTTTTGTCCTATGAAGATGAAATCAGACAATTCGAGATTTCCCAAAAAAGCATCTTCTCAGAAATAACTGTATCTTGAGAACTTTTTTACCGTGTGAATAATTTTTTCTGAGGAATTGAACCGATTGTCAGAATACCCAAAAATGAACACCTGTATTTAAAAGCACTCACAACATTTCATGGAAACTTGTGAATCTCGAGAGAACAATATAAATTTGTTACTGATAGTTCAGAATAATGACTAAAACAGAGGAATGGCGGGAACTACAAGTTAAACAACTCTTGAATAATAAGTTGAGTAATACGATGTGTAGTTTTTGATACCAATATTATTCATTGAGTTAATCTCTTCATGACAAAGTGCATCTCATAATGTATTCTGTTTCAGTGAAATCTCATTTCTGATCCATATGATAATCTTGTGATAAGTCCAGCGGCATCAAAAACCGCTCGAATTAAAATTTATTTTATGCTTACTACTGTATCCTCCATGTGGTTTGTGTTCTGACGCAAAAAAACAAAATAGAGCGACAACTGAATACGATCAACTAGAAATGGAGAAATCTGAGAATACTATTTCAATCTGTTGGTCTAGAAGTCTCTCAGATATTTATATTTGCTGATTAATAAGACACAAAATGGGTTTAGTCGTTATTTAACATGCTCAACGATTAGGATATCTTGTCGGCTCGATTGTCGTTGTCACCAGCAGTGGAGTCTTTTTGAAACATCCAAAGTGTTCTGAAATTCGAAAAAAATTAGACAATGATTTTCACTTTTCTCACACATGAAGTATGGTTATCCTGTAATTCTCAACTATCACTAAAGTAGGTATGGGATCAACCGCTGGGTATATGGCAATTGTCAAGGAAAATACTGCACTGTAAAAACCCAAATCAATATCCAAAAAGACGAATGCAAACATTATTGCGGCTGGAACATGCATGAGAATAAAAGGAACCAATGTTTGGATGACAAGAGCATAAAATAATTGTCTCTGGAGATTTCTCATTTCGGCTGAATTCATTGTTGTCACCACAATATTGTTGATGCGAATGTAGCATAGAGAGCCAAATAGGAGAACTATTATGATAGAGGAGACCTGAAATTAAACTTATTTCTTGTCTTTTGATTGATGAATGAATCAAAATTAGAGTGTCGTCTCGACGTGATCTTTATGGAAGGGGGGTTTTTAGGTTCCAACTCAGAAGTATGTCATCTTTAACCTGTTGATCCCCTCTCACAATATCTATTATCTCATGAAAAAATTTGATCAGTTCAATTCGAGACCAGAATTCGGAAATTTGGAAAAAATTTCACATTTCAGAAAATCTTAATTCAGATTTTCATAAATTCGAAACCTTCGAAAGTTTAAATTATAAAAAAACCAAGAAAATCAAAATTTCGAACATTCGGATTGTGAACCATTTCGATACCCAGAAATGCCAAATATCGAAAAATATATTTTAGAGGTATAGAGTTTTCGAATTCCTGAAAGTTTATTAAAGGTGGGGGGACATGAAAAAAATAATGTTCTCGAAATTTCGTTTAAATATTATGCTTGTCTGAGAAAAAAAAGATTAGAGAGTATTTTTTGCAGTCTGAATACGGTAGAGATATCGAAGCGGAGAGCCTAAATAGCACACAAACGGTGGAGACGCAGACACTTTTTCTCTGCGTCTCACCTTTTTTTTTCTCAGACAAGCATAATATGCCCCTCGAGGATACATGAAGGCGAGGACGACAGCTGTACGCAGAGTGACATTAAGCGTTGTACACCGTCACGGTAGAATGCATACCCTAACTCCAAAAAACCTCCGAAAAATCTCCTGTCCCCCCACCTTTAAATGCAAATCTCCAAATTGCACTTTCGCAATTTCCAATGAGAACCTCACAAGGGTAGTGTTTTCAGACAGGCTTTGAGAATTTCTTGAAGCTTTGGTCTATGGTACTTTCGAACATGCTGATTACGGAGCTGTTTTTATTTTTTCGCAGTATCCACTCACAAAAAAGTTGTGCTTTTAAAGTGATTTCAGTACTAATTTCTCACTTTTTGAGTGAACTTTTGAAGGAGTTCAAAACAGTTTTTCGGAGTTTTTCGTATTTAAATCGTACTTTTAAATGTTGATCTACAATCTGACAAAGTTTGCTCATATTTCAAAAAAAATTCCCGAGAAGTCAGAAAAAAAAAACAAAAAAAAACACAACGGAGAATCTGTCTCGCCTGTCTGTCTGAAAACACTTCCCTTGTCAGAAGTTCGAAAGTACAAAATTAGGTAGTTAGCGAATTATTTATTATTCGTTTCCATCGATTTGAGGGAAATCGTATACCGAGTTTGACGCTTCGAGGTACCTACCGTATACGGAAAAACACACTCTAACTCTGATTTTTTCGGACAGCAATAATATTTCTGAGTTTCCAAATGGTTCACAATCTCAATGCTCGAAATTTTAATTTTCTTACTATCAATTTTTTTAGAACTTCAACTTTCGAAAGTTTCGAATTTATGAAAATCTGAATTAAGATTTTCTGAAATGTGAAATTTTTTCCAAATTTCCGAATTCTGGTCTCGAATTGAACTGATCAAACTTTTTCATGAGATAATAGATATTGTGAGAGGGGATCAACAGGTTAAAGATGACATACTTCTGAGTTGGAACCTAAAAACCCCCCTTCCATAAAGATCACGTCTGTCTCGCTAACTTTCTTTTTTCCCGCGAAACTTTGCGGAACTTTGCGAGAAAAGAAAAGTTTGCTGGAAAATGCTGTAACTAAAAAATGCTGAACTGGGAAATCGCGAAACTATGCGAAAACGTGAAAATGCTGAACTTGAGTTTTCCGAGAAATCCAGAAATGAAACTTTGCTGAACTTGAGTTTTCCGAGAAATCCAGAAATGAAACTTTGCTGAACTTTGTGCGAAACAAAGCTGAACGAATGTAGCTGATTTTTGCGAGATTCGCTGATTCCTCTGAACTTTTGCTGAACTTGAGTCTCGCGAGACGACACACTAATCAAAACTAACGATAGTTGCTGAAATGATACCCAACCCAATGAACGGTACAATATGCACAATGAAAGCCCCGTTATCAAACTTCTCGTAAAGATATGGTCCCAAATATATGTACTCATCAAACTCCAACTCGAAAATCTCATTTACGTTGTCCCTTCAAAAGATTATAGTTTTCCTTCATTTTCGATTCACCTAATACCTGATAAACCTCGATGTTGCTTCATTGGGCGCTGAAAAAAAGTATCCAGTACAAACCCAAGTTAGTCCGTACCAGAAAGGAATCGAGAACCATAACCAGATTTTCCATCCATTAAATGTCTCTAGCAACAAGTGTCTGAAAGTGTACGAATTGGGCTAGTAGTCCATTTGAAAAACTCACTCAGAAACTACAAGCCAACGATAAACAAAATTAACTGCGAGTACAGCCATGGATGCTCCAAAACAACCCCAGTAAAAGGAATTTAAAATGGTGAGACCAGCAGGCCCGAAGAGTTTATCTTTGATTCCAACCATTACAAGAAACGTTGGTCTATGAGAATAGTGTTGCTAAAACAAACGGTTCTTGTCAAATGACATTCTACAAACTTGCCGGGACAAGAACAACATCTAAAATTGAGTATAGTTTTTCAAAAACGGATATGTAAATCATCAGCCATTTTTAGGCTCCCAATTGTTTTGGAGATTTCGTCAAAATCAAATACATCAAGAAAGTGTTGATAGTCAAAGAGAAGCATGCCGATACATCCTGAATCATTTTCAGAAGGAAGCTCCATTGCTTGCCAAGCATGTTCTGGAACATTTGAGATGTTCAAACGAAACCTAAAACTTCTGAATGACAAAAAATGAGGAAATTAAAAAAGAGTAAGTATGCAGGAAATATTTACTCATCTCACTACAGACTTTCAGAGCAATTTGATATCTATAATCGCCAAAACTATGCAAGCTACGAATATTCGCGAAGCTAATTAGAAAACAATATCCAGGATCAAATGGCGAAGTTTGGGCAATCTGAAAAAAAACCTTATTTTTCAATTTTCAACCTGTTGGGACTGACAGCACAACTCTCATCTTTAGCGCACAACACGATACATTCCTTCCATGTCATATTTTTTCTCTACTGTGTATAACTCCAGGACACTTGCATTCCTGTGTGAACGACCATTCCAATATATGCTTCCTTAACGCAGATTTTTTGAGACATTTGTTGAATACAGAACTTACATTATAATGGAAAGAAACAAGTAGAAGGAGAAGGAGAAGAAACATGTTTGTGTTTTTGGAATGAAAAAAAAGAAGCAAGGACTTTAGAAGCGTCCATGGAGATTCACATAAAAACGGCTGGAATTTCTGTCTTGCCGGGTACATAGATAAAACTTGTGACCACGAGTTTTATGTTCGTAACCGGAAAAGTTTTCGAAAGGAATTTTCTATGTAAAACTTTTTGTTGTTGCCACTGACAATCTCCCAAGGATTTCGTGTCTTCATTCGAAAGAAATCCCAGAAAACTCAAATAAGGATAATCATGAAAGTTAACTTAAATTTGTCCAAGCAGCTCAACAGACTTATTGGAAGGTGTTGGGAGACAAATAAAAACAGATGTGTTCTGTGTCATGAAAACTGGGTTTGGAATTTGTAAGAGAAAGTGATAGAAAAACCGTTGTTGGAGAGTTTCCAGGCTAGAGGATTGAGATGAAAATTGTGTAATCTGACAATCTGCAATTTTTCGGTTGTGTGCAGCCTAATTTTCACTTTCCCTTACATTTTCCCTAACTGTAAGAATACACCCGATTTTCATAAGTCTTCTACAAAAAATCGGTTTCATTAATTCACAGGAAAATAAAAGGACCAAAAAATATAAATCTCGTTTATTTTAGTACTTTTGGCTTAAATTTTTCGTTAGATTCTTGAATATCCAGAAGAACTGTCTTGTTTTTAATTCAGATTCATTAGGAAAACAAATGTCCCTTTGAATTGGATGAACATTGGCTGAAAACAAATTGAAAAAAATTACCAAATGGTGAACATCCAGGACACGGAGAGGGTGTACTCGATTCCGAGTTCCTTCCTTTGATCGTTTGATATCAATTGTACTTTTCCCCCAACATTCGTCACATTTAATATTAATTTTATGATTCATGGTATCCCACATATTCCTTCCTCCCGCATATTCCTATCCCCTACTCAGACGAGATGAAAACTCATGCCGGCAAAGAAGTGTCTTGTCGGCATGAGAGTTTTTGGTTTCGGCATGATAATTTTGCTTGCCGGCAAGAAAGAGTCATGCCGGCCATATAGAGAGTCATGCCGGTATGGTAGGGAAATAAAAATCATCCGCCGGCGAGGAAACGAAGCTCCAAAATTCCGAAGTGTTTTTAAAATTTTCAATGTATTTACAAGTTTTCCTATTTTCAATCGTTTTCATTTTTGTTTCACCTTCAAAATATTTTCCAAATTCTAGAAATTATGGCTCCCTCGACTTCTCAACCAACTTGCGAAAGAAACGAGAGTTGAGAAGGTTTGAAATTGTCCGGTTTTCATAAAAATATAAACAATCAGATTTTTCAGATACTCTTGACATAACAATACCTTCTCGTTTCGGTCAAATGGAAGTTCAACTAGTCGGATAAAACTAGAGGAAACCCACTTTTCACGGACCTTGAAATCTTAAAAGATTCGCAATTTAGTAAGTATAACACTGATGATATGATCAATCCAAACATTAATTTTCAGTCAGCGAGCTTTGACCAGGAATCAAGGATTTCGGTTCGAACAATCAATTACTCTGAAAACGGAACGAATTCAAACCAACATCATTTGCTTCAATCAGACGAAATTGTGAAGAATTTGGAGACTAATCTAGTTCTTGGGCCTTATCCACATTTCTCAAATTGTACTTTAAATGTAATTCCCTACCTCCTTTTGTTTTTTGGAAGATGTTACTTTTAAGTCATTTCTCATTAATAATTGATGCATTTTTATTGATTCATCGGCTGCGGAGGGAAAGGGGAGGATTGAAAGAGCTTTTCCGTGCCGGCGTGACTTTCAAAAAACCATGCCGGCCTGAAAAAAACATTTCTCCTGCGGCGTGTACGCCGCAAGAAAACTTAATTTTTCGCGCCGGCAAGGTTTTTCATCTCGTCTGAGCTTATCAACTGTTTATCTCCTCCCACTTAGTGTTGTATATAAGCACACCAGGAGTCTTCCCTGGGGTGTGTGTCTAACTAGTCAATAAAGATGTAACCAATTTATGGTGCATGACGACTTACGAACCGAGGACAATTGTCGGAATGGATGAAGTATAAAGTTAGATTCTGTTTTCTTGTAACAGTGCCTCTCTTTCCAAATTAGGCCTTCAGAATGTTTTTCGCACAGTTTCATCCCTCTTGATCATAACAAAAACGCATAACTCAAGATGTTTCATTTTTCTAACATTTTTTTTTCATTTTATGTTTTTACCAGAGCCGGGCTTGTAATCAGGAAATATGATGTTTAATGCGAATATGCCTTGACGATTCACAAGAAACAAAAAAAACCCGGCGTTATGAAGAGGAAGTGACGTAAACTGTACACATGAAACTGCAAACCTTTACTAATGAGATGTCTAGAAGTCTAGTTACTATGTGATTTTTGTCATCAGTTTTTGAGCGAACAAGTTAATTCATTTTTATCTCCTCACGTGCAGAGTCAAAATTTCCGATTAAGATGCATGCTGAAACTTGTAACTTTTATAAACCAGTCGATTTCCGCCGCCTGTCGGCGGCTACAATCTCCTGGCTTCACTAAAAACGTTTGAATCTCCAAATCGGAGAGAATCAGAAGAGGAAGTTTTAGTTGATTGTGTTGTCAACTTTCATAAACTGGAGTGACAGTCTGCTTATGCGCCTTGGGGCTAAACCTTCTGGCTCCCGCTTACAACAGCCTTAACCGATTGAGTTTGGGCTTGGACAGATAAATCAGAGATGTAGTTCAGAAATGTGTCTTAGTTGATACACGAACTGTTCAAAATTTCCAAATTTTTAGAATTAATAATTTTCCTGAATTCCCGAATATCTTGAAATTTGACAACTTATAATTTTTTCAGAAGTTTCGAAATTCAGGAGTCATGAATTTTCGGAACTGCGATTCTAGAACTCAAAGATTTTTATATTAAAATACTTCATTTCTGAACTCATAATTTCTGAAATTTTGTATTTTCGAGTTTCCGTATTTCCGACTTTCTGAGATTCTACTTCACAAATTCCCAAAATTTTAACACGAATCAGATTTTCAGAATTTTCTCTAAAACACATTTCTGAGTTTTTGATTCACAAAGTTTATGAATTTCCGAATTTTCTAAATTCCGAACTTAAGCTTTCTATTCTGAACTTCTGAACTTCTGACATCTGAACTTTCTGATATTCTGAACTTCTGAGTTTCTGGTTTTTCTGGTTTTTTGCTTTCGAGATTTTGGATTTTCAAAATTTCTAGTGTTCTAACTTTCAAATTTTTTAATTTCCTAATATTCCGAATATCTGAATTTTTATACTTCTGGATTTCCGAAACATTGGACATTTGAATTCTCTGATTTTCAAACTTCAAAATTTCCGAAGTTTCAAATCTCGGTATTTTCGAGTTCCCGTTTTTCCAATTTTCCGAATTTCTGAATTAGAATTTTAGAATTTCAGAGTGAAACGAAAATGTTTGAAGCATAGGAAAAAGGTTAGAAATTTCGCATTTTCGAAAAAAATAATCAAATTTCGTGAATCAGAATCTCCGAAATTCAGTTTTTGAGAAGTTAGGGGATTCAGAAAGTCAGAATTTTAAAGTTTACTGAACTTTTTCTTTCTCTCTTCTTTCAAAACTAAGACTAAATAATTATTTTCACAAAATCATCTTTTCATCAGATAGTGTGGATAAGAAAGAAATAGAGGGGTTGGACGGAAGTGACGTGAAAATAATTTTCTAAAGAGTTGCACTGTAGGAATGAAGTAACGTCTCCAGATGACGTCAGAAACAAAATTTCAAAATGAAAAATAGACGGGAAACATCTCGCTGCTATTTCTGATCATCTGTGAAAATTTGAGAATTTTCGGTCTACTGGGGACTTCGCTAGGGTCGTGGAACCGGGAACAAACGAACACACAGACAGAAGGTCTCTCAATAATTGAGAACCCTCTTATCACCCGAGTACTCAGAACATCGCTTTCAAAAGAGTGTTTTACTGGTTTAGATCTTTATTGATTGCAAAAACAATATTCAAAAATAAATTATACAGGTTAGATTGATAACCACTGATAAGCTGATAAAACATCTGTTTCAATATGGAAATTATGATGCTGAACTTTGAAAGAGTTCAAAGTGTTTATTTTCTCAATGTTGAATGACCAGACAATTGACAGCACCTCGAGAGATGTGACAGTATTTTGTGGAATCAGTTGAGAATTGAAGATTTTTGAACTTCTGAAAATTAATAAAGATATCCAAAGATCTAAAAAACTAGAATACCTCAGCTTGGCAGAAAAGAACATAGTTCTGGAGAGTGTTCACACCAAGATCAAACTGGATTCCCGCTTGGTCTGCATTGGAGATAGCCTACAAGGCAACAAAACGTATTTTCATCGGCACTAGATAAAATTGTAAACTAACCAATTCAACAACTTTTCTCAATTTTCCAGAAGTGCATCTGATTTTTGATTCAGGTTCATCGGAATGTTTCCAGAATTCTACTGCTTCTCGCTTCTTTCTTCCTCCACTTCTTCCACAAAGACATCCACATTCTGGTGGCATTGGACAATCTGTTCCATCTGCTTGTTTCGGAACTGCTCGTCTTGGTTCTGTCGTTGCCCCAATCATATTCATTGCTTGAAATTGTGGAAGTAGATTAGGAATTGGTGGATAACCGAAATTCGCTCCTTGAAACTCTCCATAATAACTGGGAGCTTGAGCAATCGGAAGAGGTTGTTGTTGTTGGCAGAAAACACTAGAAGAAACTAGAAACATGGAGGATACAATAGATATGGATTTCATGGCGAAAGCGGAGACAATAGAATAAAAAAAGGCAGCTTTTGTATTATCCGATCCACTTTATAGGCCTTGTTTCTTATGGAAATCAAAAGTGTGGAGGACTTGAAAAGAAAGCGTCACTTGATATGAAATCATTGAGATATCAAATCGTTGTGACCAAACGCGTAAAATTTGACCGAAGGGCAAATTCTGGACAAAAAGTGCATCGAATCAAGTCAGGCTGAAAAATTAGAAATATTGGAATCCATTGATGACTAACTGGTAGTGTAATTGTTGGACAAACTTCAGGTTGAGTCATGACTTCTGGGATCATCCAAAATCGAGAAAATGTTTAAAAGACAATTTTCTAAAACCGTTACATCAGAATTAACCCCTAACTCCAACAAAGCTCCTGTCTCCATTCCTTTAATGTCAATTTACTGGCTGGACCGTAATTGAACCCAAAAGGGATTGCAAGAATTTCGTTCTGCAGATATCCCATCTTGCCAAAATATGATCAAAATCGGCGAACAAGTATGCAAAACTAGTTCCAATTGTCATCGATTTTTATATCTTCAATTAGCAGAGAAATATTTTACTTGTCTTTTTTTGGTCAAAAACTATTGATTTCGAAAGCTTCCGATGTCCGAAAAATCGCATCATCTTGATATCACTAGTAAAAAATTAATTTCCTGTTCACCGCTTTGAACCCAAAAAATATTTGATTTGCAAGAATTTTTTCCGAGTTTCAGAACTTCCTCCTCCCATCGAAGTCAACTAGTGTACAACCACGAGAAATTGAATCAAAACTCTTGAGAATGGATGCGCGTCTCTTTTGATACAAGTACAATAGAGTGTAAACTCAAGACGCCAAATTGGATATAGATTTCAAGAAGGCCTTCTCGACTTCTTTTTTTTTCTCGGAAATACAATTTCCCGTTCTTTAAAATTTGGTGGTCAACCTTCGTAAAGTTTCCGTCCATTCATACTGGTATTCGCCCACCTAGTAGTACTTTTTGCTTTCTAGGATCCTCCTGCTCCCAAATATTAGATGTTTGCTTGTCAGTTTCCCAAAAAAACCAAGTTAGCGAACATCCCTATCAATAGCGTTTCTTGTCGCCTTCCTGTGCGTCACTTCTGATTTCTCTATCTCTAACTTCTCTCGAAAACTAACTTTGTCTCATATACTGTCTATCACCTAATGAAGTCGATGTTTGTGTATGGAAAGAAAATTAGAGAAAGAAAAAGATAATGAAAAATTTGATGATAAAATTTGAGGCTCGTGATTACTTGTCAAGCATATAAAAGGAAAGCAGATGTCGAGAAATAACGACACAATCTTTTATGTCTTCTTGATCTTCTTGATTTTTTGTACTCATTTTTCGAAAAATTTGGATCGGATTTTCTCAGAACTTCGCAATATTTTTTTAACTCTTCACAATAATTTTTTCTAATTTTTACGATTTTCAGGATGAAGAGTTTCTTCCTCATTTCCTCGATCCTCGTTGTTTCTCTTGCTCTCGTCGGAGCTGAAGATTCAGAAGAACAGAATGTTGATACTCCAAAGAATGACGTGAAGCCATGGAAAAAGCACGACTTCAGAAAGCTTGAGCCAGAATTCTTGAAGGAAATGGCTCAAGATGCGAAGACAGCTTATTTCGGAATCAAGTTCAACCCAGAATTGACCAAGGCTGAAAAGACCCAGCAATTGAAGGATTGGGCTGACAAGTATGATGTTGAGGTAGAAGCTATTTTTTAAATGTAATTTTTAATAGAGAACTCTTTTTAGGATGAAATGCAAAAATTCCTCGACGACAAGAAGTCTGATTGCGATAGAAAGAAAAAGGAGCGTGAGGTGAACTACGAACGTCTCGGAGAACTCATCGAGAAGGCAAACGAGATTCTGGAGGACCAGGATAATACGTGGAACGGAGCCAACGAGAAGCTTGAGACATTGGTCAAGGATGAGAACCGTGAAGTTTTGAAGGCCTTCCAATCTTTCTATCCATTTGTCGGAAGAGACAATGAGGGACCAAGACACGGACATCATGGACACAGATTCCACCATGGAAGAAGATTCGGAAGAAACATTGGACATGGAGCTGCTCCAAAGCATCACGGAGGAGGTATCGGAAGCGGAATCTCTTACAACGAACCACCAAGAATCAACAACGAGAATTACAACGCCTACGGACGAAATGAGCCAAACGAGAGACATCATAAGAAACATCACCATCAATACTAATTATATGCTACTTTTTGTAATTTTAATAATTCAATGATTGTATGTTTGATCTAGATTTGTGCGAAATTGGAATAATAAATTGTATTTATTTTGAGCGGTTTTTGATTTTTTTTTTTCTCATTAACAAAAAAGCAGTGGGTGGAACAAAACGCAATCAACTGTCTTATCAAAATTCATTATCAATGAAGTGATAAACAGCAGAAGTCATGTAATTTCATCAACCAACAGCATATATTGAATGACGTGATTTTTTTAAAAAGATATTCTGACCCAGATGAACTCAAAATGTTTTGAAACTTGGGGGTGTCTTGAAATTGGGAATAAGCCAAAATAACAGGATCGAGATTTATTTCTGATTGAAAATTAATGGATTCGGATTCAAAATCTGTTATAACGAGCGGTGTTGTAATTGTTGGTGTTGATCTTATGAAGTTTTCCGATCAGGTTGAGGACAGCTGGCACGATCTGGAAAAAATCAAGAATCCGAATGCCTTCTCCTTTTCAGAGTTTTCAGAAATTGCAATGACTTTACTTACAAGGAAAATCAGAACATCTTTCCTATCTTTAGAAATTGCAATCCTCAGCTTACCTTTGGATGTTTCTCAGTCAAGAGTTGAATGGCATTGTTTCTCTCCTCGTTGCTGATCGTGTGATTGTTGTAGATGGCCGAGATTTGTCGGGAGACCAATCCAACCTCGTCACTGATCTTCTGAATGTCCAATTGCACGTTTTGACGAATTTGAGCAAGCACTGGATCCTTCTAAGATGTTTTGAAAATTGTTGGAAGACATTAAAATTAGATCTACCTCTTTTGGTTCTGTAAGTGACTCCAATCCATTATAGGTTCTTGGGTATGTCTTCACTCTCAATCCGCGACTATAAAATCGTCCGTTTCCTTGCTCTTCAGATGAAGTTCCTGCACTTGATCCAAATGCAGTGAGATATCCAGGAAGACTTGGCAATCCGCGGAAAGCGTTGGCTGATCCGATAAGGAGAGCCAGGGGAAGAAGATAACGCATCATCTTTTGGGGGGGGGGGCACCAAATCAGAAGGAAACTGAAATCAGACTGACTGAAACGAATGACAACGACGGCTTTTTAGGAAAAATGGGCGGAGCTAAAGTATAATATAGCAAGAAAGTCAACGGAGCTGATAAAAAAATGTCTCATTTTGTTTCAAAAATTGATGTCATCACTTTAGTTCCATTAAGAAACATTGAAACTGACAAACTCTTCTTGCAAAATAGAAATTGCCCTTTGGCGATCAAGCTACAGTAGGGATTGAAATTTCTATAGTTTGTTCATAAAATTTGAAACTAGAATCTATTCGAGCCCATAAAAATAAAAATTATATCTATATAACATTCCAATCTTTGTTTCCTGGAATGACATCATCATCCGTGATGTAACCTACATCAGAGCTACTGAATAATTCAACAAGATAGAGAACTTTTATCTTTATTACTTTCCTTTTCTAGCTATTCTAGGTTATAATAAAACCTGCGCCCCAAAACTATGAATAATGCGATTTATTACCAATTTCCTAGAGCCAGAAAAACAACTACTACATATTGAATGATCTTATTTTCTATGTCTGAAAAGAATCCGTTATATGTATAGAAGAAAACGCTTGGTTTCGGAGAACAAAAAGGAAAAAAGGAAGAAAGAGATTTATGAAAAAAAACTGAAAACAATGGAAATCGAAATGGCACAAATAAAAGGTGCTGACGTACTTAAATCCAGGTTGTGTGGGGGAGGAATTAGAATGAAAATAGTAGGGAATACGTCAGTTTTGATATTTCAGAAAAAGAAGAAGAAAGAGAGGAGTGCTTTTAAAGAGTAGCGAACGGAAAGAAAATTGATATGGAAAAGTAGGGGGAAAAAGGAAATGGATTCAGTGAATTTGAATGGAAATTTTGAGGTTTTGGGATGTGACGCAAATGGAAAATATGATTGATGGGTTTTGAGTTTGGCAAAAAAGAGAAAATATGGGAGCAAAAGTTGGAAGTATTTATGAATAAGGGTGGTCCAGGATGTGATCTTGACAATATGAAAAATGTAGAACAGGAAGTTTTTCAAATGTTTAATTTAGAATATACTTTCTTTTATTCAACCCACAAATGAGAGCTTTTTTATCGTCCAACATTTGGAAGTAATATTTTTTCCTCTAATGATATTTTAGCAGTATTTTAAAAAACCGTACAAACTGTGAAATAACGCCTAATACAACGCCTGTGAGGTGATTCGATCAAAACAATCATGTTTTGCTTGATTTTGAAAAATTCCCACCATTATTTTGCTACCTTGATAATAATACAAAAAAAACCAATTTATTTATTAACTTGCATCACCCCAAAACAACCCTCCAAAAAAAAAAATAAAGTGTCATTGCGTTATATTACGGTGTTTACCGGATATCGCAAAGTGATTCTCTTGAAACTCTTCTAAAGTATGAAATCTGCTCAACTCAACAACAGATTATCCTGACTAAAATCTGGCAAAAAAATCAATGCTAAAAAACTGATTACGGAGGAAAATGCGATTAGTTTAGTTTCGTCACAAAGTCCGAAGTTTTTGATTCTGGGTTATTGAGATTTGTCAGCTCTGAACGTAGTGGACTTTCATTTAAGAATGTAAGATCAGAAATTAATATGTTTTCTTTTTTGTGTAGTAATATTTATGTCAATTTGGGTTTCAACTTTGTTCCTACCCCCATCAGAGCAAAACTTGAGGTTTTAGCTTTATTAGAAAACGCTCAAAAAGGAAAATAATGATTCAGATTATTCAGGGCCTTCCTACAGAAGCAAAGATCTACAGATTTCCAGGTCATGATCCGATTTACAATGATGTTTGTTTCCAGAAATCCGATTTCTGATAGGAAAAACATTTATTCATCAAAAAGCATTTTATGGTTTTTTGGGTGATTTTATGGTTTTTTGGGTGACTCCATGTCTATCCGCAAATCGAGACCTTGATCTTCATTTTCTTCCGTCACGAATTGTAAATCTGAAAACATCACATCACTTTAATTTTCAGAGAGAACTCACTACTAAAGGCACTGTGAGTACTTTCTCCACCTGGAGATTTTACAGATTGCTGGGTTTTGGTATGAGGTTGAGATTCGCTTCTGCTGAAAATTATATTGAAATTAGAAGATCTGAAATATCCATGAACTCACCCCAGTTTCAGCCGACTACTCAATCTACGGAACCTTCTTCGGATCGAAATCGGATCTTTATCAGAAGTAGAACCTACACTTGTTTTACTATCCACATGAACCATTTTTGTCTTTTCTGATTCAGGAATTCTAGAAAAAATATGTTGCAATTTTTAACGTTGGTTTTTAACATACACAACATCTGCAGCTGATCCCTGTAGAACATGAGGATGCTCTAGGAGAATACTTGGATACATCGGTCCAAATTTGGGATCTGAGAATTGATCAATGTTCAGAATTGGGCATTCCGCATGACTCTGATCCACTATTTGCATTCCTGTCTGAAAACTAGGAATGGTATTTCCAAAACTAGAGGATTCCTACAACCTTGATATTTTTATCAATTACCCAGTTGCCTTCAAAATCATCATCATCCTCACCAAATGGATTCAGAAGTGCTTCAGCAACCTGAAATCACCCAGATTAATTTCAGAGGTTCGAAAAAAAAAGTATACCTTCATCCATCCCAAATAAAGGAAAAACGATGTGGCTGGAATCAAGGGAATGCATCTGTACCACTGAAAAACGACTGATAGTGTTTTTCTCAAACTAAACCACCAACCAGAAACTCTTCCGTCTCCGTTGGTATGTATTGTCTTGTGAACAATGTGAAGAAAAAATGAATACGAACGGCAAGAAAAACTATCTGAATATTTATTCCTGATGTTTAGATTATGGCACATTTCTTAATTTTTAGGTCAGGATATGACCCAGATTTCAAAATTAGTTCATGACCTATTTTCAGTTTTAAGATCATGACATTTTTTCAATTTCTAGGTCATGGCCTAAATTCCAATTTTTAGGCCATGACCTAGATTTCAAAATTAGTTCGCAACCTAGATTTCAATTTTTAGGTCATGATCGTTTTAGAATACCTGCGGGTAAGCAATGGGTATTGGAACCCAATCAAATTTACACAAATTTTCCAGTTGAGTTCGAAAATCTCGAATGTTCTGTAAAAAGCGTTGAGAACATTTTTTTAAACCAGCGACCCACATTCAGAACATTGTTGGTGGAAACCGGAGCCTCAATGTATTTTTGCTGAAAACTTTCGATTCATAAACAATCTAAACTTAGAAAGAATTACATCTTGCATTCTCCAAACAATTGAATTACACCAGTTAATTGGCACCCAATACTTATTATATCCAGTCTCAGTTTGTTCCAATTCATGCAGCTCATTCTCAAATATGAATCCCGCTTCCATTAGGCTTTTCATAGTGGGAAACCGTCTTCGAACTCTCATCGAAATATCTCGGTACACCATAGCCTGAGATAATACTAAATATCGAATGATGGATCTTCTGGATAAACGAGCGTTATCATCTGTTCCTCTGATTATTGTGCTCACCGATAGAGCAACTCTGGAATGGAAAATTCCCAGAAGTAATAACTCTGGATAATTCTTACGTCTCAATGAAACTGATATTTTGAAGAATAGTCTTCCAACGATCCACCACAATCGTCACAAAGAATCCAAGCATGAATTTAATATCCAGTATTCCGAGAAGGTTGTCCAAACGAGTAGCTTCTTTGTTAAGCGCTCTAAACCCACCAATTTTTAGGTCATTCTTGATTCAGAACTAACGTTCGATACTCTATCGGAATCACCCAAAAAATAATTGTTGAAATCATAGCATATAAGCAAATCCAAACAAGAAGTTCAGCCCAAACCGCCTTGACAACTGATCCTTTCCATTTTCGAAGTAATCTCAAAAATGCGGAATATCGAGCAGAAGACACTGATAGAGCATAGGAAACTGTCATTTTGGTAGGGACAGTTTTCAGAAAATAGAATTACATTGAATTATATTTAGAAAATTTCAGAATAGAAGCAGTTTTTTTTCAAATATTTCGTCTGTGTTGATTTGAACAATGGGAAATAAATAGAAAATGTTTTCAACTTCTCTCTCGTTCTCGTCATTTGCATACCAGCGTTTTCCACATTTTTTGACATCAAAATAGCATTATTTTGCGAATAGAGAAGAGTTGTGAAATATCATACAAAGATCAGGTTAAGATTGAACATATGAAGGTGGACGGAAATATGTGGACTTCAGAAGATCTTGGAATGATGAGTCAGGTCGTCCTTTCAAACTTCTAGAATGAAACTTGTCGTGTACATATTTCCCAAATTGAAAAGGTGGAGCACAATTACCTGGACTGATAAAAACGGATATATCTTCTGTCATAAGTATCTTGGAAGCACGAAAATTGGTAGAAATATGATTTTCTTTACTCCAAATATGAGCCTAGTACAACGCACTACTCAAATTTTTTGTCATTACAAATTTGAGTCCGGCCGTGATGCGCCGCCTGTAAACAAAACAATTGGGCTCCTTGAGCACACCAGCTGTTCTGAAAATGTTCTGCCTCCATATTCTTTCCTTTAACTCGATCTGGCATATACATATTGTATCTGGAAAGGTAATCCTCGTCGCCGTGCTGAAATGACCTTTTCTCTCTTCCGTCGAGACTCAACCACCAACAATTTTTTTTAGTCATTTCAATTGCTTTCCGGCATTTAGTGCTGTACTCTCCTCGTATTCTCCTTTTTTGGATCTACTCCTAGGCAAAAGACAAAATCCGGCCTGGAAATGGTCGTAGTGTCCACCCGCATCATGATCTATTCACGAGAGAATGGGGCGAGAATAGCCGGAACGATTGAGAGAGAAAAAGGACTGGATGGAATGGAGTGAGGATAGAAAATAAGAGAAGGATTAAATTGCTCTTTTTTGGAATAAGAAGACGAAGAAAAAAGAACAAAGAGGGTCGCCAAGAAGTCTTTGGATGAGGAGACACAAGAGTGGGAGGAGAAGGTCCGTGCCAAAATTGTCACCTTCCGAAAATGTTCCGAGCACTTCATTCGCTTTTTAGTAGTATTTGTTTTCGTAAAAATTGGTGCTATAAGAGGCAGTACTATAAGAGTCAGCACATTTCAATGATTTTACTGATGCGATTTCTCGGATTTTGAAAAAAAAAGAATCTTCATGTAATTCTGCAGATTTGAAGAAACCGATTTCAGATATTTGAAATTTTCTAACCTCTGTTTTGAACTAAAAACTACAACCCCATGTTTCCTAAACCTCTCTCCTTCTCCTCTCAAAACTTCTTCACCTTTACACCGGAAATCACTCTCTCCACCTTCCAAAAACACAATGGAAATGACCACTGACGTTTTGGAGAATGTTTCCCTTCCACCTACCTTTTCTCTATTTTTCATAAAAATAATATTTTTGCTTTTTAGATGAGCTCCAGGAGTAGTGGGAGTCGGAGTACCAGTGGTGCATCTGGGATGGTAAGGAGATTTTTGTAATTGACAAGTTTATGAGTTTTCATTTCAGACGAGAGACTCTCCCGAACGAATCATATCCGCTACACGGGCAAGTAGAGTAAGTTTTTAACGATTTGTTTCCGAAAATCATAAAAATCAAAATATTTATGAGTTTGATAGGCATTCAAATATCTCGAGAAGCTCACTTCATATTCTATAGTATTATGATTTCTCCTATTCTAAAGAAAAGAACGCACTATTGTGAGCGTCCCTGTTGTTACAGATTAATTAGCAATGAGGATGAATTTGGAGCAGATGAGGTAGGAAAAAAGTTACAGTAACACCTGTATTAAAAGGGCCATTTTAATAGGAAGGCCGCTCTGTAATGTTGTTTGAAATTTGAAGTTTCTGTTTACGCTTCCAGTGAAAAATGCTCCGGAAATTCCGCTATTTCACACAAGTTTGTTCAAATACTCTTTTTGGCTCAAAAAATTGCTCGATTTCGGTGAAACTGAAAGTTTCATAAGAACGAGAGGTAACCAAGTTTTCAGATAAAAAAGTTTAGAAAAATGGCCGGAAAAATAGAAGGGTTCCCTCTAATTTGAGGGCCTCAGTAATAGACGATCCCTCAGGAGAAGCCTTGAAACAATAGAGAAGCCGGCTTTTCCAATACAAAATTTCTGTAAGATCAAGCAAGATCAAGCAAGTAAGAACGTTTCCTGAGCTGCAAACAGACGCAAAAAATGACTAGATGCTCTTTTTGATCTATATCTTCGTTGCAATTTTGAACCATGTAGTTGAGACGTCTAGTAAAAAGAAGAAGACGTCAACAATATACATCTAATTGCGGATGGCTCCTCAACAGAGCAACAAAAAGATAGATGGGTCTCTTCTGCCACACCCTCCAATCTCCTCTATCTCTCTTGAAATTTCTGGATCCGTTAGTCTGTGCACTTTATGATTCCAAAGTATACATTGCCACGTCGAAAAGATGCTATTCGACATAAAATTCGAAAGAGTGTCACTTTTGCAGACGTTGAAAGTGATTTGTGTCAGGTAACTATAATTTGGCATGTTCTCGTATTGGTGGTCTGGTCACCTGGATTTGGGGATGTCCATGGCTGATTAGAGTATCAATTTTGATTAATGTATATTCTAAAATGTTGTGTCAGTCACCCAAAATACCTCTTCTAAAAATAAAACCCGCCGAAGAAAACAAATCACCCAAAAGGGAGTTTAGAAAAAGTTAATCGGTGATTCGTGTAAGTCCCCATGTGTCTTTTGCTCTTCTCAAAAATGAAGAAAAAATGAAAGGAAGGAATCGCGGCAAGACCAAAAAAAGAATGAAGAGTAATGCGACATGCAATGATCCCAAGAGAGACAATTGTCCCCCAGTTGCTCCCTCTGGAAAACTATTCTCCTTTCGTTTTGGAAATTGTCGAAGCTTTTGTTTCGTTGTCACATACATTTTGGAGAGAGAAGTTGACACTATTTGGGATCTTTATGAGTAGGTCATTTTGTTTTTGTAAATCCTTTTTGAAACATTTGGAGAAACTCCAGAACCATTTCTCCAAATGTGTAACACCGTAACACCGTATAATAGAAGGATCCCTTAACTTTTACTTTTGAGCCCATCTCATTTCCTGTGAAATATATTCGAAAGTTTTTATCTGATAAATTGTTCAGCATAACATCAAAAGTTATTTACCAGATGACACATTATTGATATCTTGAATAAGAATTGAGATAATTTAGATTTACTCTAGAATTATAAAATGACGATGTCAATCTCTACAAATGCATTTCCTCTTTTCAATAAAGTAGCATATTCTCCGCGCTCAATGTCAAGACTCCTGAATAAGAGCAAAAAGAAGATAAAAGAGGGGGGAGTCGATTTGAACAAAGATTCCCATTTAGATAAGCTCATATGTAGACGACCCCCATGAAGGTCCACCATCGTTTGGTCTTCAAATGTTTTGAAGCTTTTAGTTTTGCTTGCAGCATATTTTTCTGCAAAATAATCCCAACTTTTTGTACCAAAACTCCTTCAGAGACTCGTCCATGAGCCAGATTCAATGGATAGTAGGTCAAGTCCGTATATAAGACCTGCTCCGTATAGTGGAGGTGTCCATCCACATTTCGAAGAAGAAGATGACAGGTCAAGAGTGAGTTTAAAAAGTAAATTCGGTTCTCCTAACCTATATTTTTCTTAGCTTCATGCTTCTGCACTTTATTCTGAACGACGAACATCATCCCGGAAATCGCTGAGGTCTCAGAAAATTGATTATCATGCAACCACAATTAAAACTTTGTGGTTTGATTTCTGTGCTCGGACGTCTTCTCATGGAATTCCATATGTTGCGTAAGTGTTATGAAGAAGTCTGTAATAAGTATCATGTTCCAGAACATCATCATTTTTCGGACGATACGTGTGGGCGGCATTGTTCATGTGCATGTTAATGGCATTCTTACTACAAACCTATTGGACTATGTCAGAATATTTACAGTATCGAACAATCATTGAAATGCAACTTCAATTCGAAGCAGGTAGGGACTTTAATTTGATTGCAGAACGTACAGTGCGGTCAATATCTTTAAGACTCCCTTTGATTTTGGGCGCACAGAAAAAACTAGAGGAGATATCAAAAAACTGTAAACGCCATTCGATTCACAATCATAAATAACCTCTAGTGACAAAGTTTCATAAGTTTAGCACTATCCCTGTCCGTGTACCATCAAAAAAACCCATATGCAAGCGGTCAATATCTTTAACTAGGGAATGACTCACAGAAGAAGTGGAGTTATGGGACGAGACCTATATCATTCGAAAGAGGATGAAATTTCATTTTCAAATATATGCTCAGTTTTTGCGGCGGCCTCCGCTAACTCGAGAAATTTAGGTCAGAAGTTTTCAGTAGATTTTGCACTGAAATGCATACGTGAACGCTTCCACGTCCTCATTTCTTTTATACGCTTTGAAGAACCATTGAAAACAGCAGTGGGATGGTTCAGTGGTAAAGCGGCGGGATGGGGAAATGGTACTCTATGGTTCGACTCCTTCATAGTCGAAACTCTTTTTTTATTTTTTGTTGGTTTTTTATATGACCTGTTTTTGAGCTCAAAAGCTGTTTTCAGCAGTTTTCCATACTCTAAACACCTTTGGCATCTTGTCAAATACAAATTAACCAAGTTTTTGGAAAAAAAAATTTCTGAAGAAAATTCGCATGTTTTCATGATCCATACACCTCTTTTCAAATTTTCAAAAACAATTTTTTTTGAAACACAAAGAAATCTATATTTATTATTATAACGAGTTAAACAGAGGTGCACAGATGCTTATCCTTGATAATAAAATGCTCGAAGCATATGAACTCCTTGCATCTGGAGCACTTGATGAATGCAATTTTTGGCAATTTTGGCAATTTTGGCAATTGGTTGGCAATTTTGGATTCTTTCCTTGATATTTGGGGATTGTTTGGAGGCGGATCCGGATATCTTTGGAGCAAAAGAAACATGAAATGCGTTATATTGAACGACATATCGAACAGAAAGAGAGAAATAAATCAAAATTCTACCCAAAAAAAAAACGAAGAAAACGTGTGCCGCCCGTTCGCCGCCCGTTTCGCCGCCTGACATAATTGTGGAACTTTTTCAACAATTAATCAAACTAATGATCAAACTGATGATTAATTGTTGAAAAAGTTCCACGATTATGTCTCGCTTTTATAGACGGGCGGCGAACGGGCGGCAAGCGGGCGGCTCACCGCCCGCCCGGATGGAAACCCTACTGGAATAATCCCGCCAAGGATAAAAAAATCGGAAAATTTGAAAAGAGGTGTATGGATCATGAAAACATGCGAATTTTCTTCAGAAATTTTTTTTCCAAAAACTTGGTTAATTTGTATTTGACAAGATGCCAAAGGTGTTTAGAGTATGGAAAACTGCTGAAAACAGCTTTTGAGCTCAAAAACAGGTCATATAAAAAACCAACAAAAAATAAAAAAAGAGTTTCGACTATGAAGGAGTCGAACCATAGAGTACCATTTCCCCATCCCGCCGCTTTACCACTGAACCATCACAGGTAGAGGGGGACTGCTGAAAAACTGCTAAATGACAGCTGAAGAGGCGCAAACTGGCGAATGACTGCTAGTTGGCAAAAAAATGATAGAATCTTATTTTCCTAAAATAGGACCACCTCAAAAAATAGGTTGTTGAACGACTGCTGAATGACAGTCGAAGAGGCGCTGACTGGTCAATGACCGGTGGTTGGCGGGCCAAATTTCTGCAGAATGAAAAATTTGGTTGAAAAAAGATTTTTCTCTTAAAACATGATAAAAGTCATAGAGGGATCTGGGAATCTATAAAATGTGTTATTAGAAGCACTTCTACGAAAATTAGAATCTGAGGCGCGATTGGTGAAAAACGGCTAAATGACAGTCGAAGAGGCGCTGACTGGTGGATGGCGGCTGGAAAAAAACGCTGTAAAATGAATTTCTGAATGTTCCTGGGTATCCATCTAAAAGCATGTTTTCGCATTTTCTGTTAAAATATGGTAACTTGAGTTGTCATTTCGTGATAATAATCCTCCGTTTAAGGCACGTGTTTCCGGTCATACTTTTCCCATTTTCTGAAGAGTTCCGACGAAATTTTTTTCTGAAAACGTTGTACAATTTTTGTCTGATAATGCTGTTCTCTTTTTGTTTCTTTTTCTTCAAAAATCTCGACAATTCGTTTTTAATTGCCGTTTTAGCTGACGAGTTTCGGAATTTCGGTTCGCAACGACACTCCGAAATTCCGCCTGCGCCTTGTTTAGCGACACAAGACTCAACGAATTTCTCGTCTAATTTTCACAGTTTTTTTCGTTTTTCGAAGTGTTTTCTCATTGAAATTCAGTATTTTTCGCTCAAATTATCTAAATACTGGCATTAGAAAAGCATCAAAAACATTCGCGCACTTTCTTCCTCGCGTTTTAGTTGAAAATGCGAAAAAATCGGTCAAAACTCGTTTCGCCATAAGTTTCTAAGGTTTCGCAAGTTTTTGCTTCGGAAAGTAACAAATTTAACGTTGCAGAGGTTTTTATGTGGTGAGTTGGTGAGTTTTTGTATGCTCCGAAGCAAAAACTGTCGAAATCTCTTAACTTTCTCATTCTGTTGCCGAAAATTCGCCTCGCCGACACTTCGCAAGTGTGATGTTTTGCAAGTGCTGTGGAAAGTAACAGCTTTGCAAGGTTCGTGCATGAAAAATTATACGAAAATCTGTTGTTTTTTCTGCTTCCGATCGGCTTTAAAATATCACATGCGATATGTCGAACTTTTGAAGTCTCTGCTAAAAATGTCGCTGAGCCTTAAACATGTAAAGGTTTTTTATATGCTAGTTTTTTTGAGTGCTCAATTCATGTTACGAACTCATCAATTTTACTTATTCTGAAAGAAAGTCATATAAAAGCGGAAAATACTGTTCAATGAGAGAAATGCTGAGAACCGAAAGAAATTGGAAACGAGAAACGAAGAAGGAAAAAAGAACGAAAGGAACGAGAAAAAAATCTTCGCATTTTAAAATTTGAATTTTTATAAAGTTGGAAGTTTGCGAAAACACATAGAAAATCGAAGTTCTGTTCCCTATAGAATTTGTAATTTCTTATGTGTTTTCTCTCATTCTAATCATAAAAATTCAACTTTGAAAAATTTGGAGTTATTTTTTCAATACAATACACAATCCACAGAAACTATTAGTTTAATAAAGAATTTCTATTGTTTATTACCTGTTTAATGATGAACTGTCAAGAAAGCGCTATCATTTTTGACGGCCCGTCTTCGAGGCGCAAATCGTTGCAGACGGACCGTCGGCGGCGCGCGATTCGACTGCCGACTGTTCGCTTTTCGGCAGTCCGCGCCCGCCAGACGGGCCGTTTTTCGGCGGTCCCCCTCTACCTGTGATCCCACTGCTGTTTTCAATGGTTCTTCAAAGCGTATAAAAGAAATGAGGACGTGGAAGCGTTCACGTATGCATTTCAGTGCAAAATCTACTGAAAACTTCTGACCTAAATTTCTCGAGTTAGCGGAGGCCGCCGCAAAAACTGAGCATATATTTGAAAATGAAATTTCATCCTCTTTCGAATGATATAGGTCTCGTCCCATAACTCCACATCTTCTGTGAGTCATTCCCTAGTAAGACCCCCCCCCCCCCCGGATTTTTCGATGTTCCAGTGATAATTTTCATGAGAAATTTTTTTGTAAGTATCAAATACTAGTCTAAAAATCGTTCTTAGATAGTTTTAAATCAAATGACAACGGTTTCTGAAAGAGTTTCCTGATCAGAAATTGGGTTCTGAAAATTCATCTCATGATTTTTGCTATTTTTGAGAGAATTTTTGGTTTTATGGAAAAATACAGCGTTCTACTTGATGGAACTCTATGAAAATTTATATTTTTTAAATCCCAAAAAACTACTCAATGTTAGCCCCGGAACTCGTCAAACTGCCCAGCTCCGACTTTAAGAATCTATACCCATCTGAATTCTGCCTGAATCTTTACCAAATGACTAAAACATCAAAAAGGGAATGAGATCTTTCTAAAAATATAAATTTTCATAAAGTTCCATGAAGTAGAACGCTGTATTTTTCCATAAAACCAAAAATTCTCTCAAAAATAGAAAAAATCATGAGATGAATTTTCAGAACCCAATTTCTGATCAGGAAACTCTTTCAGAAACCGTTGTCATTTGATTTGAAACTATCTAAAAACGATTTTTAGACTAGTATTTGATACTTACGAAAAAATTTCTCATGAAAATTATCACTGGAACATCGAAAAATCCGGGGGGTCCTAAAGATATTGACCGCTTGCATATGGATTTTTTTGATGGTACACGGACAGGGATAGTGCTAATCTTATGAAACTTTGTTACTAGAGGTTATTTATGATTGTGAATCGAATGGCGTTTACAGTTTTTTGATATCACCTCTAGTTTTTTCTGTGCGCCCAAAATCAAGGGGGGTCTTAAAGATATTGACCGCACTGTATTGAAAAACTCCCTTTCAGCGGCATTCCCAGCAGCGACAGTATGCAATCTGAACGCTTTCAAGTACAGTGAACTAATTCAATATGATGAGATCAAGGAAGGTGTAAGTAGAGAACGTTCGAAAATGACAAGAGAAATCTATACTCAATCGTTTAGTTCGATTATTGGGAGCGAGTGATCAATGCCAGAATGATGAGCGATAGTATGAAACCGGGAGGAGAGATTCTGGAAGCCATTAGTGTCAGAAAGTGAGTTTCTCAGAAACAGTAAGGTTTCACTTTTGACATTTCCAGAAAGAGAGCAAAAGATAGAAGTGATTTGTTATTTCCAATAGATGACGAAGACTTAGAAGGGGCAGAATATCAGCCAGTGTTTGTTAGGTGTACGTGTATGAATATGGAACAGTGTGTGCCAAACAGAAACCCTTTGGAAGTAAGAATTTGCTTTTTTTTTATGAAAGAAGCAACAAAAATTACAGGTCAATGCTTCCATTTGTATGTGTTTCGAAGATGTAACACGGGGTCTGATATGGCCATGCTATCCAACATCAGTCTGGACTGTAAAGGTACTTTTCGAATCTTGATTTTTTTCTGAAATCTTCAATTTTTAGAAATGTTCCGGTTGCTCTATTTCCAACACTTGTCCAGATCCAGATGGCCCGAACGCTGCAAAAAATATTGCCAAGAATCACAATCCATTGCCTTGTCTATGCCAATCAATTTCTCATCACTGCATGGTTCATCCAAAGGATGAGATTAGATGGTGGAACCCGAACAACTATACAGTTTACTCTGTAACTGACCCACCTACAACAGAAATTACAGAGACTGAAGAGGCGTTTGGATTGAGTGTAATACTATTAATGAGTCATAGAATTATATATTTTTTTTACTTTAAGGACTTGAAAGATGCGGGAGCCATCACCACTCAAACAAAGGAAAACTTGATTTTCTTAGTTGCTGCACTTCCGAGAGAAACTAGACGAAATCTGTCTTACACTCTCAATGAATTTGTGCTCCGGTGCTCCTTTAACTCAAAGGATTGCAGCATGGAACGGTTACTAGCCAGACAAAATCAAAGTCAAAAAATAAAAACCTAATTTTAGAGACTTCAAACTTCATATCGACCCGGAATACGGTAACTGCTACACATTCAATTTCAATGACTCGGTGGAGTTGAAAAACAGCAGAGCTGGTCCTATGTATGGTAAGTTTGAGTTCAAAATGTTATTCTCAGAAGTCGCTTATTTATTTTTAAAGGTCTTCGTTTGCTGTTAAATGTCCATCAAAGTGATTACATGCCAACAACAGAAGCAGCTGGTGTCCGATTGGTTGTCCATGAGCAGGACCAGGAACCATTCCCGGATACCTTTGGATACAGTGCACCTACTGGATTCATTTCTTCTTTTGGACTAAAAACGGTTTTTTTTTAATTTTTTGATTCAGTTCTAACAAAAAAAAACTAATAACTTTAGAAAGAACTCCACCGACTAAGTGCTCCATGGGGCAATTGCAGTGACACATTCCGACCAGTTCCCTACATTTACAATGAACATTATTCTCCGGAAGTTCGTTTCTCTTCTACTAATCAACTAAACTTTTCAATGTTCAGGGGTGTCATCGAAATTGCTTCCAATTAAAAGTTCTCGAAATATGTGGATGTGGAGATCCAAGATTCCCTCTACCATCAGAAGAACATCGACATTGTAACGCAAAGTCTAGAACTGATCGTCAATGTCTCTCAAATCTAACAAGTGACTCTGGAGGATACCATCACCTTCATGAGCAATGCGAATGTCGACAACCTTGTCATGAAAAAGTGTTTGAAACTGCTTATTCAGCATCTGCATGGCCCAGTATTAACTTTAAAATTGGTATGTAAAGCCAAACGTAAACTTCACGAAGAGCATTTTTTTCAGGTACCGACTGTCCAGCAGTGTCAGATATATTTAATGACACCGAAGCGTGTACAGAATACTACCGACAGAACACTGCCTATATTGAAATCTACTACGAACAATTGAATTTCGAGTCTCTGAAAGAAACCGCTGGTTACACTGTTAGTTTTGCTTTTTGAAATTCAACGAAAGGTTTTCAAAGAAACGGTTAATCGGATTATAAAATGATTCCGTTTACCAAAAGTTCAAATTTCATAAAATTAATAACAAAAGATTAAGTCTTGACTTGATTTCTAATTTCAGCTTGTCAATCTGTTCTCAGATTTCGGAGGTAACATCGGATTGTGGATCGGTTTCTCAGTTATCACATTTGCAGAATTTGCGGAATTGTTCTGTGAGGTATGTAAAGTATTTTACAATTCAAAAGGGATCAGAGAACCTGCAAAAGAGAAGAAGTTTAAATGAATTTTTAAAAACCCATAACTTTACTGAACTGATTAACAGTACATACATTTCAATTGAGAAGAGAGGGGAAACCAAAGTTAATTAACAGTAAATCTCGTTTTAAGGTTGCAATAAAATGTTTTGACAATTTTCGGTGGTAGCCAAAATAGCATCAATGATCCGATACAAAAGTTTAAAAACCTCCAACAAAATTTGATTTCAGATATGCAAGCTGATGTATATCAAAGGAGTGATATACGTACAAAAGAAGATTCAGAAGAAAGAATACAAATCATCGTCTTTGATGCAAATTGATTTTCTTCAAAGATCTCCGAAGAAAGGACAACGGGAGCCTGGAGAAGATGAAATGTCCACAAACGAATCGACAAAAGAATTAATGAGTAAATCATTTAATGAACGCAACAACATGTATTCATTCACCATCTCGGGTGCTTCCTCAATTTATTTTAGTTTTTTTTTTTCATTTGTCTTTCTTGTTTGGCCTTTTCTAGTATTGTTTTTTCTTCCTTTTGATATTTTTTTTCTAATTTTTGCTTATTTGCTAAGATCTATTGTTTAGGTGTGACAATAAAAGAAATCAAAGTCCAACGAGCATGTTATGTATTTCAACATTCGAAGTTTTTTTTTTCAGAATTTCAGGTTTATTTATATCCAGAGAGTTGGACTTTTTTGTTTACTCAGAGTTTCAATCATTGCTTTAGAACTGACATTATTTTCAGTCAAGACCATTTCCTTTTTGTTTCAATTGTCTTTCGTCAAAACAATCCAAATTCCTTAGTTAGCCAAAAGAAATGGGCGGTGCCTGAATTCCAGTGTCCGTGCATGTTGAAAACTGAAACAAGGCTAGTGAAGGAATCGGCAAGGATTATTCAAATTTTATTCAAATTTTCAGTTGCCTATCCTCTTCCAGATGTATTTATACACTGTCAGTGGCAACGACAACTACCAGTTAAACCACTTATTCCCGAATTATTCTTTGTTGTTTTACTGTGTGTTTCATTTCAGTTGATGTATTACAAATTCTACTAACGGTTACTCGAGTATTGAAATCTTAAAATAATAAATGCTGGTAAAGCTAGAAGGTTCCTCTATGTCCAGTTGTTTCTGTCCATTGCTATTCATACATAGAAAATGAGCTTTCATTAACCAGATCTTCATATTTTTAACACACTCTTCTTTTTCTTCTCTTCCTTGTTTCTCTGTTTTTCGTTTTTTTTTCTCTACTCAGCACATCCATTACATACTTGACACATTCGTTTCAAAATATTTGTTCATGTTTATTTTCATCGCTTTCAGAGGCATCTCAAATTTGAAAGTCTTCATGGGGGACGACAGTTCACAGGATAACACGGGATCTCCACCAGCAACTGGAGCAGCAGCACCCGCTGTGGCCCAGGCAGCTGGAAATGCACAACAACAACAGCCAGCTAGTGCAATCAGAAACAAAGTGGATGTTCCGCCTGGGTAAATACATATGCTACCAGTTACCTTTATTTTTACTTGAGAAGAAAAACATTATTCGGATATAGCAAACAGAAAAATTAGAGATATTAATGATAGTGAGCGGGGTTCGGTAACACTACTTTGAAGGGTGGCGCCCAGTTACCCGGACTGATAAAAATGGATATATCTTCAGACATCAGAATCTTGGGAGCACGAAAATTGGTGGAAATGTAATTTTACGTTTGATTCAAAGCTACTGAAATTTTCAAGTCAATTCCTCAAGTATAGGTTTTGTAATGATTGTCCAAAGATGAAATCTTGCACGCCGTTTTGATTTCCATAAGATGAAGCAACTTTGACAAGCAATAACTCAGCTCAAAAATTATCAATCAATTCGAAATGTTGCCAGTTTACTGATGAATTATTTGAAGTTTTGCATTTCAAATTTGAGCTCTGTACAACGCTTTAAACAAATTGTATGCTGGTGCAAACTTGATTCCGGGTAATTATGCGCCATCCCTGCGAATAGAACGTTCGAGAACTTCGAAGATAGGTAAACGGGAAATAATACTTTCACACAAGTCTGGAAGTATCTTTGAATTCCTATGAAATCTCATAACATTTCAGTTCTGCCTACCATATTTTGAATAACTTTAATAGATTCCAGTACAAAAAGAAATTCTTGGAAATTAGTTTTGATTTCAGAAAGTTATTCAGGCGGTATGTAATATTTCATAAAACCCCTGAATCAAGAACAAACCTGAAATTCTTCCCAGCATCTTTTAAGTTTATCAGAACTTTGATAAAATGTAAGAAATCATCAATCACTTTCCACAGTACATATCTTTTTCTGTAATTAAGAAGAACAAAATGTATCCATTTTCCCATGACCACAAACAGGTTTATCTCTCCTTATTTTAACCTTTTTCTGATCAAAAAAAGATGAAAATGAAACAAAAAGAAGATACACTTATCAAGAAAGAACAGGGAAGTAATTGAGAAAAGAAGGAAATTTCTGACATCAGTTACAAAATCTTCAAAAATCAACAATTTTTTTAAGATTCGGAAGACGTGTGAGTTCAGTGGAAGTGGTGAAAAACGCGATGCCACCAACCAAAAAGGCATCTGTCGTGATATTCGAGACTCCTGATACTCCGAAAGCTGAGAGGTTAGTTCTGGAAGTTTCTGGAAGTGTCTGATAACTTCTGTTGTGTAACAGAATCAGATTTTCTAATTTTGAGAAAATTAGTTTATCAAACATTCCATTTTCTGGAACCATTGTTCACCTGGAACTCATGTTTTCATAATGAAAATCAGAATTCAAAAACCCAATGAATCAGAGCCGAAAAACCTAATTTCTCATTGATTCCTCTTTCGATTTATCATCGGTGCCCCCTCTCAATTGTCTGATGACGTCATCGTCATCTCATTGTATTTTCAGTTTCAAATTGAAAAAAAAGAAGAGGCTTGAGCACTGTATAGTATGATGAATAAGCATAAGAAGAAGAACATGTTTCTTTCGATGTCTGCGTTTCTCTCGCTCTTGTCTGGTTTACTATTTATTTATCTGAAAAGAAAAAATAGATTGATGTTTGTAAGAAGTTGAAGTTATTGTCATTTCAAATAGTCCGTCTCATGCTCAATGATTATTTCTACTAGAACGAGTCATAAAATTCATATATTCCTACTACAAGTTTTTCAGTTAGGATTATTGAGGTGAGCATCTTTCTAGGTCACTTAGACCCTCTAGGATAATTAGACACGCTGATGTTTTTCCGGGACGCTTTTCAAATAGTTGTTTCTCATCATTTACACAATACATATCCCGAAAAAATCGCCGTGATAAGACAATCATGCATAAGTCAATAATTGTTTGATCTCCTACAATACCCTAAAAAAGTAGAGTCAATGTTCGAGGATACTGTAAGTGCTCTAATTGAGGCCCACCCTATCGTGCACTTCGAGTTCCATTATCTCGGTTCCTATAAGAGATGTCAAAATTTTTTCAGCTGATAAAATATTGGCGATATTGTGATAAGTAATTTATTAGTTGACAACTTTTTGAGAGCTCTCACAGAAATCAAGATAATTGAGCTCAAAGATGACGGTTCGCGTGGGCTTCGAATAGAGAATTTTCGGTATACGGGGTACTTTCTTTTAACTACCACTAATAATATTTTTCAAACTGATCACCTTATTTTCGAAACTCCTCCCAGAGACATTTTGTTTAAATCACAAAAGGTGGAATGGACACGGAAACGAGCAGCGGGTGATCTGTGTTCGTTACTCAAAAATAAACAAAAAACCGAGAGAAAATGATAAAAATGATAGAGGTCAGATTGATATCAGATATCTCAAGAGACTCTGTCTTGTCCTTCTTGAGTACCTTGACTTGGTTTTTTGACCAGTGTCCAGTCATTTTTCTCCCTCAATTTCATCACAAAATTCATCTGCTTTATATTTTCAAAAAGGGCATTTGTACCTGTATTTGAACAACTGTATTTTTGCATGTTCTTAAAGTTAGTCAGGTGACACTTTCTTTCAAAATTTCAGATTCAAGTTTTCTGACTAACTGATCGCTAGAACACCCACTGATCAGAGGGTTATGCAAATTGAAATTTTCGGAAAATTTAGGATTATTGTAAAACACCATGGATTATGTTAAAAAAGGAAAATTCGGGAGAAAAAAAAGTGAAAAACAAACCATGATCTCGTAATTCATCTCAATTTCACATGCGTAAATTGAACAGACACATTAGGTAAATTTCGGAAATCGGATCGTCGAGAAATTGATAAAAGATGAAGAGATAGATTGATAGAAGAGAAAGGAAGAAGAAGATAAAGATTTGCCGAATATCTTTCTGTGTCTCTGTATTCATTGTTTCTTTTGGCGGGTAATAGAAGGCGTATCACCTTCTGAACGAACTGATCAGGATAATTATTTCTGCGTCTCATATGTTGATTATATATTCTCCAAGTTGGGAATGAGTACTTCCGTTCTAATTGAGTCTACATTATTACGAGATAAGATTCCTAACATAGCTTCCGAGCTTTCTCGCAATATTAATTTCGAGTTGAAATCTGATCTTTTGAAATTATTCGATTTTCCAATTACCGTAACTTTCAGTTTTCAGGTCCCTTAGACGAACTTTCTTATGATTTTGAAAAGTAAAGTTATGTAAATCTAGAAGTACACTTTTTCGATTTTTTCCAACTTCTGAATCCGATTTCCGCTCATTCTAAAAATAGTAATCTATTGATCCTTTTTAGCGAAACTGTTTTCTGTGATTGATAAGAAATCAAAAGAGTAATAAACTTTAGAAAACAATTGAGTAAGATGATACCCTTCACTTCTCAATTTCTCCAAAGTTCTCATCCATATTTGTGTCCATATGAGAAAACTAGTTATCACACATGATTATGAATGATAACAAGGACCTTTTCCCTATTTTAAAAAATTGCCATTGATGACGCGAATCATCAGTAATCGATAGAAGATCATAAGGATTGGAGAGAGTAGCATCAATGATCAAGTCAGAACACACATATGCTTTGATTTATCAAGAATCTAGTCATCAGTTTGAAATTCTAAACATCTTCAATTTCCAGAAGAGCGTCGTCGTGGTGGCGCAATCTAGTGATGGACGACGACAAAACCGCGGCAGCGCAGCAGCCGGAAATAGTTTTGACTCCGGATAATGCGTAAGTATGAATTATTGAATCAAATAAATCTTATTCTATTTTTTAGTGGCAATGGACTTGAAGATCGTCATCGCAACATCTCAACTGCAAGTGTAGGAGACAGTGAGTTTTGTTTAAATGCAAAAGAAAAATCGAACTTAGTTCATTGAAGCCCATAAGAATTTTGATACTCAACACCTTAACGTCATTAAATGTCCTAAAAAGAGCACAAAAGAGCACATAAAAACACAGGCGGAACACAACCAACTGATAGAGTCAGACGATGATTCACTTCGGTCGTATTTGCATGTCCTTAATTTTTTTCGTTCCGCTCTTTCTACTTTTAATTCAAACTATCCAAGTATTCATATATTCATCTAATTTTGTTTTGCTTCATTTCATCTGTTCCTCTTTGAGAACATCGCACTCTCATCCTCTTATTCAGCGACCTTGAGATGGAAAGGACAGCTGGCGCCATGGAAGAGAGCCGTCTGTACAAAGATTTGAATGTAACCGTGTCAAATATCACACTTTTCGCTTTCCAGAACAATTTTTCGCAACCAAAATTTGCTTTTGACCGAAATTTTGGGGAAAAGTTTATTTACGACGTTTTTTTGTTTTTTTTTTAATCAGGGTTACTGTTAACAAGCTGCATTTTATTTTACGCGCAAAATGTGTGAACACCGAGAAAAATTTGAACGTGTAAATTTCAATCAATTTCAATTTTCTACCTGCTTCTTCGATTTTCGACCTAGTTACTGTTTTTTATTCATGTATTTTAGTAAAATATGAACAATTGGGATATCCTTTCATTGAAAATACACCAAAATTTGATATTTTCTTTAAAATATCAATGTTTCCTTTGGAAATTAATTTATTTTTTGGTCTTCATAATTTTCTGTTTGAAAATTTCTTAAATTACCAAATTTTGAACATTTTCGTCTTTGAAAATTATTACATGGAGAGAATATATCATCTCTTGAACTTTTTCGTTGCGATTTTTCTGATTTTCACTGATAATGATAAAACATCAAAAAACGCACACAGAACACAAGAAGATAATAGTTTCTAGTCTATTCGTGTTCATTCACAATAGACCCAAGTGCATCATCGAGAATCAGCTCGAATACTTCATAGTTTTCTATAGGACGAGGGATAGATTTCCAAATCTCAGTGGAACGACTCAACCGTTCTGACAGTGTTTTTTTTCTGCACAAATCGTTTCTTTATTTGCCAATGTTTTTCAAATGGTTCTATCTCTGCTCTCTTCACCCAATTATTTGTCTTGTGAGTGATGATACTAGCAAAACGAAAGCAACAAAAAATTCTCAGTTTAGAAGTAGGAATGCCCCTCATCCACACACACTCTAAACTTTTGCTCTTCATAAATCACATGAGGGAGCAATATTTTCGCATCGACAGCGGAAACACTATCAATTTTGCAAATTTTTGATTTTATCATTGGTAATTGCCAACCAACCATACTAAATTCCTTGATGATAATAATAAGTCGCCGGTGCGTCTTTCGTCAGACGGCTATCTAGTATTGCTTACAAGAGTTATTTTCCGATCTCCATAATGTTCAAACAGAAAAAAAGCAAAAAGTACACTAATTTCGCTAGGAATTTGTTTTTCTTCTTCTATTCTGCTTTGATCCTATTTTGAAAGCTTTCCTTATAGTATTCTTCTTCATTTCAATTCGCAATAACCTTCAGCTTGTCACCAATTCAATCATCAACAACGTCAACAACTCAACAACAGAGAACTCAAATATAAACAATATTTATCTGCTTCTCACCCTAACCATAGTTAAATGACCATCACCAACGGTACCGGTCCACCCGCGCCGCCATCGTTCAAATTCGTGATCGGCGGCGATGATCATCATCAAGATGGGGGTTCTCACGAGCACTCGAGTCTTTTGGCCACTCACCACCAGGTGGGACCAACGGCTCCAAACACGTCCGGAATAGTCAGGCACCCAACGAAAGTCTCTTCTAGATTCTTGCTCTCTGTCGAGACTGATGCACCACCGCCAATGACTAGAGACGACAGTCATAGTAGGTTTCTTGCCCTCGGTTCTGCTAGTGCAAATTTTAACCAGCTATTTTTCTTCTCTTTTAGTGGAACGGCAAAAAAGGGCCCATGTCTAGTGGAGTAAACTAAAATTAAAATCTTGATGTCGGCTTTGATGAACAATGTAATTTCAGGAGAACTCTACGCATGGGGATCCAACAAAGATGCTGGTGGCAATCACAATCTCGCTCTTTTTGAAGAGCCATCCATGCCATTCTTCTCGAGTTATTTGAAGGCCCATATCACCCCAGGACCTCTTGAACGAGCTCAAAGCTCATCTCACGGAGGCCATGGAGGAAAAGCTGATCTTGGTGTACTTCTAGGAGTTTATCTGCCGACCATACAGCATATTCTCGGAGTTACCATGTTCATTCGTCTCTTCTGGCTTGTCGGAATCGCTGGTCTCGGACAGACATTCCTTCTTCTCTTCCTTTGCTGCTTCTGTGTATGTTTTTAATGGTTTCGGTTGAGCGAAATGTTTTTCCTAACTTTCAGACCTTCCTAACATGTATCTCGATCTCGGCTGTTGCAACAAATGGTGTCGTGGAATCTGGTGGTGCTTACTTTATGATTTCTCGTAATTTGGGTCCCGAGTTTGGATCAGCTGTCGGAATCCTGTTCTACCTTGCTAACACTGTTGCTACTTCCATGTACTTGGTCGGAGGAGTTGAAATTTTGTTGCTGTACATCTTCCCAGGACTCACTTTCGGCGGATCCGACGGACAACACGATACTTGTTAGTTTCCATTACCTACAAACTGGCCTCATTGCTAAAATTTCAGCTCTTTTCGGTACTATGACCAACTCTCTCCGATTCTACTCCACGATACTGCTCTTGATCGAATTCGCAATTGTTGCCATGGGTGTCAAGTTTGTGCAAATGCTCGCACCTGTATGATATTTCCCTTTTTTATGCTTTCTTTAAATTTTTTGTATTCAGGTTTCGCTCATTTGTGTGATCTTGTCGATTCTAGCTTGTTATGCTGGTGGAGCTACGAAAACCATGTACCCAGATTCAGGACAATAGTGAGGATTATTAATACAAGTAATTGAAAATAAAACAATTTTTCCAGTGTTTGCATGTTCAATGAACGCCTCCTCCAATCGAGCGCATTACACAATGAAACAGTGGCCCTCGACGATATTTGTGGTTACTGCAACAATAAGTGAGTTTATTTGAAATCCTCGCCGAAAAATATCCGTGTTTCAGCAACACTTATCTCTTGGATAAAGTTTGCGGACCAGAAGGATGCAATGATACAATGCTCGCACGAGGCGGATTCAGTTGCATCAATGGTTTCCCAGGGTTCCAGGGCGGAAAAACACTTCTCAACAACCTTGGACCTAACTATCTTGCCAAGAACCAAGCCGCAGTTGGAATCCCAGCAGACCTGAAGGTTGATGTTTATCAAGACGTTCGCACCACATTCTTCGTCCTATTGGCTATCTATTTCCCAGCAGTAACAGGAATTTTCACCGGAGCAAACATGAGTGGAGATTTGAAAAATCCGCAAGCTTCGATTCCTGCTGGAACCATCGCTGCTAACCTGACAACATCATTCATCTACTTCTCATTGGCTTTCATTTTTGGCGGAGCCATCGACGGTGCAGTCTTGAGAGACAAGTAAGGGCTTCTTTTTCTCTTATATTTCACACATTCCACATAAATATCAAATAATTTTAGGAATGGACAATCTGTAGGCGGGCAAATGGTTGTCGCCCTTCTTTCCTGGCCATCTCCATGGGTTCTTCTCATTGGATCGTTTTTATCGACTTTCGGTGCTGCTCTTCAATGTCTCTGCTCTGCTCCACGTCTTCTTCAAGCTATAGCTAAAGACGAAGTCATCCCGATTCTGTCACCATTCAAGAAGGTCACTGCCAACAATGAACCATTCCTTGGATTAATATTGACCACTGTTATTGCTGAAATCGCTATTCTCATGGGAAGCATGGACACAATCGCTGCTGTTGTGGATTTCTTCTTCTTGATGTGCTATGCTTTCGTCAATATCATCTGCACTCTCCATTCACTTCTTGGAGCACCAAACTGGAGACCAAGATTCAAGTACTACCATTGGTATGTTTATTACCACTCTAATTTCTCATCGGATTGCATACTTTTACAGGTTCCTTTCGCTTCTTGGAGCTGTTCTCTGCTTCTTCATCATGTTCTCCACCCATTGGGATTACGCCATAGTCGCTTGTCTTCTTTGCCTTGTCATCTACAAATACGTCGAATGGAAAGGAGCTAAAAAGGAGTGGGGAGATGGAATTCGTGGACTTGCACTGACTACCGCACAGTACTCTTTGATGAAGATTGAAGATAAGGAGCCACATCCGAAGAACTGGAGACCACAGCTTCTGCTTCTTCTCTCCATGCAATGGTCAAAGGAAATCATCGATGTTCGTTATTTGAACCTTCTCAACTTGGCATCTCAACTCAAGGCTGGAAAGGGTTTGACTGTTGTTACGGCTTTCTTGAAGGTTTGTCAAAGTTACTCATAAAAAACTAATTGATAGTCACTCTAGGGAGATCCAACCAGTCCTGATGACAAGAAGAAGGGAGAGCAAGTGAAGGCACGCATGGACTTCGACATGAACCAAGTTCGTCTTCGTGGTTTCGCCAAGACTCTCGTTCACTCGGAAGATCAAGTAAGAGGATCGATGTCCACTCTTGTTCAATCTGTCGGCCTCGGAGGACTCAAACCGAACACAATGCTCATTTCGTGGCCAGTACATGAACGTGAGGAGGACATGACCGAATACAACACATTCATAGAGAAAGTACACGCCGCTTCGATCAATGACATGGCTATTGTAGTCGCCAAGGGTATAATTGACTTCCCATCGGCTGTCTTCAGAATGAGTGGAATGATCGATGTTTACTGGATTGTCCATGATGGAGGTCTCTGCTTACTCATGGGGTATCTTCTCAAACAACACAAAGTCTGGCGCGGATGCAAGCTTCGTGTTATTGGTATTGCCCAAGAGTCGGATAACAACGTGAAGATGCAAGAAGACCTACAAAAGTACGTATACCAACTTCGTATCGACGCCAAAATCATGATTGTCGAGTTGGCAGATCCAGAAATCTCGAAGAATGCCTTCGAACGAACATTGCTTATGGAAGAACGAACTATGATGATGAGAGATCTGCAAAAGGTGTCTGGTGGAGGTACAAATATTAAAAAATCCGCAAATTTTTTCTGATTTCTACTGTTCTTACAGGAATGACACTATCGCTGCCACCAAATGCTCCACGAGCAGTATCACCGCTTGTCACATCCGAGAAGCGCGAGAATTCGAAGGATTCGGATGAGGGAACGACGACAGGAAGCGAAGAGACGCTGGACAAGAAGTCGCCGACAACGGACAACGAGCAGGCAAACCAAGAAACGAAAACGAAGAAGGAAAGGATGAAGGCACTTGACAGGTCGAAAGTATCCAAGATGCATACAGCTGTTCGACTAAACGAACTGCTGCTACAACATTCAGCCAACTCTCAACTGATTCTCCTCAACTTACCTAAGCCTCCAGTACACAAAGACCGTTAGTTTTTTTTCTTAAAAAACAGTTTCATAAACATTATTTTCAGAACAAGCGCTGGATGACTATGTTCACTACTTGGAAGTCATGACTGACAAGTTGAACCGAGTAATTTTTGTGCGAGGAACAGGAAAAGAAGTTATCACCGAAAGCTCATAACAGTCCAGGTGCTGTGCTTCATTTTGTCATGAAACTATATATTATGTTTCCGTCCTGTTATTTAGTAATCAATGCTGAATGTTTTGCAATCTCTTGCCCCCTCTCCCTCCTTTCCCAAGTAAATCACTCCTCTCTTCTCACATTCTCCTTCAAACCTGTAGAACAATTCCTTATATTGTTTCCTTCTGAGACGTTGTTGTCAAGCTCTCATTCATGCTTGACCTCCTGTAGTCTTCTGATTTATCGCACATCTTCATACGTATACAGCATAATTCACTTCGCGCTCATCTAATCATTCTTGTTTCTCTGAATTTCGGTTTCATACAAAGACACTTCTGCTCGTCTTACTCTCTCCCCAAACACACTCTTGTAACATTGCTATTGCCTCTATGGTCTTTGTGGTTACGTTAAGTCGCTGTGTTAGTTGCGGCGTCTTCCGTACTTTCGTCGGAATATGATGAACGGCATTTTATATAAAAAATATATACATATACATATTTCTAGGTCTTCCATGGTTTTTTTTTCTTTTCTTGAATTATTAAGGTATAACCCACTTCCTCTTTTCTGTTTCTTCCAACTTTGTAGACTTTTCCCCCACTAAACATTGCCGATGTTAGTACCGTAACCTTACGTAAACCATTATTCTCTCTTCTCTGTCCCCGCTCCCTTCTCCCCTTCTTTTTTATCTTTCACAGTTTTTTGTGCTAACGGAGACTGACTGGCTTTTTTATCATCATCATTCACCCCCTCCAATAGCATATTTATATTCGAGCTATTTTTCCAGAAGACTTCTTTGTTTTGTTTCCATTTATATATGTAGCATGCTATAAATGGTTAGATTTGTTCTCTCGATAGTTCTTTTGTTCAGGTTTATTAAATATTACAGAGTTGATCACAAAATATCACAAAAAGGCTTGGAACTTTCATAACATGAGGAACAGATGATGATCGTTTCGGTTTATTGAGATTTTTCGCTCAGCCGTGAGCTTCGCAAAGTCGAAACCGTCTAGTAGTTTTTGACCGAGATATCTGAAAAGGTTCGATTAACTTTGAACTTGAGCAATGCATTCCAACCTCATCAATTCAATCCACGATTCAGCACATTTTGGTGTTGCTTCAGTTTCGCAAAGAAAATCGAAAACCGTGCAGACGATTTGAGCACAGAAGATGCGGACGTTTTCTTCTGTCATATGTGGAGTCTAAAGTATACAGTACTATAGCTTAAATGGCTTTTCGCGTATCAAAACTCACAATATCCGGTCTGTAGTGTCTCTCTCCATACTTGAATACAGTCGGTGCAACCTGAGCTTCCAATTCATCCACATTTTTCACCGAGATATGAAGAATATTGGTGAAAAGACGGGCGTGACGGCGAACTGGATGGTTCTCGGGCAATTTGAAGATGTCGTCAGACTCCGAAAGACTGAATAGCGGACACAGTATTGGGATCCTCTGTAGGACACGTCTAAGAACGAAGAGACCGAAGCAAGCAGTTGGGAATGTGGAAGAAGCACGGGACTCGACGATTCTCCACGAGTCGCCGATGATTTCGCAACACTGAAAAATGAAAAGTGAACTTCAGATAATGACAGATAAGCTGGCTTGATAATGGATTACCTCCTTATCAATCAGATTCTCCTCGCTGGGAATCGACCGAAAGGAATATGTCCTCATTTGTTTCAATGGAGAATGCGACTTTGTTCGAATCATCGAACTCATTTTTGCCGTCATCGAATCATCGAGACTTCTAGCCATGCCCTCCTGGTTCGTAGAAGACGTCAAAAAGATTTTTCGGCGCTCCGAAGCGCTGTTCTTCTGGCTTTTGTTTTGGTAAACGATTGGAGACGTGGAACGGAGAGATGAGAAGTCCTAAGAAACAAGAAATCAGGATTATCGAATCGGAGATACAACTTACAGTGCTTGCACTTTTAGCTCTCAATTGTCCATGCTCGAACTCATCGAAACTTTCTTTTCCATTGATTTGAATAGTTGGTGGAGTAGTACAAGACTGCGAGTTTCCAGAAGATCCAGGAGCCAAATGGGAATTCTTAAACAGACGTTTTAGCATTGCTCACAATAATAAGAGTGAAAAGAGGTGTGGTTTCTCTCATACCTTGACGTTCTGGCTCTGACTCGGATCCGACAATCTTCTTTGACGTCCCAGCTTTCCCTTGAAAGATTTTGACGGTGTTGATGCGGCACCCGGATGTGTATTTCCCATTTTAATCTGAACGTGTTTTTGCTGAAAAAAAGAAAGGGGAACATGAAAGAAAAAGATTTGAAGAAATTGAAAATGCATGAGCGAGAAAAATGAATCATAAGAGGGCCTTCGGGTATGAGTAATAATAAAATGGGATAAGAGTTTTCTGAAAAAACGAGAAACAGGTTTTCTGAAAAATAAAAATGAGATAAAAGGATTCATTTGTCTAGAAGTTCCTATGAAGTACTCAGAGGACTGGATTCAGTTCAAGGCTTCTTGACAAAAACATAACCGCTCTATTAGGAGGGAGGCCATTCTATACTTGCATTTTGAGCTCAATTATCTCAATTTCTATAAGAGATAATAAAAATTTGTCACCTGACAAAATGTTTTTTAATGAAATCAGCTACACTTTTGCTCTTTTGCAGTTGACAAATTTTTGATATCACTTACTGGAGCTATGATAATTGAGCTCAAAGTGCAAGTGTCAGGCTCCGACGTCGTACTTTAAAGTTTTCGAAAATTCAAAAAACTGAGGAATTCTAGAATTTTGGAAAAACTGAATTTGTCAAGTTTCAAGAATTTCAAGAGTTTCGGTGAATTCAGTCGAGTAAATTATTTCTAAATTTTTTTTAAATCTAAAAATTCCAAAATATCGAAAGTTTAGATTACAAGCTCTTTTCCGGTTTTCAGTGGACGGCTTGGGGTGAGAATACGGTATTAGAAGGGAATGAGCAAAACAAAAAAAAACAAGATCACGATGGTTCGAAATCTAATGGAAAGCAAGAAATTCGGGATTCATCCAAGTCATCTATTAGATAAAAAATACGAGAAGACATATGAAGAGCCATGTATATTCTCTGTTTCCAAGCAATTGAACATAATGAATCATGGAAAGAGGGGACGCTCTATTTATTTCCAAATAAGTGGAGCATCTAGTTTGATGTCTTCTCCAAAAAATCACGGAGTCAAAAGAAGAGAGACAGGAGAATGTGCCAATTAGTTTATGTTTTCTGTTGTCTCGTGTCAGCTGTACGAATGAGTCCCCTGGGGGTTCTCAGTACCTGATGACGTTGAAACAGAAAAGAAAGTGGATGTTGAAATATTGGAAGTTTTTTTCAGAAATATATACCTGCAGATTCGTGTGGGGGCGAGAAAAAAAGAACATTTAAATATGGAAATTCGATGGGGAAAAAAGAGATGCCCCCACCTGGTTGGCTTTATTGTTTCTGTTTATAAATCGTTCATACATTTTCTCTTGATAAAATGATTTTACTCTTCCTTCTTACTCTCGTTTTGATGATTCTCATCATTTGGGTGGATCTTACTGAACAGTGAGTTCTAGAATCAAAGAAGACAGAAACGTTCTGCTTTCTGAAAATCTTTATGACTTCCTGAAGGGTTTCTTATCTCTAACAAAGGTTCAAAACAAAGACAATTTTCGATTCACACATAATAATAATCTTTTCCAGAGATGCTCCATTCGCACGCGCCCCGAAACCAAAAGGACTCATGATGGTAACAAAAAAGAGAATAACAGATTTTCGAAAAATGATTCATCTATTATTTTCAGGGACTTGGAATTCATATCTAACCTGGATTACATCTAACGATAAAAGAGTTCATAGTTTGATCTATGAACATTGCGACGATTTCGATCTTATTTTATTTTTTTGTTTCAGAGAAATAAAATGTGTTAAATTTAAGATCGAATTTGGAATTTCGTAAATAAAGGAACATATAATTCCTGTGTGTGAGGATAAGAATTCTCTAGAAAACAAATATAGTAAACAAGTAAAATGTTACTTTTTGAATACAGATTTTAGTCAGTAAGATTATCAATTTAAGCATACCAATCCGGACAAGATTACTTCGAATTTCAAAAAATGCGGAATGTTACATATATTCAGATTATCATATTTGTAAGGTAACTATCAAACTAATTTTGCACTTTGTCTTCTAAACTAGGTTCACATTGAATTTTCGAGTTTTCGGAAAATTCAAAAATCTAAAGAATCATTCAGGTTCCGTTTCGATTTTCAGATCAAATTCTGGATTTCCACAAGTTTTTGAATTTTCGAATTTCCGAATTTCCAAGTTTAACATTTTTTAGTTTTTAAACTTTGTATTTCGAATGCTCACAGATTCTACGTGCTATAATAAGATATAGTTTCTGGATCACTAGCTTTTTGCAAAACTGATATCTGAAAATTCGATTAAATTTGAAGAAAAATGGTACATCTGTGTGTGGGGGTATTATACTTCTGGTTGGTTGAGCAAAAATACCCGAGACAAAGAAAAACGGAAAAATGGAGAAGAAGAAGAAGGAGATGAAGAAAAAAAAAGAAGGAGGAGACGAAGAATTTGGTTTAATTAAGCAAATGGTAACATTTCACCACGAATTCTTTCATTCAACAGATCCCCTTTTCTTGTCTCGCGACGTTTTCTTTTTTGAGCTTGAATTTTTGAGCATTATTTTATTTTAGGTGGATTAGATCCAAAAGTTAATATTTTTAAAGAAAGAAAGATAATAAAAAACAAAGGATTACTGATGGCTTCTTCTTTTTCTTTTCAATTCTTCATTTCGAAAAGAAGCCAAAAATGAGGAAGAATAGGAGAAAGAAGATGAGATGGATAAGGATAGAAGTTTTCTTTTTTTTCTCGATCGGTGAATGGCCCCAGGGCTATAAATTGGATTCAGAAGAGTATTGAAAGGGGCGGGGATGGAGAAGAGGAGGGGACAATAAAATCTTGGTTTGAGAGAGGAATAGAAGAAATATATGGAAATGTAGTTTCAGATGGATGAAATTGGAGTTTCTAGAAAAATTTTTATTCAAGGGATTTTTGTGAATTGAAGTCAGAATAAAAGAAATCGGTTTTTTATAGTCGTCTGGTTGAGAAGACCTTTAGAATTTCAGATATCAGAGGTATGCCAGAATTGTAAGACTTCAATTTAAAAATTGAAAAGTTGATGTCAAGAAAGTACAAAAAGCTGGAAGAATCAAGAATTATCATTCTAGCAACAGAAATTCAAACAATTATTTACAAGCGTTTTTTTCGCTTTTTTTTTCAAAAGAAAATATTATAGTGATGAGACCAACAAATTTTCAGTTGTTCTGTCTTTTTATAGGAAAAATGGTTCGGACCTGAAAATTTGAGATTTGTGGGTGATTTTCTGAAAATTCCCAAAAATTAAAAAAAAATAGATTTCGGATTTTTGGAATGTTTTTTAAATGGGTTCCAATAAAAGTTCAATTTTTCGAAATTTCAAAAATTCGAACTGAAAATTTCCAAAAAAAAAAGAATTTTCACCAAAATCAAAAGTGGTCCTGAAATTTTAAGATTTTTCTTTAAACTTCCATGAATTTTCAAAAAGTTGGTTTTGAAATTTTGGAAAATCGTTGTTTAGAACGGTCCAGAAAGTCCAAGAATTAGAATTTATATTTTTTCCACATTTCAAACTTTCAACCAATCTACAAAAAATGATACGGACCAAGATTTAACGTTTTTTGGGAATTTTGAAGTTCGAAACAATTCGAAAACATTTTTGTTGGATTTTGAAAGAACACCCAAAAGTGTCCCAGTTTTCGAAAATTCTTGTACCTTGTACCTTAGAATCCACACAAGATCCGGTCACGCCTTCTCTTATTTTAGTAGGTTTTGAATTACAAGACCTTGTGGTCAAGGGACTGGAAAAAGTACCAAGCAAAGAATCTGCACATATTGTGAAAACTACTAAAACTGGAAATTTTGAAAGCACCTGATTTTTGGGAAATCAAAAACCTGTGAGGAAATACATAATACATATTTATTTTGACATTCAAAGACTTTCTTATCCCATTCATCCGGATATACAAGTCGAAAGGAAATGTCTTTGGTGTACGCTTCCTTTCTGTGTGCAAAAGAAGAAAAAAGTGCGAGTGGGTAGAAGAGAAATCTCAACTACGTCAACTCTTCTTTTCGACTTTTGAAAAACACTTGAAACATGCAGCAGCCTACTCATTTTTCAGGAATTTTTTAGGCCGCAAGAAGGACTACGTAGTGACGTGGCAGCAGTAAAATAGAAGATCCAAAACCAATTCCCAGAAGAGAAAAAGAAGAAGTTACTTCCCAAATTCATGAAGATCTTCTTCTTTTGTGTTCTTGACTTCAGAATACATGATTCAAAAAGTCATTGTTGAGCACAAGTAATGTGATACTGGAAATAGAGAAACAGAATTTTGGAAGACGACAAAAGGAGAAGAAAAATACACGGCGTATATTGGTAACAGAAGACGTAATTAGGTCATCTGGGATTATATGTGTGCACGATGAAAAAGTAGAAGTAATTCTCGTTTTTTTCTTGGTACCTAGAAGACGGCGGATCATGTCTCATTAGAATTGAATTCGTTTTATGAAATGAGAAGAATTTCCTGGGAACTTGCTATTAGTATAAATAATTTTTAATGAAAGGAAGAAGAATTCGAAAAAATTCGAAAAAATTCGAAAAAAAATGAATCTCGAGAAACAGATTTGGTTTTAAACTGAACTTTTAGAGAAAGTCAGAAGAGAGCCGATTTATAAAACTTTTAGATTTTCACATGATGAATTTTCTCAAATTTCTAGGCAAATCTATTATTCTGGAACAAAAAAAATTGGAACTGAAGAAGAGAGAAGCTTGTGGGCGCGGCCAAAATTTCCGTAGCGGAAGCTACCGTAACCTAAAATGTTAAGACCTTTTATCTATTGCCTTTCAAAAATTTGAAAAACATCTAACATGTCGGAAAATAAAGTGTTTTTTTTTAAATTTAAAAATAGGGAAACAAACGAAAGTTGAGGAACAATATTAAAGAAAAAATAAATACCGTAACATCTGTAATATAAGCGCCTCCACATTTCCAAGTTTGAGCACAATTATCTCTGCTCCAATAAGAGATATCAAAAATGTGTAAGCTGATAAAATGTTTATGACATTATGATAAATAACTCATTTGTTGACAACTTTTCTATATCTTGGACAGAAACCGAGATAAGCTGGCTCAAAGTTGAATGTTAGAGGGCATTTCTATTACAGGTTTTTCCGTAACTGCTATTTATGGTAGTGGCAACCAGATTTCCTCTTCCACACCTCCAATTTTTTCGTACCAGAATAATACAAGCGGAAGCAAAAAAAAATACTTTGACTACTGAAACAACTTGTAAATATGTGTACTGTCTATTCAGTAAAACGTGGTCGCGCCGCAGGTTGCAAAGTGACACGCCCCTTTATGAAACGCGTTCATTTTTTTTCTTCTCTCACACGTTTCACAAAGGGGCGTGTCACTTTGCAACCTGCGGCGCGCACACGTTTTATTGAATAGACAGTAATCTCCTTCGCTGAAAATGCGTGCAGCTCTTCCTCCTTTTTCACACACGCAACACTTGACAACTCAAGAAAAAATGGAAGTAGTGCTCATTGAGTTGTGACACAAAAATTGGAAATGGGCCAGTGAAGACAAGAAATATATTTGGAATAACAAGATTCGAGTAAAATGATATTTTTTAAAAACCTTCTTTTTTGAAATGATTGGGACGAGTGGTCTGGGATCCGGACGACATGTGTTTTGATTTTTTTAATCGATGGATTACTCATCCGAAATGGGAAATCAATCATATTTCGAAGAGATCGAACACTAAAATGTTGCGATTCGCAGGGATCAGAAATTATTTTAAAAAAGTTGAGCTGAACTTTAAGAACCGAAGAAAAATAGAAAAACCTAGAAGAGTATATTTTTAGAATTTAGAAAAAAACAAATTCGTCTTTCCGCCAAAGTGCTTTGAACCACGATGAAATTACATAAAATACATATTTGGAGACTTTATGTATTTACCTCCATGCCAACTTTGCATCTTATAAATTCACGATACTCGTCCCTTCCACATCCTCCTTGAGATCAGAAGACGTCAGGAGAAGATAAATGTAGCGTACTTTACTATTCAAATGAGACACGGAAATAGAATTGCACCTCCAAATAGAAGAGTTTTCCTGACTGGAAAGAACAGAACCAATTGTATTCTTTTTCAGGAAAAGAAGCACGGGGAGAATGAGACCCCCCCCCCCCCCCCCCCCAATTGATTCGATTAGTCAGGAATCATCAGGAGAAGTCACAGAGAGAAAGGGAGGATTGTTTTTGAGCTTCAATTAAGAAAAAAAGATGACTAATATATCCGTTTGCACACAGTGAGGGTGGTTGATAATTTGATTCTGAAATTAGCTTTCTTTTTCTACAATGTTCGAGGGACAGAGCAATTAATCAATTTATTATTATCACTTTTTGAAACATTCGACATGCAAAACTTTAGAATCCACATATACATTAAGAGTTCTATCAGAACCTATTGGAATATTGGCTTTGTTTTCTGTCCATAACGATAAATCACGAACGTTCTGGACGAGTTGATGTATTGGGAAACGGCCTGGGGGAGCGACGTAATAGTAGACGAATCGAGATCCACGTGGCACTGACTGCGTTGTCCATCTCTGGAAAACAATGTGATTGGAATTCAGAAATGTCTTTAGAACGCTACCTGGATAAGTGTATTAATTCCATTGGCAGTGATTTCAGCTTGCTCCAGTTCAATGTCTAATGCTTTCAGTGACAATAGAACATCGTCATTAATAGAACTTTTTTGAAGAACATGGAGAGTCTCCAAGGAAGAAAGACCATTTTCGAATCCGACAAACGAAAAGTCTTCGTCAGATTTGTAAACAGTAATATTGCGAAGATTGTTGGGTTTCAAGTGTCGCAGCCATCCATGAATGGATCCAGCGTTTTGAGGCTTTCCCGATTTCAAAACTCGAAACTTTTTGGTTTTAATAATTTCTGAGTTTTCCAAAAAGTTTGGTGTGTAACGATAGTTGGTTTCGAAGTTATCGCACGATACGTTGGTTGGGAGAATCAGCTTTCGGAGATATTTTCTGGCGAGGTCACGGATTCCTTCATTTTCGACAGTTTCTGTTCTGTGTCTACGACGAGCATTCTGAAGATAAACATCCATTAATGTGTCTCTGGATTTATATCCTGGCGAATTGAAGTTCATCTCGAATTCATCAGTACGGAGAACTATCGAAACGCCCTGATTAGCTTCATCGAACTCGTCGAAATACTCCATGAAATGGACATTTCCAAGAGCAAGAGGTGCTACCGTAGCTGCGACATTCAAAGCTTTTGAGCATAGTTTCACCGGAAGTCTGTCAAGTTAACAATCTTTAAAAAACACCATAAAAATTGAACGAACCTTTCTCGATGTGATAAATAACTGAAGATTTCATGCAAAATCTCGGGAGCGAGCTGATCGAGATGCATTTGAAATTTCTGTCCAATTTTCTTTGATAAAGTCTATAAGTTCAATGTCTTGATGTTGAATTTTGCCTTTGAATAAACGAGAAGCTTTTTTGGAGCTGGTGACAATCCTATTAAAGCTTGAAAAAAAGTACACATTCAAATAACGCAATAAATACATTCATTTGACCCATTTTGAGGGATAAAACTGAAAACTACACGACGGAAAAATGGAGATGGGAAAGCGACAGAAGAAAGTAAAGCAAAAGAAGTGTATTATGACAACATGGAATTGCAAATTTGTATTTAAAATCAAAGTGAATAAAAATTATTATTATTAGGCGTTCTCATGGCATCGGAGTCGAAAATTCAAGGGTTTAACGGAAGACAAGTCTCGATGGCGTCTGAAAAAAAATACCATAAAAAATTCTGCGGTTGAAAATTTCTGATATGAATTCACAAATAAATTATACAACACAACATTTCTGAAACTTACACTTATTTATTTATTAGATTTCCACATTGATCTGTACATCAAAATTCTGATTAAACCCCCGTACTATAAAAACAGTCTTACCGTAGCTTCCGAATCATCGAAGAACTGACGCTCCCAATCAAGACGATCGGCAGTTGGGTGGTCGAGTGGTGAGTTGAGGGGTTGACGTTGATTGTTCAATGAACGGTTGTTTCCGCCACGTCCCATCTGGAGATAGGTGGCGGATCCCCCGTTTCCACCACTTGACGCTGATGAAGCGCTTTGGCGTGACGCGGATATTCTCCATCTGGCTGATCCGATCAGTTCAGCTCTCCTAAAACAAAATATATTAACACTCGCTCAAATTCTTCACTATTAACTTTTTTCTGTGACTTATCACAATTTTTGCGATGAGAGCACATGCAACTCCAAACACTACAAGTGAAATGAATGCAATTGATGTGGCAGTGCTGTGATCAGATGCAGTTACGAACGCTGAAAATTTAAAGATGAATTGAGAGGAAAGAAGTGAAACAACATACTTGTAAGCGATAACTCCTCTGATGTCGTTGTAGTCGTCTCTGCGATAGTACTGGTAGAAACCGTGCTTGTGGACAACGCCAAATCAGATGAGTTATCCGAAGAGGTACCGTTTAGAACTTCGGTGAGGTTTTGCATCTGGAATTGCAAGATTTACAAGAAGGTTTCAAGATTACGATAAAAGTTGATAGTCTGGAATTGAATAAAGAAAGATAGTTCGAAGATAACAACTTCTGTTAACCGATTCCAAAATCAATAGGGTAAGCAAACAAACTATTTCATCGAATATCATAAAAATAAGAATATATAATTAGATACATACATGGTACAGAACATCGACGAAGGTGGAAAAGCGGAGCGCAGAAGAAGGTATTATGTTGTAAAGCACGTCTAAAGTCCGGCCGAAACTTGGAGAAAAGTTTTAAGAACAATGTAATAAAATGGGATTTTTGGTTTTCGAAAAAAAGAAATCAGGTGAGAGTTAAAGACCAGCAGGCGGAAATTGAAGCAAAGCGAATTGAAAAATTATCTCCTATTTACTTCATCTCCTGGCCGATTCGGTAGGTCTGAGCCTTATTCCAATCCATCTTGGCACGAGTAACTGGCAACTGACGGCGGAGTGCCTTGAAAGTTGTGTCCGACATGTTGGCGTAGTTCTCCTGAACAGCGTTTTGATATTTCGTCTCTTCTTCTGTGATAGCGTGGATAATGTCCTTGGCAGTCTTCTCAAAGTCAGCCTGGGAAGAAAGTGATAGGTTTCAACAGAATAATGGACAAAACTTACCGAAACTTGGACCTTCAGCACTGGTTCTTTCTCCGAAAACAGTTGCACATTTCCATCCTCGTAATAGTGAACTTGCGACAAAACCTTTCCCTTCATTTCTTGTGATCCCGATTTTCCATCACCAACCGGCACATTCCACTCCGAACGCCATCTTCCATTACAGAAATTCTTTGGCTGGAACTGGTGGGATTCGATACATATAGTGAATGTACCATTGCGAGCAAACACAACTCCCGTTCCACTCTTAGCGTAATGTTCGTCAATGTAAGTGTCGAGTTGAGTCTGGAGAGCCTGGCGCCATTGTTCAGTGATTCCCGACTCGGCTGGATGTGGTTGAAGGTCACTAGCCTCTTTGCGGACATGATCGTACTTGAAGCTTTTCTTCGAAACTTCGTCGTAGAAACGTCCGTTTCCCAAGTCATTGTATGGAGTGATCAAAGTCTGAAATTGGAAGAATTCAAACTGGGATAAAACGATGAAGTAAAAAAGATTTTCCTATGAACATTTTAACAGTCTAAAAATTCAGCTAACTACACACCTGCTTGGCGACTCCATCCAATTTGACTGGCACAAACTGTCCTACGTTGTACTGTGCGATGGCTGGCACGCATTTGTCTTTCAACAATTCATCATTCTTTAAAAGCATTCTCACCGAGTTGAACACCTGTAATTAGCAAATTGAACGATGTTGCGAAATAATTAACACTGAATGACAGCTTCAACTTTTCGGTTTCATTCTTCATCCAAATACTTTGAGAAACTGAATTTACCTCATTGAACTCGCCGGGTGGTGCATGACTGATGAAATCCGAAGCGATACGAACTCTCTCGGCATCAGTAATCTCCGACATCCTGCAAAATGATATTTGAACGTTCCGCGTGAATCGAGGTTGAGTGAGACAAACGATATATCTTTTAAGCATCGGTAAAGACCAGAAACAAATAAGAAACATGGTGATTCAGAGCTATCGGAACGAAAGAGAGCGAGACACAAGCAGCACAACGAGCGCATCGATTTTAACCGCGGGGCGCACTTTCTGTTGTCTTTTCAAAGAATTCCGAGGCGTTGCAATGAAATCTAACACTGGCAAAGAATCATTGCAGTTTTTATCCCATGAAAAATATGAAAAACAAAACAGATGAGTCAAGCATTAGAGTCGGTTGGAAAATAACAAAACGATTTTTAAATATATTGAATTTTAGCTGGGTCAGAAAGTATGATTTGAAAGTTTTATAAGGGAAAGGAACGAGAAGATGGTCGAAAAAATCGAAAAAAAAACCCTTCAATAATAAATTCTCGACGATGGTCATAGGTACTGTCAATCGCTGCGAGATAAAGTTATTTTTAACGGAACGCTCCTTTATACTACAGTATGCTTCTTAGGGGAAAATGAAAAAAACAGACGCCTTCAAAACTTAAAGTTAAGAGAAGAAGCAGAATTGATTGAAAATATTGCAGCAGGGGAACAAAAATTAATTGAAAAAAGACCACGACCACAGAATAGCTCACAGCTTCAAAAAAAACCGTAGCTTTACAAAGCTTCCTGCTTCTTCACACAGCCGTTACAAATTTAATCATAATTTCCGGAGTGTACAGAGTTTAAACTCTTCAAGATGACTCACAAAGTATCCCTATGATGTTTAAATTACTATCCTTCCACTCTATAGAAATGTTTTTCATAAAGCAAACAATTCCACTCTTTTTTCGGAAAGTGTTCGTTTCCTCTCTTCGCCAAGAATAGCCTCCCAACGGATTCGATACATTCTAGTTGTTCTTCATATAATAACTGGGTCAAGATGATCACGATCAACTGAAATTAGTATAAAAGGGATTTTGATAGATGATTTAGAATATCCCACCAAACAATGCTTCTCCGATTCCTAGTTCTTTTAACAGTTTCAAGTTTGGCAACATGCCGAAAAATTCATATTCAAGTCAGAGAAAATGTGACACAGAGTTGTCCAAATGGTTGGTTTCTAAATAAAAACTTTTAAGAAGAACTTCAAAATTTTTCCAGTGGATTCTGATGTTATTGATGAGAGCTCATTGAAAATCACAATGAAGATGTTGAAAAATGAAAATCCAGAAGAAGAAGATGATGAGAAAGATGAGGTCACCATCACAGATATCAATGGAGAGACTAGGAAGATTGACTTCCCAGGATGTTACAGAGTGAAAGTTAGCTTCAAAATGCTCAGACCTATTGAGAATCCGTTAGTAATGATTTCTTATGAAGATTGAAATGTTCCATTTTTAGATACATTGAAGCCTTCATGCAACTTGGACAGAATGTTCCATGTAAATCTGAGGATGCTATTCAAAATCTTCGTGGAGTTGACAGTATCTGTGCCAATGTAACAAGACCAGCTCAATGGTGTCCAGAGAGTTATAATTCTCAGCTGAGGGATATGCTCGGAGGAAAGACAACTTGGTAGGTTATGGTTTATTAAGAACTCTGTAAAATACATTTTCAGCAAGTTCTGCTCCCTCTGTGAGAACGTTAAAGAAAATTTAAAAGATAATGAGAGCAAACTGAACAAGTTAAAAAAGTTCCTGAGCAATGAAGGAAAAGAAGAGTGCTCAACGACTGATAACATCCATAGATACACTTTCAAGGTGAACAAAAAAGTCACTGATTCGTCTTTTAAAAATTTATTTTAGATGTGCACGCCAACACAAGACGATTTGAATAACGAAGGGTCAGATACCAAAGATAAGGTGGAGGAGTACTGGCAGTACCTCAAACAGGTTAAAATGGATGTTCGTCCTGTGATGTAGAGTTTCCCAATTGTGTATCATTCTCCAATTAATCGTCCTGTTTTGTTCCTAATTGACTCAAAATAACATCCCCCATCAAAATAAGTTTCAGGGAATCATGACTACAGTAATCCACGTCATGGACCGTAATCCAATCAAATCTGGCCGTGCTGATCAGTGCCAGAAGATGTGCGAAGTGTATGGAGATTCTGGAAAGATGGCAAACTCCAATTACAAGGAAACACTGACAAAGTCGATTGAAAAGTTGTGTGCGCCAGTGGACACTTATGCTGCCTGTTTGTATCATACTGTCAAGTTTGATGTGAATTCGGATATGTAATTGAAGTACTTGATGATACTTATAGCTGTAATTGAAATTTGTCTTTGTACATATTAAATAATAATAAATATTGTAATTGGCGAGAATCTCAAAACAATCCACTCAACTTGAAAGGGTATTCCAAAACAGCATACTTGTAAAATTCCGGGCCTGAGGAAATTTTCAAGGCCCGGGCCCGGCCCGGAAGGCCCGGTAGCAAAAAATTTGTCATTTTGAGTCAAATTTTGAGCTCACAATAAAATTTTCTCCATTATTTTTTGTGTTTTTTGATTGTTTGTCTGTTTGATAAAAAAATATCAACAAAACTCGAAAAAAATTTTTTGATCGAAAAAAATCACATAAGGGTCCCCCCTTATGTGTTTTTTGAAATTTTCAAAACTTGTGGAATGACAAGCCCGCCGGGCCGGGCCTCCGAAATTCGGGAAAAAGCCCGGCCCGTTACAAGTATGCAAAACAGAGGTCTAATAGGAAACTTCAAAATTCAGGAGCCAATTTCTGTTCTGAATCAAATATTGTTATTTCTGGTTGAAAAAAATCGGAGCTGTGGATAAGAAACGCTGGTTACTGTGGCCGAAGGTCCCAACTACCGTAAGCTAAAATGCTTTTATTTTCAGGATTCATTTTATGGTTTTCCTCTACTTTTCGTCACGTTTTCTGTTATTTTAGGTAAACAATAACGTGAAAGGGAAAGCATTAACTGGAATACATGAAAACCGAGTAAATAAATCCGCAATAAAATATCTTCAGGTTACGGTAGTTGTCGTTTTCAGACCTTTGGCTACGGCTGCCATCTTTTCTCTTCCACAGCTCCGATTTTTGCATTTAAGCAATGGGAAATTTAAAAACGCAGGAAACCAACTTCTGCTCTTTATCAAATACTGGTATTTTGTGTCTTAATATTAAGCCTAACCTCCTATACCAAAAAAGCCATCCCTGACCACAAAATCTATATGTGATCGGTATTTCAATTACATAATCATCTCCATGTATCTTGTCTGTTGTCTTTTTTTATAATTCGAGGGCATTCTTCACTTTCTCTCTATATCCACGATCTACGTAATCGTATCCATCCTCTTCTCCTCCACATATCACCCCATTTGTCTGCCTACCGATCAAACCACATGGACTATGAAAAGATCCGGCTTTTTCCTCATCTCTCTCGTCTCTCCGCAATAACCTGTTGCCCTTTTTTTTGCCCACCTTTTCATCCAATTCCTCTTCTGATCCTTCTCCACGCCCCATCAAGAATGCCATCATCATCGTCATCGCAAGAGATTCGAAAACATATTGCCGGCCCGGCGAATCTCCAAACACTTCTTTTTTCAATCCGTTTCTCTTTTTCTTTTCGTTCGTCAAGAGATAGCACAAAAAAGTAGAAGAAGAAAAGGGATGAAAGAATGAAAAATATACGAAGAGAACTATAAATCATTCGGTTTCCAGGACGAATACTACTTTTATTTGCATGATGTCTGTGTTTCGATTGGCAGATCTCTTCTTTTATTCATTGCCAATCTGAAATTGAACTCTGGTAAACCAAATAGGATTGTTTTCTTTTGCAGGAGGAAATTAACAGTAATCCAAATTTCAAGTTTTTCTGTTCCGTTGTACGGATCATTTTCATGATCTTCTGTACAGATTTCCATCTTGACAACAGTCTCCCCGACAATCTTTCCTTTCCATACATCACTTCTGCCATATTTTGAACAGATTCCTATCTTCGACGCAAAGTCTAACTTATGCAGAATTCATCGAATTCAGATGTCTAGAACAATTCGTTTTCCTAAACATCTGACTAATAAAACTTTCGTAATGGTTGTTTTAGGACTAACCAATCTTGATGTCATAAAATAGACCAAAGAGTCTTTGGGGTGACTGTTTCAAAGTAAACCTATCAAAGTTTAAGAAAGGTGTCAAAAGATCAGGAGAGACACTCATTTTGACCTTTTGAATTGAGCGAGTTTTAGATGAGGCATTTTATCAGTTGAAGGTACCACTACAAATATTATTATCATAATCTAAATACCTCTAAACTACAACGACTACAAAATGTTGTATTCCGACTACAGTATTCTTTTTTCGATTCATAAATGCGAACTCTTAAATTTCGATTGCATATTCAAAAGTCTTTTTCCTCTAGTTCATATATATTCAAATCCATTATTTTCCTTTCTCCATAATATCCATTCACTTCCGTCGTCTCCCGGGGGAATCAGGCCATTTTCTATTTGCAAGCAGCGTTTGGGTTCAAAAGCTGGAGCTGATGTCTACACGAAAATCTTGCCGCCTCTTTCCATCCTCACTTTCATTTCTTTTTCTCTTCCGATTCCCATCTCTCTGTTCTCTGTATCTGTTTCTGCTCGCTACTGCTGGTCCAGCCGTAGCGGCTGCCCCCTTCTTTCCACCAAACATACGGACTTTGCCCTTTTCTCTGAATCCTCTCACTTCTTCACCTACTCTCGTACTTTCTCGTTCGGCTAGCCAAGAGAAGACGGCTGCTGTGTCGCGCAACGTCTATTGCGCAGTCCGCAACTCGACACCACTCGATAAAAAAGAAACGTATGCATCAATTTTGTTGGTCCTAACCTTTTTATCAGTGATATCAGTCAGCACAATGCAGACATAGAACATGGTTTGATAACGCCACTTGCCGCCCTTCTCTGACTCATACATAGGTCTTACTCGATGTGCACATTCTCTGTTTGATTTAATGGTCAAATATGTATGGTTTGCACTCCTTTAGTGTTTGCCTTTTTCAAATCTTTTTTGGGTCAAATGTTTCATCTTTTTCAGCTTAGTGCCTTAGATTGTGCATTATCCCGTCGTCGTGTTTGCACTTTCTACTGTTGCTATTTAGAAGTTCGAGAGGGAAAACTTAGGATTTTCATTTTCTTATGATTTCCAGTATTTAGGCCAATAATACGAGTCTCTCACATCTCACTTTTAATTCAAGTGAAGTCTTGAACGAATTTTTGTCATGACTGTTTCAAAAATATTTCCAGAAATATCCTTCTTAACTTCCTTTTATAGACAATTGTTTTTAGAAGTTATTTAGAATTCCAATTTAAAATTTCAGATTTTGTACACCCCGGCGTCACTGTGTTTGCAGATAACTGCTGTAGTTTCAGCGGGAACTCCTAAATTTTAAATTTAATTTTCGTGAATTTCTATTTTTAAGAATCCCTTTGTCTATCAGTTTATCAAAACAGTGATTGCGTAACGTTAGCAGCAATCATCAAATTATCTAATGTTATCTTCCAAAAACGATTTTCGGATTTTTCTCTTTTCCTTGACTAGCGTAATAGCAAAAAATCGGCGAATGGCTGCGGACGGCGCGCACGCAATCCTCGGCACAAACGTGATCTTGCGCAAAATCTGGTTATATAACACACCGTGTTTCATTTTTATCAATTGCCGGGAAGAGAATAAGAAGGAGGAGACGCTAAAAACCCCGTAAAACACGAACGAGATCTTTCTTTCGTCCCTTCGTTTCTTGCCGCTGTATATCGCCCCTATTTTGTAGTCATCAGTTTTTTGTTTTCTTATTCCTCAGGTGTCTTGGGTTTCAAAAATTATCCGATCTAACAGTCTCAACCACAAAGCCTTTTTCTTTGAGATGTTCTTACAATTCCGAATATGTATTCCACACAAAGTTCTAATACTCTAACAAGTTTCTCATGAGGTTCCAATTGCCTACACCTATATACACCGTCACACCACCAAGTCGTTTCGTTCGTTTTTTTTATTGTTTAGCCTTTCTTTTTCTTTTCCTCCCATTCTCCTCCTCCTTGTCCAGAGATGAATGTGAATTCTTGTTCGCATAAATACAAATTCTCTTGTCTTCAAAAAGACTACTCTTTTAGAAAAAGAAGATGCAAAATATGAAGAATACACAATAATTACAAAGAACAAAATCTAGGTTTCCCTTAATTGTAAGACGCCCATATATTTAGTTCAATGATCTCGCTTTGATTTTCGATTCTGGAATTTTCCTCTTCGCTCTTCAAGTATTTAATGGCACGCTCTCGATTCGAAAGTTCAGCTCTGACATATTCGTTGTCATGGAAATTGGCCAAAACGAATTCCATCTGTCCTTCATTTCTCTCGGTTTCTCCGACTCTGTTTGCTCCTCCCCTTCCTTTTTGCTTCTTCTCTTATCACCAGTTTCTCAACTTTATATCATATAGTTTTGGCGCACATTTTTCGCCGACATAGTCATTGTTAAGCCCGATGTGTCACCGTCTCTTTCCCTTCTAAAATCGTATTTTCAATTTTCCAATTTTTCAGAAATATGGCAAAATACGACTACAATCCGAAGTATGGGTTAGAAAATTACAGTGTCGTAAGTTTTTGAATCACAAAGGCTCCCTTTATAACGTTAAATTTTCAGATCCTGCCGTTTGAAACGACGTTCGATGCCTACCGCTCAACGACGTGGATGCAGAACCATTGGTATCAATCAGTAACAGCGTCTGCCGTTTATGTAGCAGTAATTTTCACTGGAAAGAAGGTTTGTGTACCACATTTTTATCAGTGATGTTGCAGAATTTTGTTATAGTTAGACTGATAAGAGAGAGAAATCGGGAAAGAGGGGCTAGAAAAATGAAATGATAATGATTAGGAATTAATTGACAAAGAACATTGAAATTGAAAAAAAATCGCACCATATGCTGAAATCACCGTTTCCTAGATGAAAAATTATGTTTTCCGTCACTTCTATCGTCAAAAAACATCTGTACGACAGTCAAAAAAAAAAAAACTAAAGCCATGTGAAGCAGGTGAAATGCAAATTAATTAATTTCAGAGAAAAATCGTAGTCAGCATGTCTAAATTAACGTTTTTATATCGCCAAAAACTAACAAGCTAATTTTCAGATCATGGAGAAGTACAAGCCATTTCAATTGGATACTCCACTTTTTATCTGGAACTCATTTCTTGCCATTTTCTCAATCCTCGGGTTCCTCCGAATGACACCTGAGTTCATTTGGAGTTGGTCAGCTGCGGGTAACTCGTTCAAATACTCCATTTGCCATTCGTCATACGCTCAAGGAGTCACCGGTTTCTGGACTGAACAATTCGCGATGAGCAAGCTTTTCGAGCTCATTGACACTGTCTTCATTGTTCTCCGTAAACGTCCGCTCATCTTCCTCCACTGGTATCATCACGTCACCGTTATGATCTACACATGGCACGCTTACAAGGACCACACCGCTTCCGGACGTTGGTTCATCTGGATGAATTACGGAGTGCACGCTCTCATGTACTCTTACTATGCTCTTCGTTCGCTCAAATTCCGTCTTCCAAAACAAATGGCAATGGTTGTTACTACTCTTCAACTTGCTCAAATGGTCATGGGAGTCATCATCGGAGTCACCGTGTACCGCATCAAATCATCGGGAGAATATTGCCAACAAACTTGGGATAACTTGGGACTGTGCTTCGGAGTTTACTTCACCTATTTCCTTCTTTTCGCCAACTTCTTCTACCACGCCTACGTCAAGAAAAACAACAGATACACCGAAGTCAAAAAGGAGAAGAAGCAAGAAGAGGTAAGAATAAAAGTTCTTCATTCGTTGATAAAATATATAAATCTGCAGGTTGCCCCAATCGAAATCATGGAACTGAAAGAGGATATCAATGCTAACATCGCAGAGCCATCTATCACCACGAGGTCCGTTGCCGCCCGACGAAAAGTTCACAAAGCTGATTAGGTTCTGAGAAAAGGAACAACAATTTGTTAATTTTTGCTTCGCTATTCAAGTTTCTCGAAAATTTTCATACTTTTCTTTCTTTCTACTTCCTTACCTTATTTATACATCCGCGTAGACAAAACAGGCCACGCACAACTAACATATATATTCAGATCTCTCTCTCTCTCTCTCTTTTCCCATCCTCCCAATCCATTTTTTTTGTTAGAATTTTAATTTTACCTTCTTTTTCTTTTCTGTATTTTCCGCTTCACTTTGAAACTCGTGTGACACAGTTTAGTAGTCGTTCTTTTTCCCTTTCCCGCTTATTTCTCCCTCGTTATAACCGTATTTCTCTTGCCAAAACAAAAGAAATAATATAAAAATTCATTACTTCACAGAATTGTATGTCGTTAAACTTCTAGAAAACGTTAAAACTATGTCAGAAGGTGTTTATTATTAGGCGTTCTGCTTCTTCTCTCTCATTGGTCCTTTGAACGGCTCGTCAAGGAAATCGGCGACTTGTGGGAGACGGTCGGATCCGAATACAGTTTGGAGAACTTTTCCGTGATTGTCGGTGATATGCATCCATGGAGCTCCGAAGCACTGAAAAATGAAGAATGTTTTGAAAGATCTTTTTCGCGCCGCATAACAAAACTCACCCCATTTCCGATTGCTTCGTCTGTATTCTCTCTCAAAATATTCTTGACCTCCGCTGAATCGCTCATCATCAGCAACTCATCAGAATTCTTCACATGCAAATCTCGAAGCACTTCTGCTACTTGGCTCTTTGTGAAAATTGGCTTTCCGTAGGCATAGAAACGATGCCAGAGTGCACGGGCGACGTCTTCCATTAAGGCGTTGTCACGTAGTTGAGCAGCAACAAGGATGCGTTGAGGGACGATGGAGCTAGTGTTGAGCATCACATTCGTGTAGTCCTTTGGGAGACGGAATGGGATACCCCAGTATTGAGCACTGAATAGAAGATCTTTGTGCATGTATTTCTCTTTGATAGGGACACGAAGAGGAAGACCAGGGTTCTCTGGAAAAGAAGAGATAAAAATTGTTGTGTGGGCTTTTTGATATAAATTTTTTAATCAAAGACAATGCACACCTGTGTGTCTGACAACTCCTGCGAAGAAGAATGGTTTCATCTGAATTGGAGTCTTCCATACTGTACGATGGCGAGTGATTCCTTCGAAACCAAAGTAACTGTATGGAGAGATGACATCGAAGAAGAACTTGACCTGTTTTCGGTTTGGCATTTTTGAGATTCGGAGTCTATAAAGTAAAGTTAACAGTAGAAAAATAGGAGTTTCAAGAGGAAAGGAAACGAGAACGAATCACATTGATGGTCAGCTAATAATGATAGTGAAGACGAAGAAGAAAAAGAAAAGATATTTGTGTAAACACCAGGGGAGGTACCTCGATAGCAGCACGTGGTAGAGCAATTGGGGCATAGGCTGGCATCGAGCAAATGACAGAAAAAAAACAGTTGGTCTGCTCTTCGGCACAAATGACCCTGATCCTAAAAATATTTAGAGATGTTTCCAACTCGTCTCAGTAAAAACAAAAACGGGAACTTTATTTTCTTTGAAAACTTCACTGCATGACAAACTGATTTTCAAGATGTGGGCGAAAAAATTATAGTTTTGGGAATAGAAAATTATCAGTCAATATCTCTTGTGATCTAGAAAAAATTAGATGCAGCGAGTCTGTTATTATCGCTGTCTGCAAAAATGAAGGTTAGAGAGTATTTTTTGCAGTCTGAATACGGTAGCGATTTCGGAGCGACGAGCCTAAATAGCACATATTAATTAGAGACGCAGACTTTTTTCACTGCGTCTCAACCTTCATTTTTTCAGACAGCGATAATATGCTTTGTTTTACAACAACATTTGGAGCTGAAGTCCCACAACGACCACAACCGTAACCTAGAATTATTTTCATTTTCAGAATTTTTTCTCGATTCCCGTACTTTTCAGTCAATATTTTTGCAATTTTGATGTCCTGACTTTTTTGGGGGAAAACAATAGGAAACTCCACGAAGGCAGTGGAAAAGAAAGTACCGTATTTCCTCTAATTGAAGCCCATGGGCTTCTATTTTTCAACCTCCTTCTCAGGGAATTATCAAAAACTGAAATCACCGGAATATTTTTAAAAAAGAAAGACAAGCCTGCAATAATCTAATAGACGAACTACACTGTACGAACTGCACTAACTGAACTGCATGAACTTCTTTTTGAGGTTCCGCTTTTATGAATTTAAGCACGTCGGAGGGTGGGCTTCTATTAGAGGTGGGCTTCAAATAGAGGTGGGCTTCTATTAGAGGAAATACGGTATATACGAAAAGTAAGATACTTTTTAGGTTACGGTAGTTGTTGCTGTGGGACCTTCGGCTACGGCCACCGGCGTTTCTCTTCCACAGCTCCGGCTTTTTGTACCAAAATAATATATTTTCTCGGAAGATTTCACCGCATGATTTTTGAAATGTGGGTGAAAAATTATAGTTTCGGGAATATAAAATTATAGAGTTTCAGTGATCATGGTCAGTCAGCAGCTCGTGTGACCAAAGTTTAAAAAAAATGGATGTAGCGATTCTAGGAACAATACTACAAAAGAGTCGCAACACGTGCTGGGTTTTATTGCCGCTCCATGGAAGTAAAAAGAGGTCAAAACAAAGTTTGATATTTTTGAAAATAATAGTTCGTAGAAGGGCACCACATGACTAGGTAGATAAAGAAAAAGAGATAGAAAAGTGCAAGTGAACGGATAGTTAAACTGTCACAGAGCATTGGGAAAAAAGAAAAAAAAATAGAGGTGTTATTCAGATGAATTCCTGTAGTGTGTCAAGATGATGTGGTAGAAGGAAGTCATCACCCACGTTTTTTTGATCCTCCGATTCACGTTGAAATTGAAGTTCATTATATCTGGGTTCAATGAGATTCCAATTTAAATTGAGAAAGTACAATTCCAAAAATAATTCTTGACACATACAGAAATGAAGTTCATAAACCACAGAACCAATAAATAGAAACAAATGACTCCAGAGAAAAGCAAAATTTAAGAACCCGTGGTTGAGCTAGGTATTGCACAAATATTTACAAGAACTATAGGGGAAACTTTGAGTGCAAACTGTTCTATAAACCTCGTGGTTTTTAGATGAACATAAAAGTTAAGTCAGTGTATAAAAACATTACTGCTATCAATTTGGAAAAGGTGTCTTATCAACATCAACAATCAGTACAATTGTATCAATAAAGAGAAGAAAAGGCGGGAAGATATTGATCTAAAAAACCCGAAGAAGCGGTCGCTGTCAATGACATCCTTCCCACACCGCATCTTTCTTGCTAGCTATTTCATCGTGTTATCGAATTCCAAAAGTGAAGAGTTTTATAAAATGGATGAAATGACGCGCTTGTTTTCACCATCCTGTTGGGTTCCTGGAAAAAGTCGAGATGAAGTGATGAATGAGTTTTTTGCTGGAATCATGGAAGCTTATGATAGTTTGATGAGCAATAATACTATCCAGAAAGATCTTGATATTCCTTATGGACCAGGTATGTAATTTCTTTCTTCAGAGTGTGACATTGAAACTTGTGATGCAGATGAGAATCAAAAAGTTGATGTCTATGGAGATGTTCAAGATAATCTTCTAATATTTTTTCACGGTGGATATTGGGTGGTTTGTTTTGTCTTTTCCGGCTCCACTGATTATATTTGGTTTCAGGAAGGTGACCGAAAGTATTGTCTAACTCCAGTTCCTGCTACACTTGACGGTGGATTTGCTTTTGCATCGTTGGGTTATGGTCTTGCAACGAATGGTCGAACTTTGAGTGATTGCGTTAGCGATGCGGTAAAGGGAGTGGAGTTCTTGCTACAAAAATATCCAAATGCATCCAATATTCACATTGGTGGGCACTCTGCCGGAGCCCATTTGGCATTCCAAGGTTCGAGCTTTTTTATCGTTTCACAATTCATTTTGTTTTCAGCTGCTGTCAAGGTTCACAGTCCAAGTATCAAGGGATTATTACTATTTGCTGGAGTGTATTTTTTGGAAGAATTGGTTGGAACTGAAATCGGAAATGCTATCAAGTAGAATTCAAATAAGTTTTTTTTTCTGAAAAATTCCGTTTTCAGCTTGACCATTGACCAAGCAAAGCTGAACAGTTGCGATCCGACTCTTTTGGATGGAATGTTTCTCAGAAAATCGGTGTTTGTGGGAGGCCTCGAGGCTCCAAAGCTGATTGTACAGAACGTGGAATTTGTGAAGGGGAGAAGAGGTATTTTGAAGGTTTGTTTTGATAAATTCGGAGCTTCTGTGATCTTCAGTTTCTATTTCAGCAATTCCCGCTACTCAGTCATTATACACTCATGACGCAGATGTGGAACGACTATTCAATGATAAAATTTGGGTTGGGAGTTGAATAAAATTTATTATTAACAAAATGAAAAACAATTTGAAGTTTAGCGTCTTGTTCCATCCTCGAAGAAAACTCCTCCATCGATAGCACAATACTTTGGACAGATTCCTTTTTCTCCGGCACCTCCAGCAGATCCTGGTGGTCCCTTTGGTCCTGTTTCTCCATCTGCTCCTGGTGGCCCATCCGGTCCGTTTGCTCCCTTTGCTCCTGCCATTCCTGGCAAACCATCTGGTCCAGCCAATCCTGGTGGTCCTGGTGGTCCTGGGATTCCAGAATCTCCTGGCGGTCCTGGATCTCCTGGAATTGGTGATCCTTCTTGTGGTGCTGGTTTTCCTGGCTCTCCTGGCATTCCTGGTTGTCCTTCGGCTCCTGGGGATCCTGGTGGACCCTTTGGTCCTGGTTCTCCGTTTGGCCCATCAGGTCCATTACGTCCTGGTTGTCCAGCTGGTCCTTTGTCTCCTGATGGTCCAGTAGTTCCTTGCTCTCCGGGTGGTCCAATTGGGCAGACTCTGCATGGTGGTGGAGAAGCAGCCTCGCATGGGGCTTGAACTGTGCTTTTTCCGGGGACTCCTGGCATTCCTGGAGCTCCTGGCTTTCCAGGACGGCCTGGTTTTCCTGGCTTTCCGTTTGGTCCCGGTCCTCCTGGACAGCAACCCTGGAATATTTATGATTCGATTTCAGCATAATAAGATTCAACTTACTCCACAAGATCCACCACCAGCAACATCTGCGACTGGAGGACTCTCATTGTACTTTTCTCCTCCTCCGCCACCAGCAGCTTCTGGAGCCTTGTCTTTGTAAGTTTGTCTCGGGAATCGAGAAGTTCTGTTGGCGAATGGAAGATTCTTCATGATCTCCACCTCCTTCCAAATCTCTCTAGCGTGTTCCTGAAACAACGAGTTCTAGACGAGTTTTTAAGTTTCATCCTACCTCACAAGAGATAACTTCCGTATTAATGAGCTGCTTGACATGGAACATGTACATATAAATCGCCGGCATTGAAACACACACAGTGAACACCGAAACGATAGCAAAGCACATGGCGATGTTGGCCACCCATTGATAGGCACGAACACGACGACACGAATCGTCTTCCATCTTTTTTTTCCCGAAGAATGAAAGAAAGAATGGAATGAGGAATTCGAGAATTACGAATGCATTTTATACTTGTGAGGATGTCTCTGAATTTACTATTCAGATGAATATCAGCAACTAGATTTTCCGGAAAACTAAGTTGAAAGTAAAACCGAGATAGGAATTGCGATATTGGATTCAGATCTATTGTGTGATATAGAAAACAAGAATGAATAGTTGTATTAAATGGTACTCAAAATAAATACATTGGAAAGTATGAATACATGTATGAGTTCTTTGTGAACGGATTCCTTGGAATTCGTTCTGATCAGTTCACAGTTGGTTTGGGAAATTGAGCGTGTAGCCCAAGAACCAAGCTGGTGCCTCCATCAGCGATGATATTCTGACCAATGATGTACTCTGACGAATCTCGATCAGCCAAGAAGGCGATGTCCTTTGCGATATGAGTTGGACGACCTGAGAATCCAACTGGAATGGCATGCCTGTTAGATCCCATGTCGTCATAGAACTGAAAATTTCTTTGTTCAAGAATTCTGAAAAGTGATTATACCTTCTGTGATACATCAGAAGACGTTCCAGTAGCGCTCTCGTGGAATCCAGTCTGAACGATTCCTGGGTTGACAGTGTTCACACGGATTCCTTCGGAAATGAGATCAATAGCAGCACTTCTTGTATACTGATCCAAAGCTGCCTTTGCTAATGAGTAGTAAGGAGTTCTGGCCCACTAAAAATAGAAATTAGACTATAGTTTTTTGGAATTGTAAACTCACTCCAAATTTCAATGCGACAACACTCGATGCGTTAACAATTTCACCTTTAGATTTGGCCAGGTGTGGTCGAACTTTCTGTGTCATCTCTATCACACTTTGGAAAATACATTGGACATTGAGTTTCATTACTTTTTTGTATGTGTCAACGCCTTGATCAATGCCAAACTTCTTCTGAGCATCTGGAAGCGAAGCTCCAGCATTGTTGACAAGAATGTTGATCTTTCCGAACTTATTCAAAGTTTCAGCAATGAGAGAATCTTGTTCATCAGACGTAGTGATATCAGCAGGAACAATCACGAAATGGGATTCCGGCATTCCAGCATCAATCAAGGCTTTCTTGGTTCCTTGAAGTCGTTCTTCATTCCGTCCAGTCACCGTCACTTTGGCACCTTCTTTGGAAATAATAGAGCAGTCTCTCTACCGATTCCAAATGAAGATCCAGTGATAATAGCAACTTTTTCAGAAAAGCGTTTAGGCATTTCAAAGCAAATTGAAAAAAAAATCGAAGACGAGCAAAAACTCTTTGGAGAAAATTCACCTTACTTTTATATACGTACTCTGCCAGACGGTGGCAATTCGTGTTTTCGATCATGCAGTGTACTTATAGATGAAAGATGGAGAAATAGACGGTTAGAGAAAAACATCTCTTCCATATAAAGCTGCTGGTCACACTAATCATATAAATTTGGTGCCAGTTATTATGAACGATGACAAAATCTTTTCCTCGAGTCGCAAAATATTGTGTGCCAAGAAAACAATAATGAGAAGTCAGATTATTTTGTGAGTACTTGGTAGTCGGCTTGTAACTTCCGGACAGAAGTTGAGGGGTTTCTGGTTTTGTACAGAAGTATGATTTCAGCGGTCCCTAGAGAAAATAACGGTCCGCAGTGAAAAAAGCGGTCCGCAGTGAAAAAAGCGGTCCGCAATGAAAAAAGCGGTCCGCAGTGAAAATAGCGGTCCGCAGGGAAAATGATGGTCCAAAAAGAAAATAACGGTCCGGAGCGAAGTTTGCGTTTGGGAATTCAGGAAAACCCCATAAATCCTGTTTTTATTGAATTTTCAATTAACAATCGAATTTTTATGTTGTTTTGTTAGTTTTTTTACGCCCATGTGTTCCGTACTATCATTAAGAGAACACAATGTTTTATTATAACGGACATAACATATCAAAATGCAAGAGAACACCAAGATGAAGATGAACAGATGTATGAACAAAATGAAGGCATTGAGAATGAAACAAACGAAAATTATTACTAAGCTGTTCACTTTTTCTCTAAATACTGCACCGTTATAATAAACATTGTGTTGTCTTAATGATAGTACGAAATTTGGCTCTAGTTGGTTATTTTGGATTTTAAAGAAATTTTTGGATTTTAATAAAAAAATTTGGATTTAAAAAAAAATTTTGGATATTTAAAAAATTTTGGATTTTAAAGAAAATTTTGGATTCTGAAGAAAATATTGGATTTTAAAGACCTTGAAAAACTTTAAAATCCAAAAATTTCGTGCGTTGAAATTTTCATCATAAATTGTGGCCAGTGTTCTCCTTGGCTGTACTTCGCTGTAATCAGCATTTGAACAACTGATTTACCGTCGTTTCCAGACATTTTATAGTTTTCAAATTATTTTGGATTTTGTAGATTGTGGGAAAATTTTGAGACTAGAGACAAGCTTGATAGGGTTCCGAAGGTTTTAACTTTTAAAATATTTATAGCTCAAATCTTGTCGGGAACCCAGGATCGAAGGGTACATTTAAAAAAAAAGCTACGCTGAGGGTACTCTGAGTTCTTAGGGTACATAGATTCAGAGGGCAAACGGGATCTTAGGTGAACGTCGTTATAGCTTAAGCCTATGATTTGGAGCGAAAGCTAAACAGTCAGTAGGGAAAATTTTTTCCGCCCTCCCGCATGTACCACAAAATCCCATGTATGCTAGGAATCAATGTACTCTAAGAACTAGAGGTACCCTTTCCCGATGTACCCTTGGAGACTGGGTCGTTGAAAACATGTCCAACACAGCCAAATGTTTTAAAGTTAATGCCAAATGCAAGTGTTCCAGTGGAAGGAAAACAAGACATTTCAGCCTAAGCCTTTAAATTGAACAAAAAACAGAACAGTTTGGAAAAAATTCAGTGAGAAAAGGGGGTTTTCATTGATTTGATTTTCAGTACTTCATTAACTAGAAATAATTCAGAATACTTTTTGTTTGAAATTATAGGCTTAGACTGAAAAGACATCTCTGTACTGAGAAATTTGAAAATGACACCAAATTTAAAATATTTGGATTCTAAAAAAAACTATACCTCACTCAGCACCCAAATCAAATTTATTCTCAAGCAAACAAACAACAATCACGCCAAAATAGAGTAGTTGAGAAGCAGAAGGTTTTTTTTAAAGGTGGTGTACGGTGAAATTTTTTATTGCATCAAAATGTGCAGAAATGCATGTAGATTGATATAAAAATAAAGAAAACATTCAAAAAAAATTCCTTCATCGAGAAAAACGCATCGAAAAATACGCTGAAAGCCCTTAGGGACGAGGTTTTTTCTAGGCCGCCCGGTGAGTAAAAGCGCGCGAATTCAAACTTTTAAAATTTTTCCGCTCGTTTTCACTGTTTTTTCAAATTTTCCGATGTATCTGGAAGAAAAATTGACAAAAACCTTGAAAAATCTTGAAAAAACCAAAAAAAAGTGAAAACGAGCGAAAAAATTTTAAAAGTTTGAATTCGCGCGCTTTTACTCACCGGGCGGCCTAGAAAAAACCTCGTCCCTAAGGGCTTTCAGCGTATTTTTCGATGCGTTTTTCTCGATGAAGGAATTTTTTTTTGAATTTTTTCTTTATTTTTTAGTCAATCTACATGCATTTCTGCACATTTTGAAGCAATAAAAAATTTCACCGTACACCACCTTTAATGAATCTTTTCTGAATTCTTTAAAATCCAAAATTTTTTTCAAAATCCAAAAATTTCTTTAAAATCCAAAAATTTCTTTAAAGGTGGGGCGACATGAAAAAAAAATGTTCTCGAAATTCCGTTCAAAGATGCCCCTCGAGGAGTTGAACTTGTGGGGGTGAGAATTGAGGGTGCGACGCCGCTACCGACTGAGCCACACGGGCAAAGAGAAGGGCACGCCCGATTGCATACATAAAGGCGAGGACGACAGCTGTACGCAGAGTGACATTAAGCGTTGTACACCGTGACGGTAGAATGCACACTCTAGCTACAAAAAAACTACGAAAAATCTCCTGTCCCCCCACCTTTAAAATCCAAAATAACCAACTAGAGCCCGAAATTTCACATGGGCGTAAAAAAACCAACAAAACAACATAAAAATTCGATTGGTAATTGAAAATTCAATAAAAACAGGATTTATGGGGTTTTCCTGAATTCCCAAACGCAAACTTCGCTCCGGAGGGACCGCTGAAATCATATAGAGCCGAAGTTGTTCAAAAACGGCTGTATAGCAGGCCATGGTCACACTTTGGTTGGAAGCTGAAATCTGAAATACTAATCAAAACCAAAGTTTCAGAACAATTTCACAATCGCATAGATATTTTTCTGAATTTTCAAAAACTGATAAAAAACCTGACTTCACACCACTACGAATCTAATTGCCTTTTTCTCAATGCCACTACAGAAACTTACAAAATATACCAATTTGAACTTTGGTTTGCATTCTGTTTCTCTCCTATTTTTCTACAACAACAAATTGAAAGTCACAAAATTTTATGTCTATTTCTCTCGTTTTCTGACTAGTGGCCAACCAATATAAAGAGTGAAACTAAGTTATTTGCGAACGAATTTTTCATTGTATACTTCTATTTCAACCTACCTAAATATTATTAAAAATGGCTCGTTTTACAGACAAAGTTGCTATTGTAACTGGTAAGTTTTTCATGGTAGTATAAAAATATTTAGTTATGATTTTTTAGGATCTTCAAATGGAATCGGACGAGCTACTGCTGTTTTGTTGGCTTCCGAAGGTGCTAAAGTTACAATTACTGGAAGAGATTCTGAAAGACTCGAGGGAACAAGACAAGCGATTTTGAAGGCAGGAGTTGAGGAATCGCATCTGATCTCAGTCGTAGCAGATATCACTTCCGCACATGGACAAGATCTTTTGATTTCTTCCACACTTGAAAAATTCGGAAAGATTGATATTCTTGTGAGTTACTGCTTCCAATTACAGCTGAAAATTTCATAGTTTTAGATCAACAATGCTGGGGCAAACATACCAGATGCGAATGGAAAAACTAGAACGGAAGGTGGAATCGACACATTCTTGAAGATGTTTCAATTGAATTTGCAAAGTGTTGTAGAAATGACACAAAAAGTTAGACCACATTTGGCAAAAACTAGAGGAGAGATTGTAAATGTGTCAAGCATTGCTGCAGGTCCCGCTGCTGTAAGTGGAAAATTAACAAACGTTTCAAATTATCTTTGAAAAATTGCAGCAACCTCAAGGACCATATTACTCTAGTGCAAAAGCGGCACTTGACCAATATTCTAGAAGTGCCGCCATTGATTTGATTTCTGAAGGAATCCGTATCAATGTTGTTCAGCCTGGATTCGTTGAGACTGGTTTCTCTACAGTGGCTCGTGGATTGAATGCCGAAGAGTCAGCAAGCTTTTACAATTCGATGGGAGCTCAACCACATTGCATTCCAGCTGGATTTTGTGCTAAACCAGAACATATCGCATCTGTAATTGCCTTTTTGGCAGACAGAAAAGCATCAGAGTACATCGTGGGACAAACAATCACTGCTGACGGAGGATCGACTCTGGTTCTTGGATTCCATGCTCACTTTGCTCAGAAAGCACCGAAAAACTAATCAGCCTAATTTTTTAAAATTCTAATAAATATTTTCAACATTCGTGAACAATTCAAAAAGCAACCAAAAATGAAAAAATGAGAGATATCAAAAACTTGTTAACTGATAAAATATGGGTGATATATAATTTATCAGTTGAAATTGTTTTGATATTTTCTGCAATAATATAGATAATTGAACTCAAAGTTGATGATTTGGGTGGGATTCTATTTGAAGAAATACGGTAGATTGTTAAATGTGGGGGGACAGGAGATTTTTTGGAGTTTTTTTGGAGTTTGGAGTACGCATTCTACCGTGACGGTGTACAACGCTTAATGTCACTCTGCGTACAGCTGTCGTCGTCGTCTTCATGTATGCAATTGGGAGGCCGCTTTCTCTTTGCCCGCGTGGCTCAGTCGGTAGCGGCGTCGCACCCTCAATTCTCACCCCCACAAGTTCAACTCCTCGAGGGGCATATTTAAGCGGAATTTCGAGAACATTCTTTTTTTCATGTCTCCCCACCTTTAAGATTCCATGAGAAAAGCGATCTGAAAAATGACTCTTGGTCTTTTTTTCTTCAAAGTTGTCCACCTTTGACGTAGAGTCTCGCAATAGTTAATATTGCAGTACTTAATGATGTTAAGATCATCATCTGATCTTTCTGAAACTATTTTATTGTACTTACGAGTTTTGGTATTTAAATCATGAGAGAAAATTTTTTATTTAGTTACAATTCACAGAATTTTCAAAATAAATGAGATTCGTTAGGATGAAGAGAGTTGGTGAAAAAAGATTTGAATTAGTTTAATTATTTCTTGACACCGAAGACGGAGTGCATTCCAAGCACTAACGAAGTTCCACCATCAGCGATGATAGTTTGTCCAACAATGTATTCAGATGCTTTCCGATCTGCCAGGAAGGCGATAACCGAAGCGAGATGCTCCGGTTGTCCACAGTATCCGGCTGGAATACAATGTGGTATTTCTCCCATTGAATTGTAGAATTTCAAGGAGTCCTCCGCACTGAGTCCGCGAGCCGCTGTTGAAAATCCAGTAGACACAAGCCCCGGCTGAACGACGTTGATGCGAATACCTTCGGAAATCAAGTCGATTGCAGTACAACGAGAGTACTGATCCAGAGCGGCCTTGGCAGTGGAGTAGTAAACACTTTGTGGTTGCTGAAATAAAATAAAAAACCAAATTAAAAGTTCAATACTTCAGTTCCTACCGCTGAGGGACCTGCTCCGATGCTCGAAATGTTAACAATCTCTCCACGAGTTTTTGCCAGATGTGGACGAGTTTTTTGGGTCATCTCAACGACACTTTGAAGATTCAATTGAAGCATCTTTTGAAGATTCTCGATGGCACAGTTACTTCTGGTATTTCCGGATGCATCTGGAAGATTGGCACCTGCGTTGTTGATCTGAAATTTGATAGTTGAAACGGGAAAACTGCCTTCTAAAACGCACGAGAATGTTGATTTGGCCGAACTTCTTCAATGTTGAAGAGATTATGAGATCTTGACCTTTGGAAGTTGTGATATCTGCAACCACAGCATTGACGTTCGCTTCTTGGACTCCTGCCTTCAAAACTGCTTGTCTTGTTTCCTCGAGTCTTTCAGAATCTCTTCCAGTGATTGTCACCTTGGCACCTTCAGATGCTAGAAGGATAGCAGTAGCACGTCCGATTCCATTGGAAGATCCTGAATAATTCAACTTTTATTTAGAAAAAAGAAAGGAAGAATAAGAACCAACCTGTAACAATAGCGACTTTTCCTGAGAAACGAGCCATTTTGAGAAAGATTGATGCGAATGAACTCCGAGGGTTCAAATACTTTTGATTTTATCCAGCTGAAAACCTTTGTCTTTTATACTCTTTCCAAACAGAGAGAGAGAGTGCGATACGCAGGCATCGCAGTCACAATATTTATGTGACAAGGTGAGAGATGGAAGAGATGTTTAGTCATAGAAGAAGATGAAAAAGAATCAGAAGAAAAATGAGCAGAATGAAGAAACGACTGAAAATAAATGAGCACAGACACATTTGTCATATTTCATGAGAATCCATGTACCTAATCATGCCTAGCACGAAATTTTGATAAGATGATAAGATCAGTGAGACCATCAAAGTTGCTATTATCACAAGATCCAGTGATAATAGCAACTTTTTCAGCAAAACTTCCAGGTATTTCGAAGCGAAATTTGAAAAACAGAAGAAGAGCAAAAACTCGTTCGTAACTTTGGATAAACTCAAACTTCGTTTTATACTGTTTCAGGCGATGACAATTAGTTTTTTTTATTCAATGATGCAGTGTAAATTTGTACTTATAAATGAAAGAAGGAGAAATAGACGGTTAGAGAAAAACATCACTTCCATCTACACAGCTGATGGTCTCACTGATCTTATCATCTTATCAAAATTTCGTGCTAGGCATGATTAGGTACATGGATTCTCATGAAAATATGACAAATGTGTCTGTGCTCATTTATTTTCAGCCGTTTCTTCATTCTGCTCATTTTTCTTCTGATTCTTTTTCATCTTCTTCTATGACTAAACATCTCTTCCATCTCTCACCTTGTCACATAAATATTGTGACTGCGATGCCTGCGTATCGCACTCTCTCTCTCTGTTTGGAAAGAGTATAAAAGACAAAGGTTTTCAGCTGGATAAAATCAAAAGTATTTGAACCCTCGGAGTTCATTCGCACAATCTTTCTCAAAATGGCTCGTTTCTCAGGAAAAGTCGCTATTGTTACAGGTTGGTTCTTATTCTTCCTTTCTTTTTTCTAAATAAAAGTTGAATTATTCAGGATCTTCCAATGGAATCGGACGTGCTACTGCTATCCTTCTAGCATCTGAAGGTGCCAAGGTGACAATCACTGGAAGAGATTCTGAAAGACTCGAGGAAACAAGACAAGCAGTTTTGAAGGCAGGAGTCCAAGAAGCGAACGTCAATGCTGTGGTTGCAGATATCACAACTTCCAAAGGTCAAGATCTCATAATCTCTTCAACATTGAAGAAGTTCGGCCAAATCAACATTCTCGTGCGTTTTAGAAGGCAGTTTTCCCGTTTCAACTATCAAATTTCAGATCAACAACGGGGGTGAGAATTGAGGGTGCGACGCCGCTACCGACTGAGCCACGCGGGCAAAGAGAAAGCGGCCTCCCAATTGCATACATGAAGACGAGGCGACACTCCCGGCGACCACAAAAAAATATGCAAAATATCTCTGCACTTGATAATTCCTCCATGAGCTGTTGATCGGCTGGTGGCTGGTTGTTGTTTCGTTCGCTCGAACGGTGACTCGCGGCTTGGCTTGACTGGTAACTCCTGGTGGCTCGTTGGATCGACTGATGCTGACTTCGCTTGGTGATTTGAATGTTAGATTGGTGACTAGTGCGCTTGGTGACGTCCTCCTGATTCTGCTTGACTGGGTCTTACAATATTAGGATACCTTAATGGATAAATTAAACAATTTGATAACAATATAAAGGTTAGTATGCTCAATCACACAATTCTATACTTTCTCACGAATGGGTCAAATACAACTTTTCTGAAATGAAGGTGGGATCCTACTATTTATAAGGGGTTCTTACGAAAAATTAGAAACTACTGGGACTTTTTTGAATGGAAAAAAGTTTAAAACTACTGGGATCTACAAATTCTTAAAAAATACTAATTAGTTCCAGTACGCTATGTGGCCCTCCGGCCTACAAAAAAAAATCAGTAATACTTCCTATTGCTCAATCATCATAACTGGGTTTTGTGTGGGGTGGGGCCGTGGGTGTTAATAACAATCACAAAACACATATGCCATACACTTGTATAAACTTTTTTTGAATAGCCTGAATTTTTCATTTGTTCTCCTCATTCCGTTACCATGCGCGTCCTTCAAAAACTCCTTGAACCTACCCTCTGAAATTTGTGTTAGTACCAGTTTTTTAAAGGATTTCTATTCTACTTTGATTTAGTTGTAAGCGAACTTATCCCGGTTGATGTAACTTCTTCCCACAGCAAACGGCTGCCCCCGTTTTCAGTAAGAACCTGTAAATAATGTAACTGACCTCCTCTCCTCCTATTCCTTATTTTGGTCGATGCACCACTAAAGCATCCAATAAGCATCGGTGGTTCAGTGGTAGAATGCTCGCCTGCCACGCGGGCGGCCCGGGTTCGATTCCCGGTCGATGCACCACTAAAGTATCCAATAAAGTAAGACCAATAACTAGAAATAGAATTCCTTGGGGTTCAGTAGATTTATTAGTTCAAGAGTTTGTATTTCACAGTTGCTATAGTGCAACAAGAAGATGAAGAAGAAAGATCAGATATATCAAAACAACTGCTATTTATACTCGTTCCTCTTTCCGCTCCTCCTTGCAACAGATTTGTCCTTATCCAATTCCTCCACTCTTTCCATGATCCTATCCTTCCTATGTATCTGCTTTCCACTTGCTCTCCTAACATTCTTCACACCTTAGCTCTGCTCCTCTTCATGCCATGTATCCTCCTGACGTACTTTACACCTTAGCTCGGCTCCTTATTATAACGCCCTCGGATTGACCTCGACAGTTGCTCGTCGGTCACGACAAACTACTTAATTATTCTTTTCTTTTTATATTTCCATTTATACGGCAAAATGGGAGCCAATCCATCTGTGGTTCCAGTCGGATTCTCTGGCCGTCCGGATCATATCGCGAAGGCCATCGCTTTTCTGGCTGATCGGGATTCTTCAGAATACATCATTGGTCAGAATATCATTGCTGATGGAGGCACTAGCTTGGTTCTTGGACTGCACGCTCAATTCCCGCGCCAACCAGCGAGCAAGTAATTTCTACAGTATCTTTTTTTGTTGCATTCTGGTTCATAAATTTTTTCGAACATTTATCATTGATCCATTGAAGTTTGTACACAGAAAAATAAATAGAAAGGACTAGAAGCATAGGAAAAAAAGAAAAAAAGACGGAACAGTTGATATGAGATCAACATTCATGGAAGATTGGTAGATGGAAAACCCGCTATATCTGACGTATCAGATGCTATGGTTGCTGCTTGACGAGCATGGAGAAGCACACTCTGTTTTTGGTTGATTGTGAGAGTCCGAGTTGAGAGCTTCCTGAAAAATCAGGTCATCCAGAACGAAATAAACAAAGAGTTGGACTTACAGAGAGAAAGCCTTTTTTCATGTTCTGAATGATGAACTGGACGAATTTGAACCAGGCATGTGTGATGTGTTTCTCGACGGTCTGTACCTTCTTGATACCTCCACAAATGAGGTAGGTTCCTGAAAATTTTAAAATATAGTTGAAACTATATAGATAGTTGAAACTTGTTTAGTATTCACCTTTTGTGTCCTTCAGCAGAGCCGAGACGACGGAATCCAGAAGACAATTCTTGACGCAGAGCCAATTTTCAGCTTGAAACCACACTTTCATCCGGAAGTGCATTGCTCCGAGTTGGAGGGAGAGATCTTGGATCTCTTCGATGTAATTATGGTCCATTAGTTTTGAGATTACCTGGAAACATAATAATTAAACAATCAACTTGATCGTTCACAGACCGTAAAATCTGTAATCGCCTTTGAACTTTGAGCCAGTTCTAGGTTCCTATGAAAGATATAAATAGTTTTTCAACTGATAAATTATTTATCATCTTATCAGAATGGTTTGGTCAGTTGACACATTTCTGATATCTTGCATAGAAGTTAAGAAAAAGCAGCTCAAACTAAAAAATGTGGAGCCCTTTCATTACAGTTTTTACGATAAGTAGTAGAAGGAATAAATGGTTCCATAAAAATTTATTGTCTGTCTTACTTTGTTAAAGAAACAGTTGACTCCATCAGCCACTGATCTGGCTCTGCTCATTCCGTTAACATCCTCTGTGGTGTAGTTTCCGCTTCCCAAAAAACTTCCTGATTTGCATTCTGGAAATTGAAAACATTCGAAAATAAACTTCTCTGGAAGTTAGTCACCTAGAAGCGCACGAAACCGAGTTCTGTTATCGTTGAGAAGTCTGGCGACAAGTTCACATCCGATGTCTGATTGGGTGGAGGCTCTGAAAAATGGAAATGTGTTTTGGGACTCAAAAAATTAGCATACTTTTCCCAGCTGGCGCAAATGACCTGTCTCTCTGCGATGCTCAGATTGATTGATCGTGGTCCGACAGACGGTGAATCTGGTGATGGAGACGTTTGTCGTGCCTCACGGAATGGGAGATCCATTTCTGAAAATGAGGATGATACCGGAACTGAATTTAGGTACATAAGAGGAAGTGGAACGGGGGCGGTGTCTAGAAAACCTAATTTTATTATGTTTTGAACGGCCGTAAAAGAAAAAAAAAAACAAAAACAATAGAATAAACTGAGTTCCTGGCTGTGTTATGGTATTTCAGAAAAAAGGACCATTACTAATTTTTCTTGAAAACAAAGAAAAGTAGAAGAAGAAGAAACTGAATATTTTTGATGGATCAGAGATTATGTTTTGGGTAGTTGTGGACTCTGCAAAAACATATAAATATACGACACCAGCTGAAAATGAAAAAGAAAACAAATCATCTGGATATGGACAAGAATAGAGTCTAAAATTAGATATTATCCCAATCACCGAAGAAAAAAAAGAAAAAGAACACTGGATAAAAAATCTGACAAATAAAGGATCTCCGGATCTAAGTCTACCGAATTCCTTCACGCTTCAAGAACACTCCGATTGTGTCTAAAAATGAGTAATTCAGAAGACTCCACGTCACATACACACTCTTCTGGCGGATTCAGAAGAGACAAATAAAAAAAAGAAGAACAAGAACAGTTGAAAATGGACACTCTCTGGTTGAGACGGGAGTTTTGATGAAGATTCTTAGAACGAATTAAGGAAGTTTGTTGTTTCAGAGAGTTTCCGACGACTTCAGGGACTGTAGGCGGTAAAGACGAAGATGATGGGTAAGGCAGAGATCAACCAAAAAAAACCGATATGGATTTCTCAAAAATATGTGACGGGCGGGATGGAGGGGGATTTGGTCATTTGGGATACAGCAACAAACTATGAGGACATCTCGGTACATCGTATAGAAACACAGAATAACGCATTTCTGTTTATTTTGTAAAATGGCTTACAAGGTCAAGACTCAGGCTGGATTTTTGGCACATAATTCAGAGGGCACAACGATTTGGGGGTACAAGGGGGTACAAAGTGATTTAGAGGTACAAGGTACAAAATTTTTTCCAGGCATTTTGTACCCTCGAATTGCTTTGCACCCCAGTGATCCCATAATTTTTGTACCCTCCGAATTATTTGACCGGTTTTTAGAAAGAATTTTCCAAATTCTGACAATTTTTGATTTTTAAAACCTACCAGAGTGGCGTCTTCTAGAAACGCAATCTGGAATCCGGACCAAAAAAATTTACAGAATCTGGAATACGGAATAACGAGTTTTCTCCAAAGCCTGGAAAAACTTCGATTTAAAATTTCGAAAAATGATCGTCCTCGGCTTTCTCTATTTATAATAAAAATTCGCGGCTGTCCGTGACTGCGACCGGTCACTTTTTTTTGCACAGCCTTGTAATAGGTCAAAGCCTCATTAAATTTACTACTTCAGAATTTTAAGAGTGAGTGAGGCCTCAGCGAAACAGAGATATATCAAAAGTATTTCCTTGTCTTTCTAAACTAATTGAGCTAGATCCAAAAAATGTTCCTAATCACTTTTCCACATCTCAATTTCCGGTCCAGATCCGGGGAAACCCCAGTCATGTTTGTCTAGATCCGAGATAAAAATATATTTTCTTTTTTCTTTCTTCTTTCGTTCTTGCTCGCCGATTCTGTCAAGAACAGAAATGAGGAGAAGAATGCTAATTCGTGATTAGTTAATAACATTTTTTTCCCAAAAATTGAGACAAAAGTAGATTGAAACGAGAAAAAGGAACATGAATTATAGGGAGAAGGGGTGTGAGTCAAAGCTAGAAAGCAGACTGAAAATTCAGATGAATCTTCGAGTTCGGATATCCGGAGAGAAGTAAAAAGAGGAAGCGAAGATTGAGAGGAGGGGGTTCTCGGAAGTCAAGTGGAAAAAAAAGAGGAAACACGAAAAAAATTGCAGACAGGTTGGTGGGAACACTGAAAATAGGAAAAACTAAATTCGGATTTGGAAAGTCAACAAGAACTTTTTTCGGGAACGTTGTTTCGCACTTCTTGTTGCTAGTCCTGACGTCGAGACGTGAGAACTCCCGAATTCGGAGGATATCGTAAGAAATAGATGACGTTGAATATTTTCGGTATTCAGAAGCACAATGTCCTTCAGACATTGTAGTTTTGCTAGATGGAGTTTTTTTTCTATTTTGAGGCAGATAGAAAATGAAATATATTTTTTTCTCGAATCAATGCGAATCTGGTAATGAATTTGTCTATTTTTATCTGACTCTTCCTGGTAGCCCCTGAGTAAAAGGGGGACATGTTTCAAAAGTTAACTAAATATGAACTGAACAATTTGGCAATTGCATGATTACACTTTACCATTGCTTTACCATTGAAAAGATCACTTTCTCAAAATGTTGCCAGATCAATCTAGCAAGCATAATTTCTAGGCAATTAAAAATAATTTCTTTGTACAGAAAATTCATAAGCCTCATAAAATAGAAAATTACATGGCACAGAAAACCATAGTTTGGATTCCTTAATTAACTTTTCTAGTTATTTGTTCTCCTTGCTTATCGACCATTTCAATTTAAAAATGGTGTGCGGTGAAAAATTTTATTGCTCTATTTTGTGCAGAAATCCATGTAGATTTCCATAAAAACAAAGAAAAAATTCAAAAAAATTCCTTCATTGAGAAAAACGGCATCGAAAAGTCAAAGTGGGATCCGGTGGCCTAGCGGCCAGGTGTGAGTTTTCTAGGGCAACTGCCGGTAAAAGCGCGCAGAAATTCGAATTTTAATTGATTTTCAGTGTTTTCTCTTATGTTTTTCAAAGATTTCAAAATGTTTTTATTAATTTCCTCCCAGGTGTATGAAAAAAACCTGACAAAAATCAGAGAAAACACTAAAAATCAATAAAAATTCGAATTTCGCGCGCTTTTACCGACAGTTGGCCTAGAAAACTCACACCTTGCAGCTAGGCCACCGGATCCCACTTTGAATTTTCGATGCCGTTTTTCTCAATGAAGGAATTTTTTGAATTTTTTCTTTGTTTTTATGGGAATCTACATGGATTTCTGCACAAAATAAAGCAATAAAATTTTTCACCGCACACTACCTTTAATTAGTTTCTTTGAAAAGTTCAAAATTAGGTTCAGAATGAAGTGGAATATTCTAGGATCTCTGAATTTGCATGTTTTCGTTCACTTAATACATCAGAAACTTCATATCTGCCCACCACAATGCCCGATCTACACATATCGACCTATAAATATTTACACTTCACAATGAGCAAAACAGCTCCAAAATCCTAACGAAAGAAGGGAAGATATTCGAAAAGGAAAGAAAAGTTCAGTGAACATTCAGTTTGGGTCAGTGAGCAACGGGAAACAAAGAAGGAAAATGAAGAACCACGGGAAAAATGAAAAAAGAAGAAGAAGCAGATTTTTAAAAAGCAGGATGAGAAGCGGGAGAAATGAGCAACAAGTGGTCGGCTCAGAATTTGGAAAGAGAACATTTTCGAAACTGGGCCATATTTCAAATTTCATTGTTTTTTTCTTTCGTAGACGAAAATTATCTACAATCTTAGTCTAATGACAAAGAACATGTGGACACTGTTCTTGTTTTTTTTTCAAAATTCAATTTTCCAAGTGTATTTTCGAAAACAGAACAATATAAAAGCAGTCTGAGAATGGAATGACTAGCGTCATGTCTTAAAAGTTTCCACTTCTCTTATTATTCATTTCTTTTGTTTTTTGAAAGGGACCAATAGAAAATATTTGAATTTTAGATGGCACTTTAGGAGGAGAATGATGTGGCTGGAAAAATTCTGATGGACTCGAAATTTTGAAAATAATGCAAACTTACTTCATCAAGGGGGGGGGGGGGTGGAGGTTCAAGAAACAAGGATCTTTGTTGCAGTACTATTTCAAAAGCTATTGGGAGTTTTACGAAACAAGTTGAACTTTTGGGTCCATTCTAAGATCAGCATGTATGTCTGGAATGTCTAAAAAGGGAAATTCTATACAAAATGAAGGGAAGAAGAACACAAAATAGCCAAAAAGTTAGAATTTGAGGAGTTTGTGGTGAGAAATTTAAGAGTCTTAATTATTTTCGAATTTTGCTTCAAAAACCAAAAATAAGTTATACCGAAAACACTCTAATAAAAGGCCACCCTATACTCCCCCGTTGAGCTCAATCATCTTCACTTCTATAGGAGGAACAAAAATCTGTCAACTGATAAAATTGTTATCATAGTTTCACAGACATTTTATCAGTTGACACATTTTAGATATCTCTTGCAGGAATCGAGATAATTGAGCTCAAAGAGCAAGTATAATGTTGGCTTCTATTAGGTTGTTGACGGTAGTCTCCAGTATTGTTGCTGCATTTTCAAATGTGAACATCCAGAAAAAAATACTTTGAAAACTAGACTCTGATTCTTGAGACAAAGAATGTCAGGAGAAAAAAAAGGAATGAGGCTGTTCTTTAATTGCAGGGTCATTTAGGCAAAGAGTTTAGTCGTCAGACGAGAGAAATCACATTGAAAAGTAGCCACACAGGAAGTGAAAAGAAAGTTCTTGGAACAGGACAAAACGACACAATAGGATACAAAAACGATGCATTTTCATTGAAACTACATATTTTTGTATTGCAAATCCACATTAATAACAATATATTGTACTAGACGATTTCTCATGAAAACATGTGCGATTTTCGAACAGTTGATCTTCACAAAATATATTAAAAGGAAGTTTTTTTTCACAAAAAAAAAATGAAAATATGAATAATATCTGGATTATCTTGAAGTAATCCGCTCATAACCCATGATCAAAGAATGTATTGTCTCTGTTAAAAAATAAGATATAAGGTGATATGAAGAAAAAAGGATAACGAATTTTCTGATTTGTTACATTGTCATTAGGGGGGGGGGCGAAATTGTTAGATATAAAAGACTCATAGTCAGCGGGATTAAGAATTTTGCTGTTGATGATTCAGGGTATTCGTGGACAAATTTGAACTTAAACAGAAATACTAAAAACTGGAAAACGAGGAAGGCTAATTTCCCCAGATAGGCTAACAAAAGGAAATCAAGCATC